ATATATGTTTTTATCAGTAATGTCCGTTATGCAAAAAAAAAAATGGTCCGAGATAAGCGGAAGGCACGTTTTCAATGCTGGCACGTCGAATTTCGATAGAAGTACGCACAGATTAATATGTATATATATATAGATTAACTTTAGTATATATACCTGATCTGATGTGAAAAATGAACAGAAACAATTCAAGTGGCATTTAGATGCATACGTCATTTAAGGTCATGTGACGGCAGTTTGGGAGTTGTCTGCCTGATTGATGGATCAGCCCAGCGGCTTAAGAGCGAAAGAGTAGTTCAATTGATAAGCCTTTACTTATCACTTATACACGCATTTGTATGCAGGTGTGCGTATATGTGCTGCCGTCACACACACACACACACACACACACTTGATTCGCATTCTGACCGAGTAATTACTTAAGTACGTGTACTACTGTGATAAACCTTATCGCTTAGATCAATGTTGAAAGAGTCATATAAGGGAAAACAAAACAATAAACAGGTGAGACACAAGGCGGCATAGAGAGAAAGAGAGAGAGAGTGAGAGAGAGCGAGTGTTACAGTTAAGTAATAACATTGAGGCGGCAATCGAAAACTGTCGCCCAGAGCAAAGAGCCAAGAATAGAACCTGAAACCTGCAGGTAGCATGCAAATTTGCCAGTTCAGCTACGCAATGACCTCATCCATTAGGCATGCGTTAAGTGTGGAAGCAACAGGAGCAGCAGAGCAACAGCAACAGCAACAACAACCGCAACATCATCGACCAAATAACAGTTCAAGGGTCAGCATTTTGATTGCCCAGCTATGCGCATACTCTGTAAAAGTTCAATATAATTCAAATAAGCTAATTTCAATGCCAATTAATGTCATTTTGTAAGCAAACGACCAACTTATTTAACGAATGTGTACAATTGAAAATAAAAAGTTGTAATTACAAATGTTTCCACACCTTTTATACATTTTACAACACTGTGGTCACAGCTTGCAGGGTATAACAAATATTGATGTTAGACAGCTGTTATTGTTGTTGCTACTCCCTAAGCAAATCAATAATTGAGCGGCAAATGCAGTGTTGCCCGCCTATAGCTGACCTTCGCACTGGCATTGGGGGTTTGGGTGGTGTTGGTGAAGCGGTAAGCGATGCCGGGCTGGGGAAAATGTGATTAGCAGAAGGGAGAGAAATTCATTGCCATTTTACACCTTGGCCTATAGCATTTTAATTTTGAAGCGCAATTAAATTGCTTGCACTCACTGTAGCAGTCGCTGTCACTGCCGGCGTTATGTTATTGTTGTTTTCCTATGCAGACAGACATTTTTAATAACTGTGATGCTCAGACAGTCGGCGCAATATATGTATGTATTTACATACTCACACATATTCAATATAGTCATATACACATATATATGTATATAAATATATGTGTATATGTATTCATGTCATGTAGATAAGTGACGGCACACACACACGCACACAAATCTACATAATACAATATGTATACATGTAGTTAATTGTACACTAATATGTTTGTGTGTACATATGTATATTTGATCTGGTCGGTATATTTACCTGTTGATTTTGATTTACTTTTGCTTTTGCACTTTGTAGTCGCCGTTGTTGTCGCCCTGCGTTCAACTTTAAGAAACTAGCAACAGCTACAATTAATGTATGCAAATGCAAAAAAAAAAAAGAAAATGTTGACACACGCGCACCCAACTTCTTTTTATTAGCGCGTAATTATTGTTGATTAATATTTATTTTTATAATTTATTGACTGCCAATAAAAAATACCGCATTGCCAGCAAATGCGTTCGCAATCCCGATTTAAAAAAAAATATCACTTAATGTGGGCCAAGGGACAACGCAGTGTTGACAAAAACTGAGATGTTAATTAACAGTCTGAATAACGTTTCTGGAATCAGTTTGAAACGAAATGAAATTCTGTTAGTGAACAGTCCGCTGGTAAAAATGAAATACCAGTTGTTTTTGGCGATAGCTTAAGTGTGACCAGTCTAGCGTATGGCGATATTTAAGTATCGATAAGTTCGCTAAAGACTCATAACACTCTATTATTCATAAAATAATTAACTAATAAAATTACGAACTGTTTTTGTCGCAATGCCAAGAGAAAAAGTGCTATATTGCAGAAAGTATATTTATAACTATTTTATCTTAACGAAACTAATTTGATCGCAACAGCTTTGAGTTTTCACTTGAATTTTGCTTGTTTTAGCTGTGCTAACTAATCTTAGCATGTTTGAGTCAATTTTTTTGAATAAATAAATCAAACAAAATTCACTATATTTCTGCTCGGACGTAAAAGCGATATATATAATTCAAATCGAAACGAATCAATTACATGGTTTTGCACCCCTGACTATAGTACACTTATCGATTACAAACGAGTCGCACAACGCAAAGTACTTTCGGACGTGTATCTTTTTCAATATAGTAAATTTTAATTTATATTTCTTAAAGTCAAGTTTCTTCCGTAATTCTTCGTAGGGAAGACGCCTTATATTCAAATTAAATACAGCTTGTTTAAAAACAAACCTCACACTTTTTTCCAAATTTGTTCAAATTTTACATTTTATTTGTCATTGTGGTAAGTAGTCAGCGTCATAAAGGAAATTAAATATGCGTTATGCCATTTGCGAAATTCACGAAATTGCAAGGCTTAACCGTTTAAATACACGTGTGTTGACTGCTTTCACGTTAATTTCTATACAAATTTATTGTATGCGCAGGGCTTTGTGTAATCGGCCGTTGATTGTATTTACAGCAAGAGCACATGCATACACGCACACGCACACACACATACATGTGTTTATCTGTATATATACAAATGTACATGTATGCAAATGCATGGCTGAATGCCGCCAAGCCATTTGTCTAAACGCGAATTTTAAGAAGTATCGCTTGTTTTTTTGGATCATTTGCAGATCAAGATGCCGAACATCAAGTTGCAGTCATCTGATGAGGAAATTTTCGATACCGATATACAAATTGCCAAGTGCTCCGGTACGATTCGCACCATGTTGGAGGATTGCGGCATGGAGGATGATGAGAATGCCATTGTGCCATTGCCGAATGTGAATTCGACAATTTTGAGAAAAGTGTTGACCTGGGCCAACTATCACAAGGATGATCCACAGCCAACGGAGGATGATGAGAGCAAGGAGAAGCGCACCGATGACATCACATCATGGGATGCCGATTTTCTGAAAGTTGACCAAGGCACGCTTTTTGAACTGATCTTGGCTGCCAATTACTTGGATATTAAGGGCTTACTGGAGCTAACATGCAAAACCGTTGCCAATATGATCAAGGGCAAAACACCCGAGGACATCCGAAAGACGTTCAACATCAAAAAAGATTTTACACCGGCCGAGGAGGAGCAGGTGCGCAAGGAGAACGAATGGTGTGAGGAGAAGTAAGCGGCACTCCAATACCCATACAGGGCACATGTCGCCAGATGGTAAATGGCTGCGATACCCATCTGCGAAACTTCTGAAGAAAATAATAAACAAACATTTGAAAACTAGGATAATGAAATACGCTTTTTCAAACTGAACCATTGCTTGAACGAACACATGCGTATTAAATAACTTTTATCTAGTTTATATATAAGAGGGTTAAAATACACACATACTTTGAAATATTTTTCTCAAAAAAAAAAAAAAAAACAAACAAAAATAAAAACAAAACAAAACCAAATTTAATTATATATAATCATGAAAAAGAACAAAAAATTTGCAATAAAATGTAAACTGCGTTTAAAGATTATGTGAAAAATTAATAACAATGATATATATATATATGTACATATACCATATATATATACCATATATATGTATATATATATATATATACACCTTAATCGTGAATCATAGCTTTTGCGCACTTACTCGTTTTTACATATAACAACAAAATCGAATGTATTTTATTTCCATCTCGGGGGCTGTCCAACCTAAAGTTCATCGACTTCCTGTTTACAGCTCGTACCAAAGGTTTGAACCTGCGACTTAAGGACACATCTAGTGTACGCCAAAAACTTTAAAACAGTTAACTCATTCCCGGACTGTTAACTGATATTGAACAATCGTTGCTCCATCGAACCTTCTCGCAGCATTGGGTAGCTCAGATACGAGTTTTGTTAAGCTAACGAAGAAGTCGAGATCTGTACCATCAAATGTTAATTTTAGGGCCTATCCGGATTATAACGGGATCCTAATAGTGCAGCTCCTGAAGAGACAATCGATTTCTACCTCCGGCTTAAGCATAACACAAACTCTGTGCGAGGGTATCTGATATTCGCCGTGCCGCAGCTAACTGTTATTTCATTTGTGTCGGGTCGGGCTACATCGCGCCCTCTCGCTCTGGCTGGCAGCTATCCCTTTCTGGTACACACGGTGCAGTTTGCGGTTTGCACTTAATGTTAACGCATTTAATTGGTTTTTAATTTTATTAAATTGTTTTAAACACTACAATTAATTTGTTAAAAGGCCATAAACAAAAATTTTTGTTCTTAATGTGTGTGAGTGTGTGTATGGGTGCATGTGTCTGTGTCTGTGTGTGTCTCTCTGTGTGTCTGTGTGTCTGCGTGTGTGTGTGCGTGTGTTTTCTTCGCTAATTTTGCAGTTATTTCATTTTCGGGCTGTGTCTTATTGGGTTATAATATGTATAATAATTTCCTGGGTCTTATAATTACAATGGCAAACAATAATTACATTTCAATATGTTTTTATGCATAATGATGCGCTCATGTTTAGATCATTATTGTTGCAAAATTAAAATTGCTGCATACCCTTTATGCATGTAAGTGTGTGCCTGTCGTGGTTGTGTGTGTGTTTGCGTGTGTGTGTGTGTGTGTGTGTGAGCTGTGTTAGTTTTCTTCTCTCTTCTTTTTTATGTTGCATTTTTTTCATATTTGTTTGTTTGCATTTTTTTTGGTTGTTTTTTAAACGTTTTTCAATAAATTATCAATAAACAATTGAAAGGTGTTTGAAATAAAGATGTGCATGGCATCATTTTGTTTTTTTTTTTAGTTTTAGTTTTTGTTTTTTTTTTTTTGCTGCTACTTTTGCTCTCTAGTTGTTGTTGTTGTTGTTGTTTTGTGTGTTGTTGTTGTTATTTTTGTTGTGGTTGACTTTGCCTTTGCTTTAACATCTTTCATCTTTTCAATAAGGACGTCAATTCAAGGAGGGCATGTGTGCATCATGCCAATTGATCTCGATGTTGGGCCACTTGGTCTGCAGGCAGGTGACCATCGGATTTGAGGTGCAAATCGACTTGAGATCGCCCTCCAGCAAAATGGCCGAGCCACAGTAATAGCGCACCTGTGTGAAAATAGGAGACACTCTCTTCAAATAGATGACATGCAAAGAAGTGCTAGACATGCTTTATAATATAGTAGTTCGATATTGATCGGATATGGCTTATATGGACGCAGCATAGTCTAATCAATAAATGGCGAGTTTGGTTAAGACGTCTTGATAAACAAAAATGACTTGAATCTTAGCTTTCGGATCGATTCTTCCTATAGAGCTATATGATATAGTCCGGAACTGGCAGAGCTCGTATACGCAACTTTTGCTTAAGAAAGCAGAATATTTTCGTATATGACAATGTGGTCTAATGTTGATTAGCTTTTGCTTGTGTTTTGTCAAGACTTCTATATAATATATAAGTCAGATCCGGTTGGTTCCGACATATTTACTGCCTGCAACTGCAAGACGGGTCGATGCAAAATCTCATAGCAATAGCTTTAAAATTGAGACTTGTTTGCCCTAGAAACAGACTAAATGGATGAATTGGATCGAAAATGCGTCCTTCTGCCTTCTACACTTCGTGGCAAAAGTATAATAAGCATTATAAGAGCATAAGAAGTAAGAATAAACAAGTGCAGTGTTCGATAAAGAGACAACTGGGACTCAATTGTAAATTTGCCTAATTATCTTAAGGTACATACGACAGGTTTTTGCCAACAACATGTTGGCAGCATTAAAATAAAAGTAATTTTGGTGGAGACACCTTACAGAAATCGAATTCAGCTTAATGATATAGTGCTGCGATCCAGCATATGTGCTGACTGCAGTCCACGAAGAAATCAATGCCAATGTTCTTCAAGAGACTAATAAAAGACGGACAACTCAACTCATGCTCCTGTTTTAGATTATAATAAGGGATTGAAGGGATGCCTTCAGTGAGTCACAGTAATTGGAGCATTTGAGCATTTTAGCAAGCTGAATGCTTACCTTGTTGTTATCGTTAGAGCCGGGTATGCCATTGTAGTGCAGCAGCTCGAACGTGTCCGGCGTTGAGCGGCGCTCCAGCGGAAAGAATTCATCCATGAAGGCATTCAAAAGTATAATGCCGAGATTCTCTGGATCCAAACGCTTTTGCATGAGACTAACACTATGTTTGGTGTAAGGGGATGAGATGAAGAAATTAGGCACTCGTCTAGCGGCAGAGGTCAGGAGCAACTTACTATCCCGGCTCGCTGACCAAATTCAATGCGGCTAGCACATCACGGAGCAAGGTGCTCGATATGAAATTGTTGCCCTCCGGATCGTAAGATTTAAAGATCCGACGTCCCGTCTCCGATGGTGTCTCTGGCGAGACGAGCCTCTTTTCATTGCTAAACAAAACTGTAGCATAAAATGGAATGTTAATATATATATATATATATGATATATGGATAAGTGGTATTAAGACTCACCAGTTAAATGCGTGTCAGAGCCCATTACCCAAACTGGGTAGCGTGGATTCTTAAAAAACGAGCCCACTGTACAGTAGCGCATTTGCTCCATTAGTGTTATAAATCCAATATCGCTTTGCTCACAAATGCCGCGCAGCTTTAGACCGCCCACATCCTGCTCATTGTCCCAGACATGGGCAACGGCGCGTCCAGTTAGCATCAGATTGATCAACGATTGTGCCCCATAGCCATATGTGCTGTGTATCAGCGGCTCCGATGTGTCCGATATATCAGATGTCACCTGCTCGGTGCCCTTGGTTAGGAATACCGAATACATAAACAACAGCACACCGTACGTATTCGATAGCTGACTATAGTTTTCCACATAGTAGCGAGCCACCTCGGCAATGTGCTCAAAGTGGAGCGTGTGCAGGCGCTCATGAAATTGATCTGGTGTCAGTTCCAAATTCAAGCGTGTGGTGACCAATGCTGCATCGTTTTTGGTAGCGACAGTAGCAGCAGCTGGAGCGGCGTTACCAGCCGCATCAATTCCAATTGTCTCCTCCGCCTCAACAGCCGCTTCAATTGCATCAGTGGGCGGCGTCAGGCGACGCTCTTTGGTTGATCGCCGTTGCAGTGTGACAATTTTATAACGCGGCGCCCGGCAGTTCTTCAATATGTTGCACAAAGCTTCGATGAGCAAACTCTGGCATTTGTCACTGGGCAGCTGGTAATGAGAATAAATCGTTTTACTATTGCCAGGCAGTTGCGTGTGGGCGGGTGCGCGGGCGGTTGCGTGGGCTGTTGCGTGGGTTGAACTTACCTTTGTTAATTGTATGCCTGGCATTTCCATGATAATTATCTTAAGCAAGTACGCCTGCACGGGCGCTATCACAGCACAAGGACCGCCCTGTTTTTGCACCAAAGCCGAGGGCTCCACATCACTAAACTCAAAACCTGCAAATGCATTTATAATTGTTCAGAGATACACACACACACACACATATATATACACACACACACGCGCGCACACATGCATGCACACCTACGCACGCACACATACAAAAAGCGCGCGCTGTTTGGGGGCGCTGTCGTTTCGGGTGGTGCAACACATCGACTTACCTTGAGACCAACGCTTGAATACATCTTCGCGCACACTGTCGCCCCACAGCAAGTGTATAATCTCGCGCAGCTCTCGCATGTCGCTCTCGTTGGGACGCAGCAGTTGCTGCTGTTGTTGTCGTCCAGCAGCTGGCGCTGTTGATGATGGTGTACTGCCACTGGCCATGGATGATATTTCTTGCTGCTGCTGTTGTCCTGCTGTGTTGTGTGACTGCGATTCCAAGGCTGTTGACGCCAACGTCATCGACGCCGTGGCTGATGCAGTTTTCGGCGAGGCGCACTTTTCGCTGCGCTGCTCCCGTTCGCATGCGTCGCTCATCTCGAGTCGTTTTCTTTGCTGTAGGAGGGAGGGGGATACGGGTATTGGAATCACAAAATGTATTCGCCTTTATCGAAATCGAAATACAATAAACGCAAAGTCAACTATTTAGGTTGGCATTTTTTTTGGCTATGCAAATGCAACAGTGTAGGGATGTACAAAATATGGGTGCATCAATGCCTATCGATACGATTGCACGATAATTGCGAATGCAAGTGCTGCCAATGCATGCTAGTGATGTCACTTAACAACTGATTGCCCCTATGTGCCATATATATCGATTGCTGACGAAAAATATGTATATCGTTCTGCGGTTGCTTTTAACAAGCAATCGCAAAATTTTCTACGATTACTGCGGATTGCATTTCAGTTGGATTTTCTTAAACACTTTTGTAAAATCCCTTATTTCTAGAACTTAATCATTTTAATCGTTTTTTTTTGTTTAATTCCTAGATGTCTGTAATCAGCTACGCAGCGCTCAATTGCAATTCAAAACATTTAGTTTTATATCGATAGTACATCGGTTGGTTTATTTGTAGTATTTTATAACATTGGGTTACTTAACACCTTACACACCGTAAACGTTGCTTGCTGAACACTAATATTTGCACTTCGAAAACGGCCAACAGATTAATTTGTACATATTTTATAAATGCAAAATGTATCGAAGTGAACAGCACTCCGTAAATAGATCCGGTGAATATCGATTTATCGACACGATTACAGCTAACTTGGTTTTTAATTCGGTCGCTGGCTCTAGCACAAAACGAAAGCGCGCCATGGAACCGAAGTGCATATTACCCAAACATTCGAAGATAAAACCTAAAGGCGGCCTTGTTGCACACGCAACTAACAGCAGGAAGCCTGAAAATGTACGCGTCTATTACTGTCGCTCCTGTTTGGTGGCCTTTCCCCGGTTTCTCGTCTGCAAGGCACATGAGCAGCTGTGCGATACACGGATCGCCCGTCTGCACATATGCAAATATTGCCTCACATTGTATGGCGATGAGCAGCTGCGTCAGCGGCACATCCAACGCAAACACATGGACGGCCGCTATATGTGCCTGCAGTGCGGCACATTTGGTAAGCGCTACAGCTCATCAATATTCCTGTACAAGCATGTGGTGTCATGGCATGGCGAGCACTCGCTCTTCTACTGCGCCATGTGCGCGGACAACTGCAACGACGCAAAGGCATTTAGATGCATGAGCGACCTGATTGCCCATGCCGAAAGCGACCATAGTCTGCAAGGCGATGGCAGCGTTGTTGACGATACTGAGGATCTGGAAATGCTTGAGGAGAACATTGACGAGCTGCTGCCAACTGTCGATTGGGACGATGATCTAACATTTGGCTGGCCCATGGATTTGGATAAGGAGTCCTGCATTGCCGATCCAAAGCCCAAGCCCAGCGCCTATGTGTGTCCGCTTTGTGCCAATGGATACACCGGCAGCATCAGTCTGCTGAAGCACATTGAGAAGTCGCATAATCGCAATCCACTTGACTGCATTTTCTGTGGCAAATCGCACAAAAATCGGGAGGCCATCCGAGCGCACTTGCAGCGCCAGCATGTGCTATTGCGCGCCCACATCTGTACCGTGTGCCAAGCGGATTTCACCACCGCCGACCATTTGCTGAAGCACATGAGGAGCAAGCACCTGGAGCGGGCGCACGTCTGTCCTGAGTGCGGCAAATCCTTTGCCCAGATTAGTCATCTTACCGAGCACATGTTATCCGAGCGGGGACATATAAAACACATCTGCAATCTATGCAACACGCAGTTCTTTCGATCCATCGACCTCTCGCGCCACATTCAGCTTAAGCATTCTACAAACTTATAAAGAGGTAAGCTCTAGACTATTCTAGTTCATATGTCTCAATAGGAAATTGTATAATACTCTCACAGAATCAAGTCATCCTAATGTTACCCGGTACTCGGGGTTTAATATTCGCATACATAAAGACACCTACAACCGACGGCACAATACCCTGTTGAAAATAGTTAACAGCTTTCAAACGGTGAAAATATGAGCTTTTTTTTAAATTGCGCGGGCTGGTCGGAAATATATTTAGAAGATGGTGAACCGTTTTCAAATGTGATTTAGATTCTAGAAATTTCACGTCTTCAGATAAACGTTTTACCTAAAATCGAATCGCATAGAAAGGTGGTCTTAAATTGGCTATAAAATAGACATGACCTTGCTGTTGATATATGTACTTTATAAGATCTCTCTTATTCGGGCAACAGGTAGCAACGATGAAATATATATATATATATATGTCGGGCTATTCAATTATATAAACTTAGCCCACTTTGTGATTATTACCATACACTCGATCGTGTGTTTATATATATATATCATATATGTACATATATAACATGGTAAAATCTGAGTTTATAATAACTATATTCATCATATTTAAATTGTGCCTTTGTAAATATCAAGTAAATGCATAAGCTTAGCAGCGCTTTGTAAATGCGTGTAACAAATTGCACATAGGCTCTATATATTTGTGTACGTACACACACACACACACACACACACACACGCAGACATTTGACATCTGTGAAAAGTTGTTTGACTTTTAAAACCTTTGGCTGGCGCTTAAAAGCGCCTACACATGCTCTGTTAATTAACAGCGCACCTGCTGCACCCCCAAACATTTGCACACAGCAGTCAGCCGCCAGAGCCTTAACAGTTACTGTAAGAGTAGGAAAAAGAAAAAAAAAATAAAATAAAAACGTTGTGATCGCAGCAGCCGTGCGCGAGCGGCTGGGAGCGCGTCCGTTACGAACTGAGAGCGTCGGAGCGCAACAGAGGCGGCAGCAGCAACGGCAGCGGCTGCGGCTGCGGCAGCGAATTAAACGTTATTGTCATTAAAAGTCTTGCTGTTGGCCCACACAGGCGACAGTTTTGAACGAATCGTGCTTGTGTTTGGATTGTCACGTTGCTGTCGCTGCCGACGCCGAACAGTTAACAATTCTCGTTTTTGTTTTTGTACGTGCATTCTGCAAAAAAAAAAAAAAAGAAGATAAAATTAAACTTGTGTTTCACATTAGATTCCTGTTAACGACACAGTCGACATTTCGCGTAAGTGCATATGCAAAAACCAAAACAGAGTTAACTTAACTACAAAAAAAAAAAATATATATAAAAAAAAATGAAATAAAACTGTGGCAATCACCGAACGCGACCCTCAGTCGACTACTTTTTGTTATTGTTTTTCTATTATTTTTTTTTAACATTTGTTTTTGTTGTTTGTGAATTGCTTTGCTATTTGGGCCCAAAGCTTTTGTTGATATTGTCGCTTTAAATAACAAAAACCAGAACAACATTTGATCAGTCATCACAGCGAATTGTAATTTGTAACTTTGTTCTTAATGTTGTTGAAGTGAATCAAAAAAAAAAAAAACCGCACACAAATTAAAAAAACAATAAAAAAAACCCCGTGCAAATCGTTGCGCTTGACTTAACGCATATTCCGACGTGTTTTATAAACAACGGAGAGTTTAAATATATATACTCGAATCAAGCGTGTGCAATGTGTCAATTGAATTAGCCAGCCAAAATTAAATTAATTACATTACTGAAGCGACATTTGAAATATAAATAATCTAAAATAAAAGAGAAATCAACTATAATTCATTATCAAATATAAAAGAATCCTTATATTCTCATCTAAAATTAAGATAATCCCATAAATATGTCTAAACCTTATGCAATTCGGCTACGAATTCAATTTCCTTAACGCATCTTCGCGAAATCAACTATTTTCGATTTTGAAATGAGAAAAACCCGCTTTAAACTGGAATTTAAGTGTTTGAGCCGGGACAGGTTCAATTGGATTTATAAATGATCATAGCTTTGATCTGCCTTAACATGCAACTAGCTTAAATGGGATTTCTGACTAAAGAAAGAAAGTGCGCAATTCTTATCGAACATTCACAGTACAGAGTTTTTATCAATATGAAATCTTATTCCCTACTACACGCTCTCTCAATTTTGTCTCGCTGGGTTTTTGCCCTCGACCACCGAGCTGTGAACTCAACGATCCAATCTACCAAGCCGCTTGGGGCCCATCAAATCCATAATTTATCTTGTAAAACTGCCCCAGTCGCCCGCAAGACTAGCCCTCTACCTCAGAGCTGGTGCATGCATGTTGTTATTAAGCATGCTAAACATGTCTTCCCTTTTCGTAATCAAACAAGGGGTATCCTACAATAAACTGAACTTAACTTAATGTGACAGAAGGCGATCATAACCCACCCTTGACAATATATATATATATATACATATCAACTTGATATATATAATTTTATACATATATATATTTATATATTATATATGTTATATTACACTTGCAGAGTATGCCCTGGACGAGTATCTCTGACCAAAGCACTTTTACTTATTTTTTTGTATACCCTTTTCCCGTTTAATATGACTTAAGAAAGGGTACACTCGTTTTGTCCAATAGAGGTAAAGCATAAGGAGCTAAGATTTTATGATAAATGTATTTATTTAACTGTGTATTTCATATGCAGAACGAGCTTTTTTTTTGGGGCGATATTGTTTACCATTTTCATATTATGTATCCATCTCGATTTAGCGCTTTGTACAGGGCATCTGCGGGGCGACTACCGCTCAGTAAAGCACTCTATAATTGTAATTGATTTGCCTTTTTGCGTGCGCGGCGCGCAGACGCTTCTGTTATCTGGCTCTCTGTTGTTTTTCTGTTATTGTTATTGCTGCTGCTGCTTGTTTGTTGTTGTTGTTGTTGTTGTTGTTTGTTGGGGTGGCATTGCTGGAAATTGAAATTGGCACTCGTGCGCAATGGGAAAGCTTTGCTGGCAAAGATGGCTGAGACGGCTGAGAACTCACCTGGCAACGGGAGCGGCATGACGCACCGCGCCGCAATGTGTCTGGCAGAACGGGTAAAACCGCAGCAGCGGCAGCAGCAGCAGCAGCATAACTAAAAATACAACAACAGCGATCGTTTAACGACAATACAATGCAAACGCATTGGTTTATTAATTAAAACGTGCTTAATTTGTAATCTGTACGCAGGTAACGTAGTCATAGACGACATTGGCATGCGCTGTTGTTGCTGTTGCTGCTGCTGCTGCTGCTGTTGCTGTTGCTGTTGCTGCTGCTGTTACTGCCGTAACGCATGACTAAATACCGCACGATTAGTGATAAGCGGCGCCGGCGGCTGCGCAGCGCCAATTTTTCTATGTGTGTATGTACATAGATGTATGCATGTCTAGGTACACACACACACGCACATGCACACGCACACACATGTAACTTTCGCTTATACGTTGCGAAAACAGATATTGCCTTGCATTTAACAGTTGTCGTAGCAGCAAATAGCCTTGACTCATGCTAACAGCGACCTGTTAACTGACTGATTTTTAAATTTGCTGCTTCCTGCAGCCACCCATGAATCACGCAGGTGAGCGAGCAACATACAACAACAACAGCAACCACAAGAAGAAAACTGCTGTCATATCAATCAGCATTTGTTTGCTTAATGGCAAAGAAAAGAAAGAAACAATAATAATAATAAAAAAAAAAAAGGCTGGCGCATTGATAGTAGCGCACATATGATTGTTGTTTTTGTCTCGCTGATTACATAAATAAACACTGCTACGCGTGCGCATGTGTTTTGTGCAGGCATCACCAGTGTGTACACAAAAAAGAAAAAATACCCATGCATGTATGTACATATACATATGTACATGTACATAAATATTTATGTTATTGTAATTGGCTACGCTGTAAAACTAAGCTTTTAATACGTTTAAACAAACTTCCCTTACCGTTAGGTACTGTGACGCTGCTGCTGACTTTAAGAGGCAAAGCTATTTTTAAACAACCTGCAAACGCATACAACACACACACACACACACACACGCACACGTACACACCAATACACGCACACGCCCTATCGCTCGTCTCTTGTGGTATTCCATTTCTGGTTTTTGTCATTTTTTTTTTTTTTTTTATGCGTGGCATTCTTCGGCTCGCGCGAGCTTTCAAATGCTTGCAACTTATGGGGGGGCCATTTTGCATATTGTCGCATTTTCATGAATGAATTGCAACGCATTGGTGTTATTATTGTGCCTGCAGCTGCTTAGCTGATAAACTGCCTTGAGCTGCTCGCTATCAGCGTTTGCATGCTTTGTTTTTGTTTTGCGTGCCATTATCGGCAGCAGCAGCAGCAGCAGCAGCCGCATCAGCAGCAGCAGCAGCAAATGAAAATGAAACGCGCTCACTGACCTATAATAAGAATTTTCATAACTATCCACATGCCATGCATGTACATGCATGTACATACATGTGTACATGGCATGTGCATGTATATACATACACACATGCATAGACCACACAATATGTAAGGACTACAGCTTGATATGGGGAACTTAATTAAAAGATTCGCCTTCAACATAATTAAATTATCTTTAAGATATCGAAGGCATTCACATAAAAAAGTTATTAAATTTCTGCTTCCGATCGAAGCTAAACATATCCAAATTACTTTCATTTATAGTAGTATCTGTTAGTATCTATGCCAGCTTTAAATTGATTTCTTCACATTTATCGAACTTGTTCCAATTACATAATTTTTTTTTTTAAAAACAAGAACTTTCGTCTTTAAGTGATCAACAATATAAAGTTCAAATCCGGGAATTGAATTAGTTTTACTTTCGTTTCTTATAGGTTCGTTCTCCTCTTAACCATCTGATCGTTTTACTGCCATCTTTCGTAGCCTTTGGTTCTTATGGAATGAATTGTGTGTCGTATGCCGGAAATTGTGAAACCTTTTTCTATTCATGAATACCTTTGCGTAGCATTTTGTAGTACTGTCACGAATTCATAGGGTATTGTCCGCTACGATCAGGACAATGAATTGACTTGTCAATCTTTTTTCATTGAGCACATACACACATCCTAGCAGGCATCTTATATATACATACATATCTTATATGGTAACCAAGTGTTTCACTATCTATCGTCTATATATCGTTTAGATTTCAGTAAAGTTATATGTCTAGGCCCACTGGGGGCGTGGTAAATTGCAGTCTTGGTGCTAGGGTGAAGAAATTTTGAACGAAGACTATTTATGGAGGTGATCTACAGATCAAACTCTTTGCCTACATCCTCTAAGGAGGGGGCAAAACTGAAAATGCACTATATCTCTCTGATGAATGGGTAACCTGTTTTCAGCTGTTGGACTGTGAAAGAGTATCACGCAATCGGCTGCATCGGCGTGCAACATTCTTGGCTGTTGTTTTCCATGCTTCCGGACAAGAAACCTACGCGCCAGCTTATCGAAGTAGCCAGCTGATTGAAGAGCCAGATCAACCAGGCCAACCAAACAAACATTGTCCATTCATGGCCAACAGCGGCAAGTGTCGCGTATGCAACTACCCTATATGGTAGGCTGTGTACGTAGGGTATGCACGTTTAAGCATGGCATACATTGAAGACTCAAGTTTGGTATTTAATTTAGGCCAAGTGAATTGATTGTGACCCTATTATTATAAATATTAGTTTCAAGGTTGCAACTCGTGCGGTTCAAACCTGCATTGAATGAAGAGCGAAAGGAGAATTTGTAGGGGAACTCAGACGCAATGCAAACTTAAAAATAGACAAATGCAAATTTTGGGTAGGGATTTCAATTTAGCCCGAAAGTTCTATATGAAAATATTTACGGCTTGCAATATTCTCAGTGGAACGGGCATGGAAAATGTAAGACTAACCAGGGTTTGAACCAAAAGTTAGGCAGCTGGCTCAAACCGTAAATCCAACTAGCGACATTTTGTACTAACTGATTTCCTATATTATAACTATGGAAATTGGATGAAACACATTTTGTTCGGTTCGGTAAACACAGGGTATTTTTCAAGTCGGTCAGCTGCTTAAGGCCGAATACCCAAGCAATCAGTTTGATGATTTACTTATTGATATGCCCGACGCATGGTTGTGAGCTCACACACGCACACACACGCACACACACACACACACACACACACACACACATGCATACAGAAATGTACAAATGTGCATTTGTATGCGTGTGCGAGTGTGTATATTTATGATAACGCTGCATTTGTTGTTATTCTTTATTTATTGTTGCGTCTACATTTGTATCAATGTCAAGTTAACCATAAAAAAAAAGGTTTTGTCACTTACAGTTGACAACAATGCAACAACAAATACTGACCCCAATTCCAGTTGTATGTGGGTGGGTGGATGGGTGCATGGACGTATGTGTGCGTGCACACCTGCTGCATTGACTCGTGCAGCCGCTGACTAACCCATAAATAAATCAGCTAACAGAATCAGCAACCACATCCTCCACTGACGTCTTCTCGCTCATCATAAATTTGGCCATAAATCAGAGTCAAGTAGACAAATGAAAAGCTTTGCTCTGCTTGAATAAGCTTCAAAATACAAATATGTTAAGTGTTGTGCTCTCTCTCGCTCTCTCTCTCTCTCTCTCTCTCTCATCATTTCCACGGCTTTGCTCTATTTGCAGACAGCGACGTCAACAAAAAGTGATAGACAGCCAGCCAGCCAGCGATAACAGTGCACACGTTAACAGCGCGCGAACAACAGACGTTTAGCCATGACACAAACCCAGCATACAACGCGCAGTTGCAGCAGCAGCAGCAGCGATTTACAGCATGCGCAGCAGCGACGTCGACGCCAAATCCAGCCAAAGCAATTTTCGGCACTGCTGCTGTTGCTGCTGTTCAGCTGCGGCGCAGCCGTTACGACTGCCGCCGCGACTGCGCAGTCGCGCAACTATGCGCGGCCACAGCGTGCCATAGACGACGCTGCCGCCGAAGTCGAGGCAGCGGAGGCGACAACCTGCTGCCAGGGCGCAGCAGCCGCATCTGTTCAGCCTGTCACGGTGAGTATACACAGTGCAGTTGGCGCCAACGCGTCGCAACGAGACGTTGCATATTTGGGTCAGCAGCCCGCTGCAGTTGCAGTTGCAGCGCCAGCAGCGCCCGCTCTGATAAGAGCCACGCAAATGGACAGCGTGCCCTGGCCTGGCATTGATAGTGGCCGCCTTTTGATGCCAAGACAAATAGCGCGCATATTCCGCTTTAATTAGGCGTTACTCATGCAGCCACCTCGCACTTGTATTTGCTTTGCCAATTAAAAGATAAATCCAACCACCCCTCCCCCATACCACCCCACCTGCGTAGGACAGCGCCTCCACCTCAAAGCAGAAGTCGCAACGGAAATGATATTTTTGAAATATTTATGCGAGGTGGCAGTAAACAAACGTTAAGCGTGTGTTTACATAGATACAGATACAGATACAGATACGGATACGAATACACCTACAGATACCAAGATATAGATACAGATACAGATACAGTTACAGTTATCAGTTATCAGTAAAAATAATTGGATCGTATTTCGCCGCCTTCCGCTTTTCTAAGAACTGCGAATGCATGCGAATGGAATTTTTATTGTTCCTGGCAACGGAAACGTTGGGCCTAAGCGACTAACGCCTTAAAGTTCATTTAATCTTTAAGCTAACGGTAAAAGGTGTATGGAATAGTTGGATGTTTACATGAGCGTTATCTAGCTAAGAAATGCACAAGCAAGACAACAAGCCATACTTTTGCAGAAGCCAGTTCTCTGTTTGCCTCGCTCTCTCGATCTGGCCTGTATATATATCTATATAGTATTTGTCTGTGCTGCAACTTACCCCATAGAAGCTCCACATGAATGCAGGTTGTTCAGCTTTGCTAGACGGTTCCTTAAATTTTAGTTTTCGTATTGTTTTTGTTTATTTTTTTCTATTTTTTTTTTCTGTCCTTAATTTGCGTGTTGCATTTGTGGTTATAATGTAGATATATATTGATTTGAATTTATGTGTTGCCTTCTTTCTAAATGCTACTAGGATCTGCTCTATATAGTCTGTGGTTAATTTCACATCTTCAGCCATCGGCCAGTGCCTACTACGATCTTACACTGTTAAATAAAGGGGCGCACTTCGATTGTGCGTGCCCTGCTCAGCCTCTGAGTATAAATATATTCTCGGGTAACTTCGGTATTCAATGTGCGATCCTTATGAAATTTTCAGGGCACAAACGTAACATACAAATGTGTGTAAATTCCTAAGCGGAAGATGATACTAGGTTTTTGCGAGAAGCGGTGAAGTTATCGAGAAAGTTAAATGTACACAAGAATCTACAAACCAAATAAGTTCGCACTGGCTCCTAAAAGTTTCAAAGAACTGGATTTCCAGATCGATTTTTATCGATTTCATGAAAACGCGACAATTTATCGCTGTTTTGCTCGAGTAACTGAAGGAGCTACGTTCCAAGTTTCAGCTCTCTAGCTCGCATAGTTTTCGGGATCGTCGCGTAACCCATTTGGAATGGGTTCAGGGCATAAAATAATCAGTAGTTTGTTTGAACAGCTTGAGGGGCTATTTTCGTACCCATTCCCCCTACTCGCTCTGCTGCTGTTTACGTGCTAATTAGTTAGTAGCCACTAAATGGCAACTAGCGGCAGCTGCTGGTGACACCATGATTCATGGTCAAGGCACGAAGCCGCGACTCGACTCGACATTGACGCCAATGGGAGCGACGTGTCAATTGGTCAATCAGGCAATAAAAACAACAAACAGCTGAACAGCCCGGAATGGCATTTGGCACGTGTTTCGTTTAGGGAATACGCTGCGGCTTGAATACCCTATTCCGACCGGATTGACTCAGCTCTCAAAGATGTTTGGTTCTGGGCGACATCAAAAAAAAAAAAAAAAAAAAACAAAAACAAAAATGTGCTGCGCACGTTTCAATGGAATTTGTTGGCTAACGAATCGCTATTGGCCTGGCCAGTGACTAATCTGCCGAGTGGCAGAGTGACAGATACAGGTATATATGCTGCCGCATGTCTATGTACAGGTGTTTTCTATTGATTGCATTCGTCTGAGCCTTTGTTTAGCTGTTTTTTCCACACAAAACAGAGCCAAACACTTCGTAGAACGCAATATGTGAGCTTGTTCTACTCTGTTTAGGGGCTTCGCGTGTTTTGACACATCTGCTTTTTAGTTGCTCTGTTAATTAATTCGATTCATATCTAATCATTACATAAATCGCCCGCGTCAGCAGAGCCAGGCAGACGGCCCAGCTGATATGCCCCGCTGCCATTTGACAAGCCTGCGCTTGAACCACTTGCGAATTATAAACTCATGCTTTTGTACCGAGCACCAATTACTTAGTTTTTTGTTTTAAAGAGTTAGGTACATTGTATTGATGGAGAAACAGGCGAGAGTCCTCTGGTTAGCCTAACATAACCCAAAAGTTCTCGACTCTGGAATGTCCCATTCGAGATACCCTGAGCCCAGCGCATGCCAAAGCTGTCGCTTTGGGCATTTGAAGCATTTGGGAAATGTGTTCTCGTATCACTTGGTAGTGGTTCTTGCGCAAACGTTTTTGAATATACTATTAGAACATACATAAATATTGTTAATATGAATAATAAAAAAAATATGGGTTTCTTTTCGCACAGCTCGCGCTGGAGTTGGGCAAAGTGACGGCAGACTTTGGTGAAGCAGATGGCTCCGGCGAATTCTCTAAGGGTAAGAAGCGCTAAGAAAATAATCATATTTCTATTGAACTAATGTAATTCTTTACTTTACACTTGCTGCCACAGAGAACTTCAAGCGCAGCGTGTCACCAGGTAAGTGACACTATAAAAGATAGATTTTAGAGATTTCCTCTCGAGGCAATTGCTAATCGATTTCTTATCCGTTTTAGCTGCTGTGCGCAATGCAACGCCCGCGAGCTGCTCGCCACAGCCCACCATTGTGGAGCTGAAGCCACTGACGGAGCAGGCCGGCGAGCAGACGGCATCGAATGTCTACTATACGCCGGCGTGCACGCGCATCAATCGATGCAATGGCTGCTGCGGCTCCACGCTGATCGCATGCCAGCCGACGCAGACGGAGACGCTGCGGCTGCGCGTCCGGAAGGTGGAGCGTTTTGGGGCCAGCAGCAAGCGTGAATCTGCCATTGTCAGTGTGGAGCAGCATTTGGCCTGTAAATGCGATTGCCGCATCAAGGCCGAGGACTGCAATGCGTATCAGGAGTATCGCAAGGATCTGTGCCGCTGCGAGTGCCAGAACACGGATGCCCGCGACAAGTGCCTGGAGCAATCGGATCACAAATACTGGGACGATGCCAACTGCACCTGCGCCTGTCGCTACAATCAATCCTGCACCACCGGCACCGTCTTCGATGAGACGCAATGCAAATGCACCGATGTGAGTGACGGCTACGCCAACGAGATTTCATCAATTCGGCGATAGATTGATTCAAATTGAGTTTCGTTTGCGGTTACGGTTCCGTTTCTGGTTGTGGGTTGTGTTCTGTTTTCCGGGCTGGTTGTTGGTTTTGTTTGTCTAATGCTCATCCACAATGCAAACAGACATGAAAGGCACACACGCTCTCACTCAGGACTTTAAATCTGAATCAATTATATATATATATATATATATTTATATATATGAACGTTTCGTTTATTGTCTAAGTTAAATTGCATAATTGTCGTGTTAATGTCCTAATTTAAAATGTGTTTCTGTTTTATTTTCTTTTATGTTTTATTTTAGATCAAAAGTCTCGAGTATTATTCCTAGAATACACACATTCTATAACACACTGAAAACACATAGATCCTATGCTCGTTGTTGTTGTTTGTTTGTTTGTTTCAAATACGTGATAAACAAAAAGAAAGGCAGCTTTATTTGCAGAAGAAATTCAAAAATCATACATCACAGTCACATGACCATTATCAATCAATCAATCAATCAATCAATACAGCAACAAACAGCACTTGAGAGAAAGAACAGAATTGATAAACAAAAAAAGAGAAGAAATTTAATTTTGAAAAAAAAAAAACATTTTGCTTGAACCAATTTGTGATACGTTTGCATTCGAAAATTGATTTATGTATATGAATATTTGTTAAATTAAAAAATGTTAAATGATTAGGAATTCGTTTAGAGAATGTTTAAGGCAAATGTAACTTATAGCTGAGTTGAGGCCAAAACACACACAACGTTATTTGTGTTGCATTGTGTGAGTATTTTCGTTGATTTATGTTTATACATATGCATCCATCTATTGTTATATATTATTATCCTGCATGTGCTTCGGTATCCTTGATCAACCCAGCTACGTATAAATCTGCTTGATATTCCCCCATATATAGTTAACAGCCATTAACCAACTGACTCTTATCATACACAATTATCCTAGTATATATATATATATATATATATTAATTATGTTTCTCTATTGTCAGCCATCGGCGCCCAGCGATGTGGCGGACCGCAGACGCTTCATAGTACAGGCCGTCGCCGTGGAGCCGGACAACAGCACCCTCTACAGCGTCTAGGCGAGATTCTACGGGCCGTTCGTACTGAAGTTTACTAAAGCATACACAAATTACACCTATACGTAATTTAAAGTACTTTATATTATTTATAAAACACATAGCTTTACTTATCTTATCTAGCTATACAGCCCGTTCATATATTTCAGTATTTCATCTTTTGTTTTTTCTTTGTTTGTCCGTTAATTTTAAAAGCGATTTTCATTCAATTGCTTTTTTTCTCAATGGGATTTTGTGTAGCTCCCAGAATTCGTGCATTCCATTTAATTATGTGTATGGTTTTTTTTCATTTGCTTTGTTTAAGTTTTAAATTTTTCGCATTTTACACAACATTTCTGTCAATCGTAGCTCTAAGACTTAAATAACAAACACAGTTCAATTGTCGTCTTTATACGAAACAATTGTAGGCGAGTTACTATAATTCATAATAATATGTATCATTATTCCGCGTCCGTTACATAAAAAAAAAAAAAAGAAAATCAATTAATAATGAAGAAAAAAATATTGTTTGTTATTTAAATTCACAGATTTGTGTTGGCTTATGCCAAAACGTTGCGAAAAATAATGTACAATAAATACAATTCAAATATCTGAAAGATTCAGTTTAGGTAAAATGCAAGGCTGCAAACAAATTTTGAAACGCACCGGTTCAAACCCGGAATTCCTATTTGTAGTATAGTATCAAGCGATATGCACAGGCGCCTTGCCGACCACGGACAATGTGGTCAAGATCGGAGAGCAGCAGCGATGCAATTCAACTGAGTTATTTGAACGGAGATCATTGAATGGCGTTAAGATTGTGTTCAACTGTTATATTGCCATTGATTGGGGCAATCGAAAGCAATGAGGCACTCATAAATCCCGTCGCTGAATGTCAGCAGATAAGATATCGAAATGGCGAAATCTAGTTTAGTTTCTTGGTGGCCAGTTGCCTTATAAATAATCGTTGTCCAGATTAGACTAACGTCGTGTATAAAAGACTTTGCGTTGACTGCGGCGCGTTTCAGTTACGTCGTCACGATGATTTCCAGTTTGATTGGATCGATTTTGCTGCTGGCTGCCGTTTGCCATGGAGCACCACCTGGTAGTCTCAGCGGTCGCATTGTGGGCGGCGAAGATGCCACACAGGCGCAGTTTCCGCATCAAATATCGCTGCGCAACGGCGACTCCCATAGCTGCGGCGGATCAATCATATCGAGGAACTGGGTGCTTACCGCGGCTCATTGTGTTTCCTACGAGGATGCCAATGGGGAGTTAGTCATTCAGCCAGCCAGCCGGTATAGCATCCGTGCCGGCAGCAATGATCGACTCAAAGGAGGCGTTCTGCTGCAGGTGGTCGAGATCATTGTGCACGAGGATTATGGCAATTTCCTTAACGATGTGGCTATACTTCGCGTGGAGGCACCCTTTATCTACTCGGCAAACATCCAGCCGATCGCATTGCCCACCAAATATACGCCAGACGACGCTGACATTATTGTCTCTGGCTGGGGTCGCCTTACCCAGGGCGGCGATGTGCCACGATATCTGCAATGGACAACGCTCAAATCGCTGTCGCTGCTGGAATGTGATAGTCGCATTGGATATGGATATCCCAATATCTTGTGCCTGCTCCATGAGGCGGACAACGGTGTCTGCAATGGAGACTCGGGTGGTCCTGCCCTCTACAACAATGAAGTTGTTGGCATTGCCGGCTTTGTCTATGGTGGCTGCGGCACCACCAACCCAGATGGCTATGCACGTGTTCATCTCTTTGTGGATTGGATTAAAGCCCACACCGATGTCGAGTAGGATAACTATACAACTTTTTTGTTAAAATTGATTCGAAATAAACTTTAAAAATTACTTTCTCGGTTTCGTCGGAAGGGACTTGGAGTAATGGATACTACGATACGAGACAGACTGACAGAGAGAGAGAGAGAAAGAGAGAGACAGACAGAAAAGTCGCTTGATAAAGAGAGAAAGAAAGAGCTAATGATATATAGTCAGGCATTGCTTGAAATTGTGAAAATTGCATAGAAAGGCGACTCGTATTTAATAATAACTTGATTTGCATATCGTTTTAACGTACTGCAGGGCCCAATATACGATGTCTCTAACACTTATTGTATTCTCTCCATATAATTGGGGGCAAACAATAACTAAACATTTATCTACCAAGTCCTTTCCAAAGATGTTTCATGATTTGGCCTACAAATTATTTCTAGCACAATTGGAACAATATTTACTTTTAATTCAAGTGATCCACTAATATACATTGATATTGTTTGATTTGATAGCTACAATTATTGGAATCTCGGACAGTATTAAGGTATTTAGGGTAAAGCACAAGGGAGCTTGCTCGCATTACCATATTAGGCATGATCTTCAAAACGGAATCTTAATCGTTAATATTATCTTCAATGCCATCGCCGATCGGGACGTTATTTAGACATTGCATATAGATTTGTATATCTAGTCTATAGCTAAACTGCTCGAGCCGACGCCGAGCGATCGGATCTCATTTGACATCGAGTGTGCGCTGGAACATGTGCATGGCCAATGAGCGCAGTCCCTCGCTGACAATGGGCACGTTGCGTGGAAAGTCGCATTCACGGGCTGGCAGGCCGCACAGCTGACGGCGCAAACGTAAATCTTGGCGTGCGCTTAATGCACGACTGCCCGGTCCGCAGACATTACCCACCAAGCGCTGTCGCTCGGCAGCTGCGCTGCGCAAGCCCATCTGGACACAGGCCAGCGGCTCCACATGCTCGGTATCCAGCAGCTCGCGATAGTCGTGTGCTGGTGGCGTCTTGCTAGGCTCAGTTGAATCGCCATTGGCTTCCGTTTTTACCAGCATCTTGTGCTGCTGCGCTTGTTGCTCTTCCTGTAGCAGCTGCTGACGCGCATCCTCAATAATGCGACGGGCATATTGTGGGCCGGCCATGCCAAAACTGATGCCCATATCGAGGAGCACGCGATGTGGCTGCCAGCGCTGTTTAGCGGAGGTGTTCCGATCGGCGCCCTGCTGTGCTGCATGCTCTGTCGCCTGCTGTCGCGTCTCCGCAATTAAACCCTGCCAGTCGACGCCCAAAGCATCACCAATGCCTGCAAAGCGAAGTGCATGAATTAAAATTGTGTGCTGTCATCCTGAATCAAACTTTGCTTAGGATTCATTTATCCATTTTTATGTTAGAGCTCTCGCTGTTGCTGTCTCTTACCCTTGTGCCTAGCATCCTCCTCCAATTCGCCGTCTGATATCTCTTCGAAGTCCAGCACCTCGTCCACCTCCTCGCTTTTAATGTTTGTCTGTGCCTGTGTCTGCGACTCAGGCTGTGTTTCGCCTTTGATAAGCTCTTCGCTGGTGGACAACGTGTCGGTGGATAGCTCTTGGGTGCCAGCTAGGGCGCTATCCAGTTGCAGCTCGCATTTGGGCTTCACTTTATCAGTTTTGTTGAGTATATCATCGTCGCTGTCACTGATTTCGCTTAGCTCGCCGTTTGGCTTTGGCTCCTCCTTAAGCTGGCGCAGGGACGTATCTGTGGATAGTTCCGATGCTGGCTCACCGGCTCCGGTGTTCTGGCCAAGCTCCGATGTGCCCGCCGAATCCTCGGATGCATCTTCCTGCTTGATGTTTGGCAGCTTGCTAACTTGCGCCAATATGCCCGGATTGGTGGTGGCATTGGCAGCGCTCTGTGCTGCAGCCTTGGCTGCCGCCACAGCCGTGGTGGCAGCTGCTACAGCACTGGCCTGTGCCGCGGCATTGCCTGGCTTGGGCTGGGCGTGCGGCAGCGCTTGGGTAGCAGACGCCGCTGTAGTCGCTGCCGCTGGCGGCATATGTGGATGCTTCTTGAGAAAGGCGCCACCGCCAACACCGCCTCCATAGGGCATACGCTTGTGCGGAAAGCCACGCCCGCTGCCACCGCCACCATGATAGCCACCTGGTGGCTGCACTGGCAGAGTCATTAGCGGCGGTGGGTGCGACCTGTAGCCACGTTCGCCATGGTCATGGCCATGCGCCGGGCCACCGCCGCCGCCACCACCACGACGAAAGCCGCGTCCTCCGCCTCGCTCGCCACGTGGATGCACATGATGATGCGGCGAGGGTGAGGGTGGATGATGCGGCGGTTGCACATCAACGCCAGCTCCATTGTTTCGCCCAAAGTTCGGCTCATCGCTGTCCCGCCAGTCGCTGTTCGACTGCTGCCACGAGCGCGGCTTTTCGCGCTGATCATGCTCCAGCCAGGCAGGCTCATTCTTAACCACACCGACACCATTATCGCCGCACTCCTCTCGCTCATCAGCATCCCAATCGGGCTCCGAGGCGGAATGATGCTGTTGCTGTGATGTTTGTTGTGTTGGCGGCTTCGGCCGCTTGGGGCCACCCACAAAGCCGCTGGCGCGTCCAGGCGTAACGTTGCCATTTGCACCGCCACTGCCACCGCCGCCTACATCTTCGTCCCAGTCGCGCTCCCACTCGGCGCGATAATCACCGCGTGACGGCAAACGCTCGCGTTCTCGCTCTCTCTCCCGCTCGCGTTCACGCAAAATGCGCTCTCGCTCCTCTGGATAGAGCGCATCATCCGCGCCCAGTTCACGATAGTCGCGCAGATCGCGCGCCTCCAGCCACGCCTCACGCTCCCTAGAGTAGCGTGCATCCATATACGCACGTTTGTAGGCCCTGCAAATAGGAATTGAGTTCAAATAGGTATTGCTATGAGTAGAATTTCGTTGGGGTTGATATCTGGACATTTGCATGGCTTATTGACCCATTAATTGTGATAAAGATGGGAAACTCCTGCCGCGGCTTAGATCCCATTTTCAAAGTCCCTCTCAGGTGCAAAATGAATTTTTTAAATATCTATGTATCAAAATAACTTGAGACTTCCAGCTTGAGATTGTACAGAGATCGGATATGGGCGAAAAATAGAAGCACAAAATTTGAAGCAAAGCATGATACGGGCAGGACCGGGCAGTACCAGCTAGTATTGAAGGGCTAATCCGCAGGCCAAACGTATGTATTAACAAATAAACTTGATCTGCATGTGGCATACGCGACTCGAAATGCAGAGTTTTGAGCTAGCTGGGTCAACTGGGCCTCGACCCAATCACTGGTTTATGTAAATGTTATGCTTTATGATTTTGGGGGTAAATGGGATTATTGTTGTTACCGCTCTCGTTCCTCCTCTGAGTATAGATCGCGTGGATCTCGCAAGCGCGGCGGATAGTGCTCGGGCAGGGGGCTGAGCTCGCGACGTCTTTGACCGCCATAGCGGCGCATCTCGTCGATTAGGCCGTGTCGTTCGGCTTCGATAAATTCCTGTTCACGCTCATACACATCCAGATCGCGCTTGTCGCGCACATGTCGACCCGTGCGCTCCACTGTTTCCAGCGAACGTTCGCGGCTGCCGTATGGCATGGGCATGTCCAGATCCCGTACGCCAGCACCGCCGTATGGTTTTTTGCCCTCCTCCTCCTCCTGGCGACGCATCTTTTCGCGTGCCAAACGCTCACGCTCCCGCTGCCGCTCCTGGCAGCGTGCCAATGCCTCGGCCCGCTCCTTGTCACGTGCCGCCTCACGTTCGGCACGTTCCCGTTCACGATCGCGTCGATCCCGTTCACGTTCGCGCAACGATATGTCATCATGCCGCTGCAACTTGTGTTCGTGCCGCTGCCGATCGTGCTCCCGTTCCACACGCTCGCGTTCGCGCTCCCGCTCCCTTTCACGCTCGATGCGTTCGCGTTCTCGCTCCCTCTCCCGTTCACGTTCCAGTGACGGTGTGCGTCCCCGTGCACGCGTTTGTATTATGATCTTCTCGCGCGACATTAGGTGATGATGCATACGGGCTGCGGGCGTTCCGTTTGGACCTAAGCCCGATCCGGGGCACGGACTCTTCTGCCGCTTGCCCACCACATCCTGATGTATGCGTATTTTGGTGGTGGTCGTGGTGCTGGAGACGCCCGTCGGCGACCGACTGCTGCCCAAGCGATGATGATCCCGCTCCCGATCACGATGCACGCCGCGCAGCTTCTCGCGCTGCTCTTTGCTGGCAGCGCGTAAATGCTTGCGCTCCGCCAACTTCTTTAGTTTGGCCTGTGTGGCCGGCGAGAGGGCGCGATGGCCGTGGCCACTAAGCGCGGCGGCGGCTCGCTTTTTGAGACGCGCCTCCTTGAGCTTACGCTTGATGTGATTACGCTTGGCCACCAGTTTCTTTTGGACATGATCTCTGTCCCGATCACGATCTCGCTCCCGATCACGCTTATCGCGCTTGCGTCGCTCGTCACCCGACGACGTGCTGCCCGCACGCCGCGAGCTCTTCTTCTTCCGATGATGGCGCTCGGCAGCACGCTGATGCGGATGGGCATGTCCATGATGGTCGCGCTCGCTGTCAGAGCTGCTGTAGGAACTGCTGCCGCTGTCCGTGTCCGTGCTGGAGCTTTCGCTGCTGGAGTGTGTGTGTCGTGATTTTTTGTAGCGACGCAATTGGTCTTTGGCTTTTTTCTCCATCTCCATTTAAATGCGCATTAATGTGAACAACACAAGTCGAGTGGACAATTCGCGCGCTTTCGTCGAAACCAATGTTTTTTGTTGATGTTTATGTTTATCGTTTGGCGTCGTTTATTTTGCAATCTTGTAGCTACAATTTGTCAGCTTATTTATTTTTCTAATTTAGATTTGCATTCTCATAAATTTATCGATATATTTGCAGTGCTGTCGATGCGATGCGTTGGCAGAATTGTTCGCCGTTGACAACAGATGGCGCCAGTGTGCAATCGCACACAGAGGGCGCCAAAGGGCTCGCCCAACACATTTATTTGAATGTCAAATATTTAAACGTTACATTAAAAGCTGCAAAACAATTTCAATGAAATCAATTATTATTCAATAAATTCACTTAAATATTTATTTATTTCTATTTTCTAAACATTTGGCACATGTACTTATTACCTAACTGAGGACTAGCTATAGCTAACACGGTTAGTTGCTATTTACAAAATAACAATATAACAAATAGCCAGTTGCCTCTGATAGAATTTCGAGGCGTATAGCTTATTCGGAAATTGGTGGGTGGTAGTTTTACAATAATACTACATTAGTAAGATTTATTGTACATTATGCTATGCCTCGTTGTTTTTGTTTTGGTTGTACATGTTCTCTGTGTTTTGTAATTGCGCTAGCTCGGTTTCTATTGTGTGTTGTTTTGTGGTGAATGCAGTTTAGCTCAGCTCATGCCAAAAAAATGATTAAACAAAAATATATATATATATATATAACAATAACAACTGCAATTGAAAGAAGGGCCAAGCCGGCGTTAAGGTGCTCAGTCGCTAGAGCTTGCGCAGCTTTTCGGGCACAACTAACGGATTATCACGGCGTATTTCGCTGGCGCCCATTTCGCGATAATCGAAGCTGCAATCGTGGCGATCGCTATAGCGATGGAAGGCACAAAATGTGCCGCCGCAACGGCAGGAGAACCCGCCGGTCAGGCCAAATTTCTTGCCGCACTTGTCGCAGCCCTTCTGCTTTGGCTGCTCCTGAGCCTGACCATTATCGGCAGCATCCGGCCCTCCAGAGGACTGCTGATTGCCTCCGGCCTCCGGTTCATCAATTTGCTGATGCTGCTTTTTACCCTGTGCAGCATCGGCTACTTGCTCCTCTGGTAGCTTTGCAACGCAGTCGGTTATAGTATCTGTTCCGGTGCCAGTTACATCCAATGGGGCGTTCGAATCCATTATCTTCGACTTCAGTGTGCGCGTGGTGCTGCCATCATTAGAGATTGAATCAATTGTGTCCTCCTTCGCTTTACCAAACTCGCGCAGTTTTCTATTTTCCATCTTAACCGGGTTTTCAGATTCGTTTGTCAAAGCCTTCAGTATAAAATTTATTGAATTTTGCTGCCCAAGTCTACTACGACTTCCAAGTGTCTGAACAACCAGCAGATGAATGTGCATTAAAGCTGTAAAAAGGCAAAAATCAGTTAGGTATGGAACAATTGGTCCATCCTCACCGAATTAACTTATCGAAAATCGAATTTACTGTACTTATTTCTAGTTAGAGCGAATAATACTAGATTTTCATATGTACATATATGAATTTCAAAGTCGGTTATATAACACCAAAACATAAAAAAAGAACAAAAGGCACGTGTTTTGCTTTTTATTATTCAATAGACATTCAACAATCCAACAACGTAGATCCTACGACCAACCACCTCCCTGGGAAAGGAGCCAGCTGAGCAAATTAAAGCTAAGCGTTGCCATTGATTACGTCCTGCATGTGCCGACGATACCAATCCCCCACTGGCGTTCCCAGCACACAAACAAACGCGCCATAGCACCAGTCAAGCACGGTCCGGGTGGAGCGGCGAGCATGTGCATTGCAGCTGTTAATGGCCGGCACAGTTTGCTCGAGATTCAACCGTCGCGGGCCACCGAAGCTCTCAACAATGCGCATCGCATCAAAGCCCATGCCATCTTGCCATAACTGTAGACGCGTCCAGAAGCAATAGACATAACGGTGCACATACGGTAAGTTCCTGTACAGCTGCCGTTCCAGCGCCAGTCGCTGGTCTGGACCAATTCTCTCGCTGCGATAGCACTCATCCCGAGCACGGAGAATCGCCAACGATTGGGCGGACCTTGCTGATGAAGTCGTCGACGTTGGCAGTGCCAACAGCAGGCTGTCACGTGTCAGCGCTGTGAACTGCGGTAAATAAAACTAGTGTCAATTATTTATCGTTATCGATAACAGCTTGCTGGGCAAATTAACGGTATGCGTATGCAGCGTATGTGTGCAGGCCGTAACTGTTTCCATATTTGATGCTCCTATTCATGCAATACTTGTAAGTATAAGCGTTTAGTGTATAGTAGCTATACTCATTCTTTGAACTGCCTGAGAGTTGCCAATATACAGTGGCGGGCAAAAAATCCGAACAACCACTTTTCCATTGTTCATTGGTTTAGTACGATCGTCATAGCTATTTTGTTTTTACCGCTAGGGTGTGTTTTTTTTTCGGAGTACAGCTATTCGGTACAATTAAATGTATTGATAAATAATAAATAATATTGATAAATATTCTCAGAAAAAAAATCTCAAAAAAATCTGCGGCCATAATATTTAGGTTTAAAAGTCTTTCATCGAAAACTTTCTTCATAAATTATGATGTAGCCGAATCAAAAAGGAATCAAATACTGAAGTATGTTTCTCCAATCAGAAAGAAATCGAACAAGGTGCAATTTAAATATTCAGCTATTCACAAAAAAAAAAGCTAAAATATAGTTTTATTAGTTGATTAGTTTTTTATAGTTTATTCCTGTCCGGATTTTTCGCCCGCTACTGTACATGCAAAGTTAATTGGGTTTACGATTTGTTTGAACAGGTTTTTAGTACGTAATCGTAAAAATTACAAAAATAAAAGAAAAGAAAAGATAAGCAAGATGAAATTGAGTATACTTTGTTAACCCCTTCCAGTAACTCATAGAGCATTCATATTTGCTTTCGATTTGCGGCTAAAATCGGTAAAATTACTTGATTTTCGAAATCGTCAAGTTATTTAGCTTTAAGTGAGTGTATAACATGTTATAATAGATACTTAGATAATAAATACATTTATGCTCTATCCAGATTTCTGTGTTTTAAGTGAATAACTCACCAGCACCGACAACAAGATCAGCACTCGTATTATTGTCATCTTGGGTCCACCGATGGAGCCGGACTGAGCAGCATGTGGATAAGGGCATACAGCATCTGTAAATTGCTGATTGCGCTTATCAAGAATCAGCATCATGAACAACAGCGTTGATATCCATTGTAATTGCCCCCAACCCTTCGCCAGCAGGCCAGACGAGTGCAGCAGGAATGACGTCAGCCATTTGGCATTTGGCACGTAACGTACGTAGATGAAGCCAGAACCGTATCCAGTTGGGGGTAGGCAATAATCGAATTGGATTGTTTCTGATCGGTTCGGATTGGATTGGATTGGATTGGATTGGCAGTCACAGCTGCCGCTCGTCATCTGTTTTATGTTAACACATAAGTCGGGCATATATTAGAGGTATTCGCAAACAGTGTTCATGTGTGTTGTGGATGATCATCTATGCGGATCATGTGCATATGGAACGCAGCGGCAACATTTTTGTAAGATTCCACACTTGTATTTGCTTGTAAACAAGAATTTTTCGATTTTCTCCTTCTTTTTATATGTGCATATAAATATATCTAGATATGTATATATTTTGTATTTGATATTTTTCGGTGATCTTGCAAATGGCGCAGAAGCCAAATATCCATATCCAAATCCACAGCCCAAGTTCACATCGAAAAGCAAATCAAATTGAATTCGATTCGACAGGCAGCCGAAACGAGCGCATTAATAATTGATTGCGTTTAAGTATATTAAAATCGAATATAACTTTAGCAAATCTCCAAGGCTGGGGCCTGGCATCTGGATGCGATCACCAGCATGTGCAAGATTTTGTAAATGTCCGTGCGAATATGACATTGAAATAAACGAAGTTTACAGAAATACCATACGTATACATATATATATATATAAATATATTAATGGTATTCCCTGAAGGTTCAAACTTGACATTATTAAGTTTACATAATAATAAACTAAAATAGTTTAAGATTAATAGAACCTAATTTTTATCATCTTCCGCCCACAGAACAAGCGGATTTGTTATATCCATATCCATCTCTGCATATAATGTGAACTAATATGCGATTAATATGCGACCTATAAAAACTTGTACGTACGTCTGCTTTCTGTTGCAGCCGCAACTATGTACTTAAAACATATTTTTACTGAGCTACAAAAATGATTTTAATGATCTTGCCTCGATGTTCTCTACACATATATTTCCGCATATTAAAATCAAATTTTACTAGCAATCATTTCAAGGTATAATCGAATTTTGGTATTTTGCACAGTAAAGTACATTTAATTGCTGCTCCATCAGTTGGAAAACGGATAAGTTTCCTTTAAGACACGATTCTTTCTAGTTTTAAACATTTATCTGTAACATAGGTATATATGTTTTTAAGCTCTACCATAAATCTAGACAGCTAGAAAAAAAAAGAAACAATTCTATCAATTTACATGGCACACACTAGTTGACTGTCAGTTGGGGTCGGTTGGGGCAGTACGGGGTGTGCTGGGTATGTCAACTCAACGCCAAATTTGCCGCCATCAACTGACGCCGTAGTCGGCGTCGTCGTGACAAAGTCGCGCAAATATTTTAATTGCAATTTTTTTCTAGCTGCCGTCGTGTTGGTCGCATCGCATTTTTCTACCTTAAGATTATAAGTAAAATTAACAATTTTTAATTGACTCTGAAAATTAAAACAGCAACAGCAACACGGCGAGCTGCATTCAAAATTTTCAGCAAATTTTCATAGATATTTTGTCGAATATATTTCTAAATATTATTTTAGATCGTATATACCCCAAACAAATTACCAAGCAGGCTGTATTGATTTCTAACATTTACATTGCAAGGTGGCAACCCTGCATAGCTGGTTATAAATATTTACAAGGCAGTTGAACTGTCCGGCAACTTATTGATACCAAAATGTGCTAGACGAGTAAACAAAGTTGGCAATATACATACATACTTTTAAGTGAAAGCAAAGATAATAGCTAGGGCACCAACCATTGGATTTATCTAACCATGTTTGGGGTAGATACCAATTTTGGGTAGAGCTCAAATTTAGCCCGTAACTTCTATATGAAAATATCGAGGGTTTGCAATATTTTCCATAGAACGGGCAATATTATAAAATATGTATGTATGACAAACTAAGGCTTAAATGAAAATCTGGATTCAACGCTTCACGAACCGAACTTAAAGGCAGGAAGCCAAGCCAAGCCACAGAACAATTTTTTTTGAGCCTGCAGCTCTACTTATGTTACTTGTAAGAATTGTACAGGGTATCTTATAATAGTTAGCTTGCTGGTATGGGGCATCCTGCAGTCGAGCCACTTTTTGCCGCAGCACGCCCACTTTTTGGCTTCTACAGCAATTTGTTGCATTCGGCCCACGCGGCGTATGAGTGTTTGTGAGTGTGTGCATCCGTGTGTGTGTGTATGCTAGTGTGTGTGTTTGTGAGGTGCATTTTAGATCTGTGCTTTAATTATGCACTTTTTATTTTAGTTTTCTTCAGCGGAAGCGTTGACCACATGATGCTGTGGCTAGGATGCACATGGGCCAATGGAGCGAATGCGCAATGCTCAATGCTTGGCCTGTGACAAGGCTGGAGAGCGGCTGAGTCTTGGGAGTGTGGTGCGGCCGGATTAGGGCGACAATTTTTGACATGGCCGATGACATAGCGATGGCGATTGCGATGGCGTCAAATATTCAAATGCCAACGGCGCGCATCGAAAACGCGTGAAAGCGCCAACAATTTTCACTTGTTCTTGAGCTGTGCAAAACATTTCGCAAGGTATTTGCAGTTTTTGAATTTTATTACATTATTATGCATATTTGTTGTAGAATCGCAATTAATAATAACAGAGCAACAACAACTTGGTACACGAGTCGCTCGCGCTTGATTTGTTTGGCATTTATTTCAATTTTATTAAATTAAAGTTGTTTTTGTTGTTATTTTTTGGCATTAGTAGCCGGCAACGGAAATCTTTCGCATTGGCAACAATCTTAGCCAATTTGGCTGTCTGCGCCGCCACCTGACCAATTTTGTGCGCGTGAGCCCACGGCCTGCACTGATCACAGGGGGATGAATGATGAGTGCATATAGGAGGCGATGTCAACATGGGCGATTGTCAATTGTCATGCTGTTTTCAATCAAAATCTGACAAATACTGAGCATTTTCGGGCTGCACATGATTGCCCCAACATAAAAGTATTATTTGTGTTCATATACTTTTAATATATATAAATATCTATTGTTAGCGTGTGAGTTTCACAAATACAATGCGATGATGCAACTCTTCGTTTAATCTTTAACAAAATGCTTGCAGTGGGAACAGTGTAAATAATTTAGAACAAAATTCGTGCAGTGGGAACAGATATCAGCACGTCGACTTACACTAGATTCAAAATGTGTGTGTGTGTGTAGATATGTGAGCATGTGCTTCGCCGATACTTATACTTATACTTATACTTATACTTATACTTATACTTATACTTATACTTATACTTATACTTATACTCATACTAATACTTATACTTATACTTATACTTATACTTATACTTATACTTATACTTATACTTATACTTATACTTATACTTATACTTATACTTATACTTATACTTATACTTATACTTATACTCATACTTATACTTATACTTATACTTATACTTATACTTATACTTATACTTATACTTATACTTATACTTATACTTATACTTATACTTATACTTATACTTATACTTATACTTATACTTATACTTATACTTATACTTATACTTATACTTATACTTATACTTATACTTATACTTATACTTATACTTATACTTATACTTACACTTGCACTTACACTTACACTTACACTTACACTTACACTTACACTTACACTTACACTTACACTTACACTTACACTTATACTTATACTTATACTTATACTTATACTTTTACTTTAACGAATTTCAATTGTTATATGTTGGCATTTATTGAGGACAGTTTATTTATTGTTATAATGGTTTTGAAGTATCAACAGTTTCTTATCAGTATATACTTGTTCTGAAAACATAGTCATTTACATACATCTAATGATTAGTCTCTAATCAGTTATTTCTTCGTTGTCTTGGTGTCTTATTGTTTAATAAAGAGAACACCGCATCATGATAATGTCAGGGAAAAACGCACACAAACTAAACAAATTATGATCTTTATACACAAAGCCGTCTATGGAAAGGGCAGCCCAATTACTTTATACACATAGATATTTATGTTATATTTACACAATTATAACGATCTGTTAATTTAAAATAATCCAATAAAAAGACGTCTTAAGTAGTTAGAAGAACTTTGCAATATTTATTTCTTGTAGCCCACACTTAGGCGCTATGGTTCTTAATCACCTTCTTTTCATTGGGGCAGTCGAAGGTCACCTCAATGCCATTTGGCAGCCAAGACCTATTCCAGATCTCAACGTTGCACACCTTCTTATCATCATTACTATCGATAAGCTCCACATTGTATTTATCCAATGAGCCCGAAACAACCTGTGTGCTTGCCGATAAAACCTTCGAGATACTTTTCAAAAGAGAAACGTCGTATCTTTAGTGCGCAGGTCCTTAACAAATTACAGAATTCGGATGCCTACCGGTAGGTGGGTCCTTCTCCAGCGGCCAGCTTGGTCAGAGAGCTCTGCAGCCTATTTGTAGCCTCTTCAATTTCACTTTCGCTCAGCTGTCGTGGACCACCAAATACCTGGGGATAGCCACTGACCAGCACAACAGCCGCACAGACGAACAATACCTTTGCCACAAACATCTTGGTCTTCGGAGCTGTTTAATGTCAAATATAGACTGACTAGAAAGCAATGTGGACCAAATTTATATAGGCATCAGTTTATGTGTTATCAACTGCAGCAGCTTTGCTTGTATATACATTGATTAGCTTTTGACCCATGCTGATTAAATCTTTCATATAAAATATTTGAATATGTTTGAGTAATTCAATAGATGTCGAAAAAGAAGGAATAGCACACATTTTTATACACTGAGCCAACTAAAAATGGGTAAAAAGGGTATAATTTTTTTGTGCAAATGTATGTAACAGGCAGAATGAAGCATCTCCGACCCCATAAAGTATATATATTCTTGATCAGCATCAATAGCCGAGTCGATTTACCGCCACCTCCCCCCTACCTCCGAAGAGCTATAAATCAAGTTTATAACCCAAATTATACTGCCCACCAATTTAAGCCACAATTTTAATGCTATTGACATTCATGCGCGTCTGCTTCAAATTCTATCAACAGAATTTCAATAACGATTGTTTTCTGTGCTGCTATTTTAATTCGTTATTTCTCAATAATACTTAATAATTGGAGTGTCTGTTGAGTAGAGTCATCATCAGTTGCGATTTCGGAAACTTGTTTATAAATTTATCTTTATTACTTCAAACGAGCGCGTTGCGCGAACTACATTTGGTGTTGAAACAAGAGGGTTCAGGGTATTCCCTAGTCGGGAGCTTCCGACTAGAGCCTCTTACTTGTTTAAATATAATTTTGTATACGGTTTAAAAACGAGAGATTCCGATTAATTTTTAGCTCAATTAAAATTGTAAATTGTTTGAATTTAAATAAGAGTATCATCGGAAATGGATTGTTCCATAATTATTTGTAACGTATTTTAAAGTCTAATGAACTCTTATTTGCATAGGTCAATAAATTATTTAAGAAACAGAAAATTATGTTTAAATTAATTAAGAATTTTATATAAAATATGGGCATACAAATTAAAAAGATGTGTATAGTAGCTGGTTTGGCCCGGCATTGCCCGGCCCAAGTGCTCTTAAATACTTTTTGACAAAGTCAGCAAGGACTCATCAAATCGAAGATTAAATACCCCTTAAGGCATATTGGTAAGTTTTTCATTAAGTGAATGGAATTTAGCGGAGCTTTATATTTATGTTTATATCAATAATAAATTAAGAATCTTTTTTTTTTTTTCAAGAGGGGGCTAGCATCCACTTAAAACCCTCTCATGATGCCCATCTCCACTTCAAAATGGGGGCTATCTCTTGCTTTGCGCTTTGATATTTTTGGCAGCGACCAGACAAACAATTCCAATTATAACAATAATAATTATATATTAAAATTGATATTATTTACAATTTGAACTGCAGACCTCGTTAATTGATTATCTGCGCTCCGTAATTATACATAGATGAGTCGCTATTATAGGATGACGACGATTAATTGCGGATCGCATCAAAGTACAAGCACGAGTACGGGAAGACGAACAAACATTTTAGCAAGAATGTCAAATGATTTAAGCTTGTCGAGTATGTTCTTCCCCGCCCTCGGTTGGCCACCTCCCTGGTCCGATTTCACTCCATTGGCAGTGGCATTTTTGGCGCAACTCCAGCGAGCTGTCAGAATTGCACAAATCCATGCCCCTTGCCCCGTTGCCCCGGCGGCACGTCGCCGTCCATTCAACTGGCAGACATTCAACCGTTCGGGGATTCGGGCTCGTTTTTGGGACCCATGGCTTATACATCAATCCATCCAGCAACAGACATCCGCAGCCGTTGCTGTCAGCTATGGGCTGTGGCCCCGTTATATTTGCCAGATCTTTGCGCTTAACACTTGTAATCCGTTTCGCCTTTTGAGTGTGACGATGCCGGCGATGGCGATGGCGATGCCTCCAAACGGGTCGGCAACTGGTGGGGAATCGTATTTTGACTGGGGCGTAGGTGTCGTTGCATCTGCTCTGCCCTCTCCCTCCCTTCCTTCCTTTCTCGCTCCTCTCGATCGCACTCGATCCACTCTCTATCCTCGTTTCACTCATTCAATACACGACGCGTCGGCGGTTTGAATAGTTTTCAGTAGACTAGCAACATTGGCAGCCATCAAGTCATCATCATCATGATCATGATCATCACGACCAATATCCACTGTACATCATGACCAGTGCTCACTTGCGTCGTCTCTGCTCGATCGATCGCCGAATGACTCGCGGCACACAAGCCGAATTGCCGCACGAATTTTCGGGTTTTTGCGCGAAACATTTTCCGACTTTTCACATAAAAATCATGTAAGGCTGGAAAACGGCGACAGTTTGTGAACGGCAGCCGTGAAATACGCGCCAAGTGATCAAAAATCAAGAATAAAATCGAAAATTGAATTTTTTTGATAGCTAAAAAGCTTGCGAATTCGGACTGAGCAAAAAGTTGAAAACAAAGAATAAATAAAAAAAAGTTTTGTTGGATTCTTTTTTAATTTTTGTTTGGTGACGCTCGTGAGATCGTTTTGATTTATAGCTGGTTTTCAAGTGTTTGCCATTGACTATGATTTGCCCGAAACGCACCTCGGAGCTGCTGGATCTGCATCTGGCGCCGTTCAAGGACAAGGATCCAGCCTGGGAGGTCGGCGTATCAAAGATAGCCGGCCGTGGCGTTATGGCCACGCGTCAACTGAAGCGCGGCGAGATCATCTTTCAGGACAGTCCACTGCTAATTGGCCTGGCCGCCCAGGAGGAGGACACGCTGAATGCGTGCAGCATCTGCCTGAAAATGCTGCCCGATACGCGCTTCATGTGCCGCCAGGGCTGCGGCCTGCCCATCTGCAGTCTGTGCGCCAAAAAGAAACAGCATAAGAGCGACTGCGATATGTTCAAATCGTGGGGTCCCAACGAGCCGGATGTGGCCAATTCCGTGATAATACGTCTGCTGTGTGTGGCGCGTGCCATCAATTTGACCAAAGATCAGCGCGATTTGATTTATTGCCTGCAGGCGAATTTGGATAACAATCATCGAACCGAGGTGCGGAATGCCGCTAAATGTTTTAAGAACTTTCCCACCGACAAGAAGCTGGTGGAGATCATGAATCGCACCGTTGCCGTGCTCCGGACGAATGGCTTTGATAAGACAACAGATCGCACCACTGACAACCAGGAGTTCAGCTATCGCGCACTCTATCCCCTGTTTGCTGTCATGAATCACGATTGCATTCCCAACTCGTATTACACCTTCGAGGAGAAGACCAACAATATGATCGTGCGTGCCGCAGTCGACATTGCCGAGGGCGAGGAGATAACCACCACCTATACCAAACTCTTCACGGGCAACATAGCACGACATCTTTATCTCAAGATGAAGAAGGGCTTCACTTGCAAGTGTCCGCGTTGTTCGGATCCAACGGTAAGTTGAGTAAGCCCGCTTTCAAGATCAGCGTAGATCATAAATGTGGAAAAACTGACACTTGAAGTTGTCAAGTATTTAACATACAATATTAGATATGAGCACCATCCAGAGTAAAAAATCTAGAGTTAAACCAAGAATATTGAATCTGAAGTTCGAATAAAATCTTAACGAATTCAGATAAGAATATCAGAGATGAAATTCAACTAGAATCTTAACGAATTTGCGTAAACTCTTATATCAAAAATTCACCAGAAATCTTAACGAATCCAGATAAAAATATAAGGTGTTATGCAACTGGAACTTTTAAGAGTTCAGATAAGAATTTGAAATGGGTATTAAATCCAAAATCTTACAGAATTTAGATATGAGTTTAAGATATGAAATAAAACTTGAATTTTCAAGAACTCAGTTAAGAACATTTGAGATTAAACTAGAATCGTAAAGAATTTAGCGTAAATTCTTAGAACGGATTTCAAATTTGATATAAATCTAGAATCTTGAAGAATTCAGATAATGTTATTATCTCTCAAACTCAACTAGAATCTTGAAGAACTCAAATAAGAATGTAAGCATCTTGAGGAATTCAGGCAAAAGTTTTAGATCTGAACCAAAACTTAAATCTTAAAGAATTTGGTTTGTGGTTTATTAGATCTGAAATTCGAAATTTAATATTCCTTCCATTCCGATAGGAATTAATATATTGGATTTGAAACTTAACTAGAATCTTGTGGAATTAAATAGAATATTAGATCCTAAACATATAACCAAATCATAAAGAGTTCATAAAGACTTCTGAAATAAATTTAGAATCCTTAGGAATTCAGCAAAGAATATAAGTCCCAACATATTTGGTATATTGAAGAACTTAGTAGAGAATAATGGATTTAAAAAATATCAAATCCTAAACGTATTTGGAATCTTCAAGAATTTCGCTGCGAATATACAATCTGAAATGTGAAATCTAGAATCTTAAAGAATTCAACAAAGAATATTAAATCTAAAATGTCGGCATGACTCGGTTATCAAGGATTCAAGATCAATGCAGATGGAAAATTAAAAAAAAAAAAAATAAAATTTAATAAGAAAAGGTTCAACTGTGTATTCTATCTACACATTGCAAATTTGCAAGCTTTGTTTATTTGTTTTGGTACACAGCGAAAAGGAAACAAAAGAAACTTAACGACTTGAATAACTTAGAACAGTCAAGCTAATTGATTTTTATGCACAAGTAGCACAATAAACAAATAACTAGCTGTGAGCAAAATGCTATAGCTGACTTTTCATTTGGTTCCTTAAGGTTGTCTGCACAGTCAATGATTTATTTAGCACATTATTAATGAGATAGTTTGATAGTTGCATCAAATTGCAATTGCAATTGTGATTGTCCGAAAAGACGGAAAATACGAGCGATTCTGATTTGATTGAGTGGCCAACGATTTGCAATTTCAACGCAAAACACAGAGCACACACATCGCGGCCCAGGCGCGATTTACAGTCCAACGTGGTGACTGATGGAACAGCTGAATAAACTACTTTTGCCACTTGTTCATCCACAAACGAGTACACAAGAACTCGCACATACACATTGTGAGATGTGCGATGTGCGATGTGATTTATACCCTAGCGTAGGGTATTTAAATATTGTCACGACATTTGCAAACTCCTAAAGTATTCTCACTCAGTTTCAATTGCCGAATCATTGTAGTCCGAATTAAACTATATCTTATAGCTACCATTGGAATGATCGAGAACGAAGCTCTTATATGAAATAGTTTCTACTGTGCTCACTTCAATCTTATCAATATCGAGCCACTATATCATGTCATCAACATGAGTTTATATATAGACAGTTTTTTGTTTTTCAAGATAGCTTTAACTTAACTTAGCAAATAGGGGATTCTAATAAGATTGCTCCCGATAATATATCATATGGCTACTGTAGTAACAACTGATATATATTTCAAGATCTGTGTTTAATGGTTTTATCTAAACTTAATTGGTCGGGGCTAGAACGTTCAGGGCGGCCAAGAATGCCTAACTCAATAGACTATCTACTCAAATCCGAGTACCATCTAAAGGACTCGGATGGCCTTTCCATTTCAAACCCAACACAATTGGTACCCGCTCCCAAAATGTGTCTCTTTTAGTCGCCTCGTACGACAAGCGGTGACATACTGTGGTGGTTATTCTTGTGCCCGCCAACCACACGGGTGAAACCTGTTCCGACCAGGAACCCGACAACTTGTAGACCCACTTGATTCGATTACCACCCTCGTACAACAAGACATGGCTATAGGTTGGCTATGGAAACAGTCGATCGGGAATACAATTTCTACATGGAAACCACAAGTTTGCAAGAGTATTTACGCTGCGGTGTGTAGAATATAGACGTTCTTTGTTGGCTTTGATTGCATCAAATTAGTGTTGGGCGCGTGTCGTGTTTTCTTTTGTTTCATGAACACGCACGACACGACACGAACAATCAAATTTGGTTAATCTCAAAATTTATGTAAAAACCGTTTGCATTGAAACTATGAAATATGTCGTTTTGTCCAATTTTAAAATGCATTCGGTTTGTGCTTTATAGAGGATCTAAGCAACTAAATTTTGCATTGAGACCTCGATTCTATTGAGAGGCATACATACTAAGCTTAGGCTCTGTTCAAGCAGATGAAACAATCAAGGAACAGAGTAAACTCTGAGAAATAACAATAGAGACACTTTTCAAATGCCATTTTGGTGGACTAAAAGAAAATATTTATAGATTATTATGCAGAGATCTTGCCATTGCTTAAATATGTGCTGTATTCATTCATTAATTCTGAATGAAGTAGCAAAAATTTCATTGAACAGAATTCCCAATTAAATGGTTCTAATATCTATAATAAAAACTTAAATATTAAGCATTAAATTTGTAATATTGCTGACCGTGAGATTTTGCAATTGGGAAATTTTAATGCGAAATGGAAATAGCGCACCGGGGTACACAATAATAATGGGATATTACTTGAAATCGAGACGCGATCTATCAAAGGAAAATGGCAAAAGAAAATGCCAAATTGTAGTTTTCCTTTCTTATTTTTTTTTCTTTTTTGTCTATTTGCTCAGCTACTAGCTGCCACATGAAGCAAACAAAGAAAAATTACATTAAGGATTTCCTGTGCCCATCGAAATGCATCCGAAAGCAATTAAACACCACACTTACACACACACTCTCTCTCTCACACACACACACACACACACACAAAAGCAATATTTGCTGGATGTTGTTTTTGTTTTTGTTGGCTGGGCCATAAATTTGTTCAGCTTCCAGGCGCAACAAGTGGCAAAAGCTGCAAAACGCGCCACGCAACACAAACAATGGCAACAAACAGCAACAACAACAAAATCAATTGTGTGTGTGTGTGTGTGTGTGTGTGTGCGTGTGTGTTTATTTTTAACAACGAAAGCAATTCAATTAAATCACAAATAAATATGTAGATTCCAAAAAGCTTTTAATTTGCAAGAATATTTTGAACATTTCGCATGCCTCCAAAATGTATCTGTATCTGTATCTGTGTCTGTGTATCTGTATCTGTTTGTGTATCCTACGTGTATCCGCATCCGTTAGCGAATGTTGATTTGATTTTGATGCCACACACCCAACTCCCTGCCCCTATCTATATTGTATCAATGGGCCCCTCGTCCAGTTGTGTGACAGTTGGATTGTCGCGCATTTTATGACTTCTAAATTTTTTATTGGCACATTTCATGCGCATATATATGTATGCACTATTCATATACACATATACACATATATATAACTGTATACACACACATTTGCATTTGTGTCATAATGGATAAACAGCTTTTCTTGGCCACGGTCATACTATATAATATGCATATATGTATGCATGTTGATATGTAAATTATATATTAAACTATGTATGCGTGTTTGATCTTCTATTTGACATTCGCTGTCTATGGACACATCTATTTGGATGCCCAGATACTCGCTTACAATTTAGTGGCCAATTATGAAAGCAATTTAAGGCCTTTGAAAACGCCACCAAGTGCTGGCACTTTGTCTGGGGCGGCGCTATCAGTGTTAAGGAGAGGCAGGTGGGTGGGGGCGTGTGGGGGCCAAGACTCAAGTTCATTTGGTTCAGTGAACTTTTCCATTATGCCTATTGGCAGCAGGGCCCCAAGTGCTTAATAAATTAGCTGACAATATCCGTTTTACCTTCGATCAAGTTGGTTCTTTTAAGTTTAAGCAATCAGAAGGAAACCTTGTTTATAATCGATATTTATCGATATAATGGAAACGGATGCAGACAACGAAAGCAATAATAAACTCTTCTGCATATGATATATATATATATATATATATACATATATTAAATTTCAAGTCTCTAGTTCTTAAAGTGTTCGAATCAATATAGACAGACGTACAGATAAAAGGACTTAGATTAACTCAGCTAGTTTTCCTGATCAAACATATATATACTTTATGGGGTCGGAAATAATTCCTCCTGCATATTACGTATACTTGCACAAAAGCAAAACTACTCTTTTGCCCATTTTCCATGATTTGAGGGCAAACCATTTTGTGATTACCTCCGGGCACACTCAAACACTTTCCGCTTTTATTCCATTCGTTAAGGTGCAATTGAAGAAAGCGGCGAAACATCTTTGAACTTATCTGTAGAAGCTTTTAACCTTATCTGAGAAAACGAAAGCATTTCCAAAAATTTAACACTTCCTTTGCATATTCTCATATCAATGCCGATATGAGCCCAAAGAAATATGTTTACGAATTTCGCTTTGAGCGTCCATTAACTGACAATGAATGAGAATTCACAGGAAAAGGAATGCATTAGGTCAATATTAATATTATATTAAAGGAAAACAATTGGAATTTGTAACGATTGGTTTATGTAAATGGAAGAATTTAAGGCATGATATTCGTATATTGCTGAGAAGTTTGTTCTTGTCAGACAACATATAACATATATTATTTCTTTGAAGTATTGCAAATAGATTATATTGGACACAATAACTGGCAATGCTTGTTTGTGGTTTTGGGAGGGGTGGAGGTTTAAGATTCACAATTCAAAGAAAAATTGATTAATTTATTACTGTCGTACTTTTCGTTGAAATTTATGGTTTGCAAATTAGCGCAAATATTTTGAGAGGCCTCGAACTGAGCAAATCGGATTTAAAGAACGATGACGTGGCCAACCTTGGAGCAGGAGCACACGATCATACAAAAGCTATGGCCGGCGGATTTTTGTCAATCTTGCGGCGATCTGTTCCATACTATCTGTTAATAAGCATCATGTTTTTTATGTGTCACATTATTTATGATCTGCATACGCATGGCTATATATATATATATACACATATTGTATATAGTCGTATATATGTGGTCGGCGATATTTGCGTATTTTTAGCGCATCGGCGCAAAGGAATGCCAAATATTTGTATACGAATTACTTAGAAAACGCTAATACTGATCTGATCTGTGCTCTTTGATCTCTAAATCGAACCTTACAGGAGAAAGGCGCTTACATATCGGGCCTGTACTGTCGGGACACCAAATGCAGCGGCCTCGTGGTGCCCGAAACAACTGGGCTGCCGCATCCCAACTGGAACTGTCTGGTGTGCAAGCAGAAATCGACGCATGCCCAGATGATGAAGTCCCAGGACTTTGCCAGCGGAGCCATCAATGCCAAGGTCAATTCGAATTCGCTGCGCACCCTCGTGCACTATTTGAACGAGAAGAGCGACAGCTTTATACCCAGCAGCAATTATGTGGTGATCGATGCTAAGATGTCGGTGCTGCAGCGGCTTGCGCACGGCCGCGAAGACTGCAACGAGGATCTGGTGTCGAGCACACGCCTGCGCTACAGCCGGGACATTATGCAGATTATGGATAAGCTGGGACTGGGCGATTCGCTGTTGCGTACGCAATTGGAGCAACAGCTGCACAAGGAGGAGGAGCGGCGCGCCAAGAAGCAGCTGGAGCTGGCCGCTAAGCAGCGCCAGCTGGCCGACCTGGAGCAGAGGGCAGCCGAGGCGGACAAGCTGATTGCCTTGGCCCTAGCCGCCGACGATGGGGCTGCAGCGGCTGTGCCTCCAGTGCCTGTGGCAGAGCCAGCTGCACTTGCTCCAATTGCTGGGGAGGCCGCAGCGTTGGCAGCTCCTACAGCGGAGCAGGCCTAAGTGGCGGGTGTCCCCATGCAAATCCATGTCGTGTCCAATGACACACAACTTTCGTTCGTTTATTGTCTATTCTAAATACATATATCTATATATATATATATTTTTGTTTTTGCTTCTCGTATCATACCGAACTTAAATGTATTTGTATTTATTTATTTATAATCATTTTAAATATACATATATATATATATATTCATATATACATATATGTACTTACATAGAAAACGGTTTTCATTAAAGTTTTGCCAAGAACAATCCGAAAAATGACGCATCTCCAAATGCCGGGACCCACAATTTCAGGGGCTTTAGCGTCGATTTGTCAAAACGTTTTCTAATCCCAATGTCAGCAAATGTTTTTTATTGTATTATTATGCTTCTTGTTTTCGATTTGCTATTGTTTTTTTTTATTATTTCTTCTTCTCTTTGCTTTTTTGTTTGGTTTGCACAAGTTTTCACAAGATTTTCATTTGAATTGTTCATATTTGTTTTATTTGCCATAAAAAGTTGCAGACCGCGTAAAGTTGGGGGCCGCATCTATTTTGGGGTCGCCGCAAAAAGGCGGCCTCCTTTATATTTATACCTCTCTCCCCTCTCTCTCCCCTTCTCTCTCTTTTTCTGTGTGCACACTCATAATATTCCACTATGGCATATACTAAGGAACACACCCCACACACAATATACACTTACATTCTGGCCACTTACATACTAGACGCTTGTAATTAATGTTCGTTTCGCCTTCTTAAATATTTTTGACTTTGACTAAAATTCTAATTTTTGCAAAAATATACAAAAGATTACAATTTTTAAATATTGTTTTGAGTATATTGTGGCAAAGCATACAAAATGTCATTGAATCAAGCTGACGAACATTTAATACCCTTACAAAACTTTATATTACAAAAAGCTAGACTGCAAAGCTTCGGTTCACGGTCGGAACCAACGCCTCAATCGGTTTGGGATTCGGTTTGGGATTCGGTTTGTGAACCTTATTTCCAGTTGCAGAATTCGCCATATTTCTTTTTCAGTAGAACAAATAAGGTTTCCTTAAAGTTAACTTTATTAAATTTGCATAACAAAGCTCAGCTAATTTTTCATATTCAGCGTTCTAAATATCTTGAAATAGGCAACAAATGAGTTTTTTAAAGAAAATTTGGTTAAACTCCCATTTAGAAACGACTTTTCCATATGCAATTAATTTGGTTTAGGAAACGATTTATGGTAAGTACAATATTCATATTGCGTTCACAAACGTTTTGTGGCATTTTTGAGTATAAATACATTAAATGGTTAAAGCTGTTATTCTAACATAACATTACACAACACTGGCAATTAACAATACTACGGTTGAAACAATACTACGTTAACACACCAGCTTGAATCTCGATCTCGGATCTTTGATCTTTGACAGCTCAGCTATTGAATACACTTTCTTTCGTACAGTAGCGAAATTTCATATCATTGAAACAGCAGAAGAAGAATACAAAAGCCAAGTTCTAATATCTGTGCCGTACCGCTCGTAATGTTAACTGTACGTTCCGATACCAATATTCCATTATCTACTCCCGACCATCAGAAACTATGTTTTAGTGTAATATAAACTTGAAAACGTTTTATAGTTTCAATTGACACATTTTCGACCGAAATAAAAAGGTAGTATAAATGCATTCAAACTTTCAAGCCAGCATCCAATTGGTTTAGTGCCTTTCGAACTGTTTTCATACCCTATAATGCCCCTTCTTGCTCTTGATGTACTATAGTGTATTGTCAAGGCATTCAAAATGTGCGGAAAAGATATATGCCTCATAATCATTTAGAAATCCGCTCCGGTAAAAACAATAAGCTCATAAATATTTGCCAAAACAAAAACAAATGTGGCAAAAAAAAAAAACCAAATTTAGAGCAGATCAACAAATTTGAGAGCTCCGAAATCGTAAATAAAACTGTAATAAAAATTTCAATAAATTACGCCACATATAGAATAATGATCCAGATATTCACGAGCATGCAAATGCCTACAGATATATATATATATATATATATAAAGATATGAGAATATATGATGTGAACATATGTTATATACACCTAGGTATTTTTTGATTTTAAGCATCATCTTTAGTACGAGATTCCTGAGGCAAACGTGTCGTTGGGCAAACGACCCCGCCCACCCCCATAACTTGTCGCACATGCTGCCTAAATCACAAATTGCCACAGATCTGAGGGTAAGGAACTTTGTCTACGCAGAGTTTGTCTATTTTGATACATGTTCGACGAATGATTACCCTATCTTCCAATTTATTCGTATTATGCGAGTTTTTGGCTTCAATTTACCAACCTCAAGTTAATACGACCGTAGGAATTATTGGTCAAAATTTAAGTTCTATCCGGAAATATGTTTTTAGTTTTCAATGCCAAACATGGCATTTGAACACTATACTTATTTTTCAAGATAGGTTTAACCAAACGACTTCCAATCGACTTCGGAGTACAACATAATATAGCTTCTATTGTAACGTCTGATATATATCTGTAGATCTTTATTTAATGGTTTTACATAAGCCCAATTGGTAAGGTCTGAAACTATCAGCAAAGCCGAGACCCCAAAAGATACTATTGGAAGATACTTGGAACGGCTCAAGACCGTGGTAATATCTAAAGCGCTGGGGTGGCCATCGTAATTCTGGCTCGCCAGGATTGGCACCCGCTCCCGGCAAGTGTCTCTTTTAGTCGCCTCGTACGACAAGCGGTGACATACTGTGGTGGTTATTCTCGTGCCCGCCAACCACACGGGTGAAACCAGTTGCGACCAGGAACCCGGAACACTGTAAACGCATTAGATTCGATTAGCTGCCACTTACAACATGCTATAGCGTTAGCCCGTAGGAGTTAAACAATTCTAGGCGATATTTATAAAGGGCCATATAATTGTCAAAGAGTACACATTAGTCGGATATTCTGTTTTTGTCGTTGCGACAGTTAATAATGAATAACAGATGGCGCCACAAAATCAAAACTGAAAGGTTATGCATATGTTGAACATTGAAATCTGTTCTATTCTCTGTGTCATGGTGATGGTGCTTATAATTGTTGCGACACAAACATTTGCTGACTGTCACTCCTAATCCTGGTGGTCTGGGTGACCGCCATCCGATGCCCCGGCGCTCAAATGTCCGAGATGCCAAGTACTTGACGTGTCGCCATCAATCGAGAATTCGTTTGGCAAATGCCAAGTAAAATTCATGAAATATTTACTTGGTATCGAGACTCTAGTATCAATATCATGATTAGTCTACTTTTTTTTTAATTCCCACCTCAAAAAACAAAAGGCAACAAATTTAAGGGTAAAGCTTGACCATCCGAAATAATACAGGAATGTGTGTGCCTAAGTGTGGGTCCAAGAGAAGATGTGTGTCTATATGTGGAATCTCTGGATATAGGGACATAGGGTAACTCTTAGTCGGCCACAGCCGACGAGTCTTTTCTTTTTTTTTTTTTAAATTCCGCTTGCAACTTATTAACATCTGTTTCATACAACAATTAATCTAGTATTTTTATTGTTTGACTTACCTCGCATTACCAAAATCGCGGCATTCCATGTAATTTATGCATTTTAATGAACTGGCTGGATTTGGATCTGTGGATCATCTTCTTTCCACTTAATGCTAGAATCTGAAATTGATTTTAATATCTAAATTAATTCATATATTTATATATATTTGTCGAACACAATTTTAGTTTTGTCAGAAGTTTTATCATACCTATTCACATAAAATAAGAGAAATTTGGACTAATATATTTATTTATATTATTATTTATTATTTTATTTATATTTAGACTAATATTTAGCCCTCACGGTTTGATCTGTGCGTTGATCACCCACCACTTAAAATAAAATAAATTGTTGTCGTTGTTCAACTTTACGTCTGGTTACAGGGTATCTTTTAGTCGATCACTCTCAGCTAGCACATTCTTGATTGTTACAGTTTTTATAACACATATTCCACACAAACTGCCTGCATTTTCTTTTCAGGCTAAAAGCTCCGCTGTTCGAAGCTTTTTTCAGTACGTTAAGTATACGGACATGTATTTAAAAAAGCTTGGATTCCAAAATCGAGACCAAGTTGGGACTTTTTCAGAGCAAAAGCACATCACACAGTTGAGGTTTGTGTTTGCATTTTCTGATTGCGATCTAGCTTACGAAGCTTAATTACTTTAAGTAAAAGCTTCTGAGCTTCTGCTGCTCTCTTTATGCTAAATACACTTTCACTCTGGGCTTGTTTAACGATCTTAAGTATTAAGTTTTGACTATAAATTTGTAAAGAAATATGTAAGGCATAAAAGGGGTCTTGAAGTCTACATATTCTTGATCGGTAGGATCGGTTCTTGTCTGAACAATGTTTTTGGTTTTTAAGATATTCTAACAAAAACTAGGCATTTGCGAGCTTCCATTAAATCGTGTAGGTCTTTTGAAGGAAACGGTTGAAAAATAATAAGTTCTTGCTTGAAAATCTCATTTAATAAATAAAAAGCCAACTTAACAATTACGAGCTTAAATAGTTAGTTATCTTATATAGTTGCCCTAGGAACAATCAGTCAAAGCTTTCGTATAAAAGCGCCTGTAAAGCACTTGCCTACAAGAGTATCTAATCTTCGGCGTACCGTCTGTCTAATTCCAAGTTGTTTTGAAGTTTATATTTGTTCAACATTGCGATAACGTAATATTCTCTTTGCCAACCTTTTGACATTTTCATTTAATATGTGTACATATGTGTGTATATACAAATATCTTAAGACATAATTGTTGCTGCGAGCTTTAATTCTCTCTAAAACTAGGTTCGTTTTAGAAAAAAAAAAAGTCGTTAAGCTTTTAACAGAGCTTTGCTGCCGTGAAAAGTGATCTCAGAACTACACAAAAAAAAAAAAAAAAGTAATAAATGAAACGACAGCTAAGCAAAATACTCTGGGTGTGGAAAACCGACGGCGGTAGCCGACGTCGATGCCGACGCCGAATCTGAAGCCGATGGCGACGTAAATGTTTTTTTAAACAACGAATTCAACAAGCAAATATCATTTGGAATTGTGCGTTTCCAGTGTGAAGACCGATTTCTGTTTTCCGTAAAATTCGTGCAAATTTTCAAAAGAACTACAATATTATTTTATTTTTTTGTTTGGTTTTTCGTTTTTTATTCAAGTGTCAGTGAGTGAAAAAACGCTGAGAAATCGCCGGAAAAGAACCTTATTCACAGAGCATCATCATCAACACAGCGAAAGGTTTGTTTGTCCAAAAGCCAAAAGCCACTTAACATCCGATGTATTAGAATATTTGAATAATAATCACATTAGCATACTACATACATATTTTGGTGCGAATCGCAATGTCGCAATCGAGAACTATTGACAGTTCGACCAACGAAAACGAAACTGGAAATTTGAATAAACTAGAGCTGATAATGGGAGCGGTCATTATATTCCGCACAGCGACCTGCGGGGGGCTTGATGATGTTGATACTCTCAATAATAATAATAATAATAACAGATCTTATTGTAGTGCCCATACAGTTAGCTCTGACTGTAACGACCGGAAGAACACTTAAACTGAAGTATATTCAATCAAATGTATGACACTTGCGTTTGACAACAATTAACATTTTTGTAAACTAATTTTGTAATTGGCAAGCGTTTATATACTAATCAGGCAACTTGTTGTCTGCGCTCCGGGGTTTCACTGTACATTATCAGTGGCAACGAGCCCGCTGATATAACTAATTGAAAACAAGCTGTTTTCTTCGCAGATTAAACTGCTTGAGGCACGTGGAAGATTAAAAATAAAGCATAAAACAAATAAGCTAAGCTCTACAAAATATTGCAGAAGGGCATAAAAACCGAATGGCTAATCATTCATATATATTATATATTGCAAGTATTTGTCAGTCCATCGGTCTTGACTTAACAATTTCCAGTTTCTTATTTAACAGTTGCACTTTTTTGAACAATTCATAGAAAAATGTTATTATCACTAAAACTAAATTAAAAGACCAAATATTTATTTCTCTGATAGTAGAATCATTTCTAAAAGCTCGTGAATGTCAACTTCTTTGCATTTTTTTTTGTAGAAAATTAAATAAAATGTTCCTAATGTTAACTCCAATAACTGTTGTATATATGTTCATACATAAGTATTTTATTATTCTTCGTCCTCTTTTGTAACTAGAAGTATACATTTATTGTCTTTTTTTTTTTTTAAGTGTATTTTATTAAATTATAGTGGACATTTGTTGTTCGCGCGAAAAAAAGACGTGGCACACACGCAGTGTACTATATACTCATACCCATTTAACCTTGACTGATAATGTAAAACACACACACACACACACATACACACGCACGCACACACATATAGATATGTATGCTGTATATACATACATGCATAGTTCTTAAGTAGATGGTTATAGCACGCAGTTAGTGCTATATATACACATAGATACAATTGGTTGGCAAGCGCCCGATTCGGGTATGCAGCTGTTAACATCCTAATCTCTCGAGTGTTCGGCATCGGACCACGCCCGCTTGATAAGAAGGGCCCATCGGCGAGCACTAAACTAAAACTGTAAGACCCCTGCGCCGCGATTAGATCATATTCAAGCCCAAACACGCACACATGCATTAGAACATATATACATATACATATACATATACATATACATATATTTATGTGGACTTACCCAGTGGAACACATTGTTCTTGCAGCCATCCAGTAACTAAATCAGGCAATCTTCATCAAGATGAGTCCACCGGCAATGCTGAGCAAAGATACGCCCGATATTGAGGTAGGTCGCATAAATGTGGCTTTGATCGATAGCATTTGAATACGGATGATTACTCCCTTGCAGGACCTGTTGGCCTTAAATCCACGCGTTAAGACGCAGTGCAGCGTTGTGCCCACGAAGCAGACCAAGGAGAACAAGAAGCATTGGAAACGCAATGCGGATCACACCGCAGTGCCGTGCACAACGCTGGCTAATAACTTTGAGGATATTAAGCATACGACACTGTCGGAGCGTGGGGCTCTTGAGGAGGCTGCACGCTGTCTGAAATGCGCCGATGCGCCCTGCCAAAAATCCTGCCCCACCCAGCTGGACATTAAGAGCTTCATCACGAGCATTGCCAATAAGAATTTCTATGGCGCTGCCAAGGCAATTTTCTCGGATAATCCGCTGGGCCTCACCTGCGGCATGGTCTGCCCCACAAGTGATCTGTGCGTTGGCGGCTGCAACCTGCAGGCCTCCGAAGCTGGCCCCATCAACATTGGTGGTCTCCAGCAGTTTGCCACCGAGGTGTTTAAGCGAATGGGCGTACACCAGCGACGCTCGCGAGATCTCAAGCCGCTGGCGCAGCCGAACAAGAAGATTGCACTGCTGGGTGGCGGACCTGCGTCACTCTCTTGTGCTACATTCCTTGGCCGTTTGGGCTACACAGATGTTACCATCTATGAGCGCCGCAGTTATCTGGGCGGTCTAAGTTCTGCGGAAATACCGCAATATCGACTGCCCATCGATGTGGTTAATTTTGAGATTGATCTGGTTAAGGATCTGGACGTTAAATTCGAATTGCAACGCTCGCTTAGCACCAAGGATTTGACCATTCAAGTAAGTAACTACATATGACAACGCCCAGTTACGTTCATTTCGTTCCACACTCACTATTATATACATTTTAAAATTCCTTCTTCCTTATTTTATATGCTATATGTTACACACTGACCAACACTGAATCCAGTGTGTCCACACATTATAATATGGTGGCAACGCTGTTGACAAATAAGCGGGCTTTTTTGCTAATATGTGTGTACATAGTATACATAAATTTCTAATATTTCTAATTTATTCGTACTTATTCATTTTTAATTAACTGTATGCAATCTTCCTTGATGTTGTAAGCTTTACTTTTTGCTTTCATGATACATTAACTTAATTTCCTGTGTTGCCACCCTGCGTTGCAGCGTACATATGGCAGCACCAGCGCATTTAAACAGGATTCTTCTCAACGTGCGTTTCCAGATTTTGGATTTAGTGCACAAAGAAACTAATCATATTTAAATTTGGCATTACAAATTTAACAAATGTTTATTTCTCTGTTTACAGGGCTTGCTGTCCAGCGGACACGATGCAATCTTTGTTGGCATCGGCCTGCCCGAACCAAAGATCGATCCTATTTTCAATGGCTTAAACACTCAGACGGGTTTCTATACGTCCAAGAACTTTTTGCCATTGGTCTCTGACGGCTCTAAGCCAGGTCTCTGCGCCTGTAAGTCGGCCCAGTCGCTGCCCAAGCTTTACGGCAATGTTATTGTCCTGGGTGCCGGCGATACAGCCTTTGATTGCGCCACTTCCGCGCTTCGCTGTGGTGCGCGTCGCGTATTCGTCGTCTTTCGCAAGGGCTCGTCTGGCATTCGGGCGGTACCCGAGGAGGTGGAACTGGCGCGTGAGGAGCGTTGTGAGATGATGCCATATTTGAGTCCGCGCAAGGTCATTGTCAAGGATGGCCAGATCACGGCCATGGAATTCTGTCGCACCGAGCAAAATGATCAGGACGAATGGGTTGAGGATGAGGAGCAGACAGTGCGTCTCAAGGCAAACTTTGTCATCTCCGCTTTTGGCTCTGGACTGCAAGATCCGGATGTAAAAGATGCGCTGTCTCCGCTGTTATTCCGTAGCGGATTGCCGGTCGTAGATCGCCAAACGATGCAGAGCAGCGTGCCACAGGTCTTCATTGGCGGTGACTTGGCTGGTGTGGCCAACACCACCGTGGAGTCGGTCAACGATGGCAAAGTGGCCGCCTGGAGCATCCACTGCCAGCTGCAGGGCCTGCCACTGGACACACCCGCCGCACTGCCACTCTTCTATACGGATATTGACAACGTTGACATATCCGTAGAGATGTGTGGTCTGAAATTCGAGAATCCCTTTGGACTGGCCTCCGCACCGCCAACCACCAGTGCAGCGATGATACGCCGCGCCTTCGAGCAGGGCTGGGGATTTGTAGTGACAAAGACATTTGGCCTGGACAAGGATATGGTTACGAATGTTTCGCCGCGCATTGTGCGCGGTACTACCTCCGGCTACAGGTACGGACCGCAACAGGGTTGCTTCCTCAATATTGAGCTGATATCCGAGAAGCGCGCCGAATATTGGCTGCGCTCCATTGGCGAGCTGAAGCGCGACTTTCCCGAGAAGATCATCATTGCGAGCATCATGTGCGGCTACAACGAGGCAGACTGGACGGAACTGGCTATCAAAGCGGAAAAGTCTGGCGCCGATGCCCTGGAGCTAAATCTATCCTGCCCACACGGCATGGGTGAGAGTGGCATGGGCTTGGCCTGCGGTCAGGAGCCCAAGTTAGTCGAGGATATCTCGCGTTGGGTGCGCAAGGCTGTCAAAGTACCCTTCTTTATCAAGCTAACGCCAAATATCACCGACATTGTGTCCATTGCCCAGGCAGCGCAACGTGGTGGCGCCGATGGCGGCTCTGCAATAAATACGGTTCAGGGTTTGATGAGCCTGAAAGCGGATGCCACAGCTTGGCCAGCTGTTGGTAAGGAGCAGCGCACCACATACGGCGGCGTCTCTGGCAATGCCACACGTCCCATTGCGCTGCGTGCCGTTTCGGAAATAGCCAAAAAGCTGCCAGGATTTGCCATATTGGGCATTGGAGGCATTGATTCCGGTGAGGTGGCGCTTCAGTTCCTTCAGGCTGGCGCCACAGTGCTGCAGATCTGCTCCTCCGTACAGAATCAAGACTTCACGCTCATTGATGACTATTGCACCAGCTTGAAGGCTTTGCTCTACCTGAAGGCGAATCCTCCGCCAGTCAATGGCGCCTTCTGGGATGGCCAATCGCCGCCAACGCCAGTGCACCAGAAGGGCAAGCCTGTCGTTCATTTGACCGGCAGTGGCAACCAAACGCTCGGCTTCTTTGGTCCCTATCAGCAGCAGCGTGACATCAAATTGGCCGACTTGCGCAAGCAGAAGGGCGCCTTTTGGGATGCGCAACAGGCAACCGTAGACGCGACCAGCTCCGCTGATGTTAAGCCCGCACCCAAAATTACAGATGTCATTGGTGCGGCTCTGCCGCGCATCGGTGCCTACAAGAGCCTCGACAACAAGCAACAGAAGGTGGCTCTAATCAATGATGTAGGTTTCCCGGGCACCCCTTTTGACCAGCACAATTATATATATTCATATTTATCCCCTACAGGACATGTGCATCAATTGTGGCAAGTGCTACATGACTTGCGCTGACTCCGGCTATCAGGCAATTGAATTTGATAAGGACACGCATTTGCCGCACGTCAACGACGACTGCACCGGCTGCACTCTCTGTGTCTCCGTCTGTCCCATCATCGATTGCATTCGGTAAGTGCCTGTCTATTGAATTCTGATTCTGATGAGGATATTTCCGTCTTGGCTACCTGTCTTGCTGGTCGTCTTCCAGTACTCTCTCTCCCTCTCTCTCTCTCTCTCTCGCTCCCTTTCTGCTTTGAGCACTACAAGACATGTCTTTGTCGTGCTCTTATAGTGAATCTGTAATTCTAATTTTGTATTCTTCTGACGCGATGCCAGACAGGTCCTTGATGAGGTCTATAAATATTAGGAACGTCTCGAATTATGTACATATGTAATAATAAAAACTGTTTCTATTCACAGCATGGAGCCGAAGCAAATACCGCATGTTATTAAGCGCGGCTTGGAAGAAAAGACGTTCTACACGCATGCCCTTAGCCCAAGCCAATAATCAAAATATTATATTCGTATATGTATGTATAATAATGTATGTGTTTGTTAAAACAAAATGTAATATCTGGTTCACAATAAACAAATTAACTACAAGAAAAGTATTTTCCTTTACAATTATTCAAGTTTACGAATAAACTAGGTAAACAGACATCAATTATACGTATTCAAATTTGAAGTATAATTTTCCTTCAAATGAGGCAGATTTTGTTCCCGTTAGCTACAGATATCTGGAACAGCTGTTTGGCTGTTTTAAAAAATGGCGCATGAAACCGTTATGATGTGAATTCGTGTTACGAATGTTAAACAAAACACAATTTGCATTTAATTATCAATGACGAAGTAAAGGCTGCATGCACGCTTGCCACGTACGCTGTGTCAGCGCATTCGAGCAATCGACACAACCTTATCACGTCTAATACGAGCTGCAATTCATGTAACAACAACAACGACGAACTGCGTCATCAGCAACAGCAATGTTAGCATCGGCTATTACTGCAACAGCAGCCGCAGCAGCAGCGACAGCATTAACAGCCTGGAAGACAGTTAATTCACTTTTAACACTACATTCATATTTGCACTGTTAACCAAACAGTGATCGCTCGTTGTGAATGGCAAATGCACAGCTGTTTATTATTATTATTATTTGCTTTATGTGTAGCGTCTGCAAAAATTATTGTTAATGGCCACCGCAACGCAGAGTCCGAGCACATCCAATGCCACTACCACACACGCTAGTAATGGATTGCTCTCCGCAACCGTGATAGCTGGCTTAAAGAACTTGGGCACCGTTCTAACAGCAGCCATAAGCAAAACGTTAATTGCCAATTCATTAAAACTGACGCTTTATCCAGATGCAAGTATGCAACATTAATATTGCTCTAGTCGAATTAATCACAAATCGTTTGATAACCAGTTATAGCACCAGTGCCCGAAATTTACGCCTCGAACGCAGCCAGCGCCAAACAGAGCGAATATGCTGTGGTCACACTCTATGCCGTGGCGACGAAACATGGTTGGGACAGTGTGACGCTGCGCCAGCAATTGGAAACACTGTCCGTAAATGCCATCGCCATTGATGAACTGACACGTGTCTACGAGGACAATCGCAAGGATCTTGTGCTGCGTCAACTGCAGCTGGGCCACAGTTTTCCGCACATCACCGATGTGCAGTGGCGCATTGTCTGCGATGTGAAATCCTCAACGTCAGACTCTAGCAGCGGTGCTCCACATTTCAACATCAATTTGGGACAGTATCGCCAAAGCAGCGGGGAACGCGTTTCTATAGTGGAGTTTGTGTGCAATGCCGAGGAGCTGCAATCGCTGATAAATCGTCTGAAGGATATTGAAAGACACTGCAATCAGGTGGCCATTACGTAGAGTAAAAAATGAGTGTATGGAAATCAGTTCAATATATATACATATATATATATTACATATACATATACATACATATGCGTGTAATTTAAATATGTGTTTTACAAACTTATAGAGTGTGAAAATAGTTTGTACACAATGTTTATGACAAGTCCGAACAAAAACTTGGCAATTAACACAGTTGTCATCACTAAACGGCTACGTCTTGTCTTTCGTTATCTTCTGCTGACCAGCCAAGGTCGCATGTTGCGCTATTGTTGAGTGTTGGTTACATGGAAATTGTACTACGAAATTGTTGTTGACGGTTATCCACTGTCATTCCGGTACATCCTCAATTCGCATTTTAAATTCTGTAGGGGCGAGCAGCTCTACCAGCAGACTATAGTTATTTGGCGCTGTACAGAAGATGGTGCCTGAGAAGTAAATGCTATCGTTTTCTTCGGCAGCGATAAGCACGCACTCGTTGTGATTGGACAGACGCATATTGAGTCCGCGAAAGCGGCAGTCCTGTTTATACAATATAGACCCGTCTCTGGGTAAAAAATATGGACGTCCACTAAATGGATTTAAAAAGTCTGCCCAATAGCCCAACGAAAGCAAACGATCGCTTATTTCTCTGGCAGCGAGCACAAACTGTAATAAATTATAAAAGCGTTATTTGCAGTGAATGCATCCGTGTTTATATGTGTAGGGGCATGCGCTTACCTTGGCTGCACCCTTCTCTATGTCGCCCTCGTAGCTGAGTGTAAGAAGTGTTATGGCATAGTCCCTTTGTCCAATTGCGCGAACTGGGAATTGTTCAAATATTGAATCGCGTATCAACACTGGGCACTGACAGCATGCAAACTCTAAACGTGATTTGTCCACGTTATCGTCCTTAAAGAAATTGACTAGATGAGCTAGTGGTTCCATTAGACCCACTGTGGATGTATCGCCCTGCCATGCAGGTCCGGTGGCATTTGGCAAATAGAAGCGATTGCTACGTTGCGAAGTTAGCTCCCAGTTGGGCTCTCCCTCCAGGCTGTTAAGATCGTCTACCGAACATTTATTAAACACAACTCAATTATTGTGTGGACTTTGTGGACAATTGTGAAACTGTCAACAACTTACCATCATCAACATTTCGTGTCTTGGACACGGTTTTAAAAGGCTCGCCCGCATCGTGAGGTGGACCATTTCGCTTCGAATAAGGTGCAATGCAGCCACCGCACATAGCTGGCAACGGCTGTGCTTCCAGTAAATTTCTCATCGCACCATTTGCCTGCAAGGGTTTTGCATAGGCATGGCTAATCAGGCAGCGTCCAAATAAACGACTCAACGTACGCGACATTATATCATAAGCTCTGCAAGCAAACGCGCAATTATTCGCATTATTACTCGTCGGTCACACTGTTTTTTACTCACTGGCAGCAGTCGAATGGCGAACAAAATTAGCGAAAATCTGTATGTTATAATAATTTCACGTTGAATTTTGTATTTTATTTGAAACTCCTCAATAGAATGTCGAAAGTTGAATTATCGTCTTACTTTTTTTGTATTTTCCTCTGTGTTTTTGTTAGGTGTTTCTGTTGATTGACGATTGTTTAATCGAAACAAGAATTTCACATCAAAGTTGCCATATGTTGAAAAAAAAACAAAAAACACCAAAAGTATTTTTTTTATTTTTCTTGTACAAGTTCGAAAACAATATAATTATTTTTGCAATTGGATAGCAGGTTTAAATACAATGCGTTTAGCAAAATTATTAAATCAAATATTTAATAAATCTTAAATAAATTTCCAAGATTTATCTCTAAAAGTTCTGTAAAAAAAAGGCATTAAATTTATAGCAAAAAATAAGCAATTTCCATTTTAATTAAAACTCGAGTACATTTTATATACATATTTCTGAACACTGAAAATTCTATATATTGGAATACCGCACACATACATACATACATACATAAGCTGGAGCTAGTTTTGTATTTAGTTCACAACTTGAACCCATAAGCTATAATAACATTGATATACATATATGCACACAATATTCAGACACGATAAAAACATTCCTCCGAGCGAAACGCACAGTTCTCATATGATTTGAACATTGGATCATTTAACTCCGCTTCGGGTACGCAGGCGCAATGAAAATTCTTATTGTCACGATCATATAGCTTGCGTGGATAGCCGGGCCAATCGCGCTTCTTGCCGTCGCCGCTTGTTGTGGTACACCAGACGCGTGTGCCTTTCGCCTCGGACCACTCGATATTACAGCCAGGATATCTGTTGCGCAGCTCATCTACTTGCGCCTTGGCTATCTGTGCTTGGTCCAGCAGTGCAAGGTATTTCTGATGGTAGACGGTCGACTTGCCTTCTTTGTCATAGAAGCGTCCAATAAGTTTGCCCTTATATGTGTATTCCTTCTCGTAGAACTGTTGCCATTTGGCCAACTCGATCAGGTCGCTGGGCTTCAGGCTGAGCACATCATCAGCCGTCTTTGGATCGTAGTGCTCGAACTCTCCGCTCACAAACGAAACGGAAGCATCGCGACCAACAAAGTAATTATAACTGCAGCCGGGTCCGTAGTGCTTTAGGCCACGTGAAACGTCAAAGACGGCGCCAAGCAGCGACAAATAGATGGCTGCTCCATTCTCGCCATTGTACGTGGCCAGCTGCTCCGGTGTGTAGAGATTGCCGCGTGTATCTGTGAACTGCACGGAGACGCTGTCCGTTTGCTTATTGGCGGCGAGATTCAAATAGCGCGTAGCTGCGATTTGTAAGAGCTGCACAACATCTTTCTGATAGAGTTTAACCAACACGGCTATAATGATTAATATGAATGCAAGTCGATATTTGAAAAGCAGTTTCACAAAACCAAACATTCTGCTGCAAAATGTTAACTTACATATGTATGTGCACCTATGTATGTATGTATGTATGCGTATACAAAGATTTAACACACTGGTGCCTGGTACGCTGATCACAGGTTATTGGGCGCGCCAGGCCACCGATTTGTGCAAAATGCAAGCAAATCAAATGCGCAAATAAGTTTTAGCCTTATTTTTAGTGTTTTTATTTTGTAATAACTGTGTTGAATACAAAATTAACAGCGAGCTGCATACCTAGCATGAACAAAGTTACAGTTGTTATGTTGTGCTTGGCAACCCAGCTGATTTTCAGTAATCACAGTTAATACGTAAATTGTGAATGGCAATGGCCGAAACCCGTTACGATTACAGAACAGATATTTTTTAATACGTTGATGCAAAGTGAATCATGAACAGCGAAGATCCTGATGAATCGGAGATTATAATTGATGAAGCCAAGGCTAGCAAATTGTGGATCCACTGCAATTGCTGCTTTGAGCATTATGTCGATGAGCAGAGCATGTTATTTTTGCTGGCCTGTCAGCATGTTATATGCGAAAAATGCGTTACTGCCAGTTTGGGTCGCATTCCCGGCGACGCACCCACGTATACGTGCCCGATTTGCCGTAAAAATGTGCGCGGACGTCAGGTGAACAATGCGCTGCCCACAAATCTCAAGGATATGTTTCATCCAGAGCCATGGCGCGACGGCCTGCCTCACGATCTAATCGACGCCTTTCAGAAAGCCAATATCAACAGTTTGGATACGCATATTTCCAAAAAGGTGAAATTCTTTTATTTCGAACGATTTCGCACCCTAACTCACAATGTTTCTGTTTGCACAGGAAAAAGAAGAACTTAAGTTAGATAAGGACATACAGTTGGCACGCACACTCTGTCGGAAACATTACTTGGAGGGGCATCGACTGCGTGCGACGCGGAAGCAGCTCGAATTTCGTGCGCGGAGAATAAGTCATATTGTTAAAATTCGAAGAGAGGAAGCGCAACGGCGGTAAGTTTTACATTAAGTTAAACGAAATGAAAATTCTAGAGTTCTTGCATTTTTAGATTGGCCCGACGTAGAGCCGAGTCCCCAAAGCAAACCGATTGCATTTTGCAAGGCACTAAAAATTCTCATTCTCATTCGGAGTCATCAGAAACTAGAGTTAGATCGCATTTGGCAGACGCAGAAACTAAGACTACACTGCAGTATCCGGCTATAACCAGCTTTGTACACCATCGAAATAATTCATTTGTATTATAAATAAATATTAACAAAATCTATTTCTATGTACAATTGTGGGCATTTGAAAAAAGTGCTAAAACATTTTGCGCGCCGTTTCCCAGCACTGTTTGTCAAGTGCTTCTTCTTGTTTCGCCCGCTTGCGACACAGCTACTGTCGACGCCATTTTGAAGCGAGCGAGACTGTGTGACTGTGCATATGCCAATACAATTTGTGTGTGTTTTTTTTTAACTCGAGCCAACAGTACACGCGAATGGCAAATAGAAAAGAAGTTGCGCATTAAAATCGGCGCTATACATTTGCAGTTGTAAACAGTGGCAACTGCAACTGCGGGCAAAAAACGCAAACGAACAATATATTTACACAGCCAAGCAGAAATGATGAGCGGCAGCAAATCAGGCGTGGTGCTCAACTGCCGCACATGCACCCGTGCATGTAAACAATATAAATCGCTGCAAGACGAAATTGAGATCGGCCCTGAGGGCAGCACCACGCTCGCCAATATGCTGCACTATTGCTCCAGTCTTTCGTTCGAGCCGCAGGATGGCGCTGCAATGCCGCAACACATATGCATGCATTGCCTGCAGTTGCTGGAGCAGGCATTCAATTTCAAGCGCATGGTCATCGATTCCGATGAGCTGCTACGTCTGGGCCTCGAGGAAATTGATAACAACAATGCCAATCTGAACGCTAACAACCAGGAGTATGTAATGATCGAGCTGCTTAGCGATGAGGCCGAGGCCCAACAGTCTGCGGATAAAACGGGCTCTATTTCTCAAGATGTTTCCGCACTCGTTGAGGCCTACAATGATCAAGAACAAGAGCACGATGAATTTGTCGTCGAAGATGTGAGCGCGGATACTGAGGCAGGGATTGGTGCGGAGTTAGAGTCGGAGGATGCACTCGAACCGCTTAACGACTTCCAAACGGCTGACATTGAGTATGTGACGATCAAAAGTGAATATGACTCGCAGGTGGAGGACGACGATGACATCGAGGTTATGGACTCGCCGCGTCTCGAAACGGTCAGTGAGCAAATACAAATCCAAATGCTCGATGACCTAATGGTCATCATGTCTGGCGAGGAGCCCATCGATGAGGTAATTGGCGAAGTCGAGGGCGACGATATACTGGACATGGAGCGCGAGGAGCACTTGGTAAGCAACATATAAAAATATTGTTTTAAGTGACCGGTGAAATTGTAACTAACAAACGGATATCAATTTTGTTAACTCATAGCTGACTGGCGATAGCGAGGAGGGTGAGGATTTTCTGGACGACTCAATGGACGGCTCTGCCTCGAATCAGGTAGCCGCCGGACCTGGCGGCGAGGTGCTACCACATGTTTGTCATGTCTGCAACAAGGCATTCCGTCAACAGTGCCGTCTCAATCAACATATGCGCTCCCATGTGGACGAGAAGCTGTACACTTGCGAGATGTGCGGTAAGAAGCTGAAGCACTTGCGCAACTACAAAGAGCACATGCTGACCCACACAAATGCTAAGCCTCATCAGTGCTTGGTCTGTGCACGCTTTTATCGCACCACATCCAGTCTGGCTGCCCACATGCGCACCCATGCCGAGGACAAGCCGTTCAAGTGCGATCAGTGCGGGCGCAGCTATGCGGCCTTTGATCATCTGCGTCGCCACAAGCTGACACACACCGGCGAGCGTCCCTATGCGTGTGATTTGTGTGATAAGGCCTACTACGATTCGTCGTCGCTGCGCCAGCACAAGATCAGCCATACGGGCGAAAAGGCATTCACCTGCGAAATCTGCGGCGTTGGCCTCTCACAAAAATCCGGCTATAAGAAGCACATGCTTGTCCATTCCGGGGAAAAGCCGCACAAATGTCACATCTGCGGACGTGCCTTTACCTTCACCAGCAACCTAAATGCCCATGTGCGTCTGCACTCCGGTGAGAAGCCATTCAAGTGCGACAAATGCATGAAGGCATTCCCCACCAAAAAGCGCCTAAACAGCCATATGCGTGTCCACAACAAGGAAGCACCAGTTACTGCAACCAGCAATCCCATCGGCACCAATACTGGCACCATCGGCTCTATGCATGGCCAACGCGTAGCGGTGGTGGCGGCCGGCCGTCGCACAGCCATGAATATGCCCGACGTAATGGATCAGCAGGTTTCCACCTCCAAAGTAGTTGTGGTGCTCTAAATATCGTACTGACTAAGCTTAGTTTTAACTTGTATCACATAGAAATCTACACCTACCTATGTATATAGTATATAGATATACATACGTACATACACAGGCATGTCCATCTATCGCTATTTCATCACAAAGCTTGCGATTCCCGGGTCCAGTAAATGAGCTTTACTGCACCTGCAAAGAATCGCAGACTCAAAAGAAATGCCCTGACACACGAATACAGATGTTCATAAATTTCAAGTAATCAGGTTTCAATAGTTTTCTCAATGGAAAAAATGTATTTTTTTTTTATCGTAATGATATATTTATATATTTAGCATGCCCGTTTTGGGATTTATTTTATTTTATTTTTTGTTTTTGAAAATTTGTAATGTAGTTTTTGGATTGTTAAAAGGAAGATATATGTGATTTGTTAGCCATTCCTCAGCTAAAAAAAAAAAAATTAAATTTGGTAAAAGTCACAGCTTTAATCCGGGTTGATACTTCACATATATTAAAAAGGCTGTAATTAGTTGTACTTTGACAAGATGTGTATGTATAAAAACTGAAAACCTTAAGAAAACAATAAAAAAAAAAAAATTTTAAAATTCACAATTGCGCCGCATTAAAATCCGATCAGTCTATCAACTTTTGCATTATACGAAAGTATCTACAGCTGGCATGCAGCTAAGATACTTTCCCTAATCCTGGCCATAAACAGAAGCTTTAAAAATAACAACAAATACATATATACTAAGTACAAAATGTAGCCCGTGCGCTGCTGCTCTAGAAACTGCTGAAAATGATCTTATCCACATCCAATTCGTAATATAGAAATATAATAGCATAGAAAATAAACATAATATTTAAGATAAAAATGCGCAATTTGCCAAATATAACTTTTAAAATCCAAAATTCTTAAAATAAAAAACTACTCATAATAAAAAAAAAACAATATCAATATCAATTTTAAAAAAACCTCGGGCTGTATAAATATTTAACCAAGACAGGAGGGATATCCTGGAGCCTGATACTTATACACTTGAAAAAATTGAATTCCTTGATAATTTTAATTTATATCACACCTTAAACTTGTCTTAAAAGCAACCGAGCCCGAAGCATGAATAACTTGGGTCGCCTCCAATCATTAGCTTTATCTAACCATATTTGGTAGATGCCAATTTCGGGTAGAAATCAAATTTAGCCCACACGAACTATATGAAAATGTCTACGGCTTGCAATATTTTCAGTAGAACAGGCAATCAAATTAAAAATAAAATTGTTTCATTAACATTTGTTTTACATCGACCAAACTAAGGTTTATAGCAAAAACAAACCTCAAGGCAGAAAGTCGACATTTTTCATGGGACCTGCAACCTTGTCATAAACTATGCAAAATGTGATTCGTGTTATCCGCTTTGGCATGGTTAGAGAGAGGTAATATCATTAATTGTTTCCATAAGCAATGCCAAACAGAGTTTCAATTTAAAATGCCCAATGGCCGTTTTATTTGCTGCGCTCTGATCAGTTCTCTCAAAAGATAAGACGGCTGATATTGGGCATGAGCTTTGGTTGTATATTTGTGGATTCACGTATGGGCTGCCTTTGAAGAGCCTTTGCTGGTAGTTGTCTTCAGGTTGGTGGGAGTTTTGCGTGTATGGGAGCGCTTGTGCGCGATCAGGTTGCTGGAGTAGCGGAAGTGGCGGCCGCAGGTGTCGCAATTATGCGGCTTCTCGCCCGTATGGGTGAGCATGTGTTTTTTGTAGCCAGACTTTTGGGTCAATCCCTTGCCGCATACATCGCAGGTGAATGGCTTGACGCCGCTATGGCTATACAGGTGGGAGCGCAGCGATGATGCCTGCCGGTAGATTTTACCGCAAATTGTACACTTGTTGGGATTATTGGGATTATGCAGCGTAATATGACCATCATAGGCATTGCGCGTCTTAAACGAATCTCCGCAAATGGTGCACACAAATGGCCTATTATCGCCATGGAGTTGCATGTGATACTTAAATGAGTTGCTGGTGCTGAGCTGCTTGCCGCAAATCTACAAAAAATATGTACGGGATTATTATGATATATTGGATATGTGCAGTTACTCACCAGGCATTGCAGGGCGGGATTCAGTGATTTGCGACGCTGCGTCGCACGCGGCTTGACGTTGTGGTCAGCTTCTATATTGCTCGGTGCCTGCACGTTTTCATAATCCTCTGGTAAGTCATAGTCCACCTCAAAGACCTCAACATTGGGCTCATCGCTCTCAAAATGCACTTCATTATCGGGTATTTCCTCAGCCACAGGGTACACCTGATTTTGCTGATTGGACACAACGCTGTCCGCGTTTGACGCCAGCGATTCCGTTTCCTCCAGCACGTAAACATACTCATCAGAGCCAGCTGATTCGATGATAGCATCTGTTTCGGTATCGACTTCGGCATCAGCCTGCTCGAGTTGATCGGCACCTCGCAGATCGGCTAGTGATGGGGAGCGGGAAATGGCGGCTCTTGAAGATATCGCATTGCGCTTTCTAAGCAGATGGTCGGTGCGCAGAGCTGTGCGCTTGAATTCATATACTTGCGTTAGCAAGTCGCCACAGCGCTTGCACATGTGTGTGGGCAGGAACCGCTCCTCCTCGAGCACCTGCAAATTGGCGCAATAGCTGAGCAGCGCTGCTAGCGTTGTCAGCTCGCCGGCGATGATATGTGGCTTATAGAGCGGCAGCGATTGCAACGACGGAACATTGCAAACGCGACACAAGCGCAGCTCGGCATCCTCAACCGTTGCCGTGTCCTCGCAAATGGACATGTTTCGGTTGTTATTGTTATTGTTTGGCTTTCGTTAGCTTGTTTACACACAATTTTTGTCAGCTCTAGTTGACAGTGCTGCCAGACTGCTTCGATCAAAAGTCAGCTGATGGTGCCAGTGTGACCGTATGACAGAAGCATATGCAAGAATTTTCGCTGCCATGCCGGTTAAGTCCTAAGGGGGTTTGGTCAGGTCAAAAAAAGCAATCAAAAGAAACAACTGCATTTGAAAGTGTCAGAGCATAGGAATTTGTGCACAGCACTTAAGAAACAGAATCATGAGCATGGCGCCAGTTCCAGTCATACAATTAATACGATTAAACGCACCACGTGCTTCCTTTCACACATTTGCAAACCGATTGCGGCGCACATTTGCATTGGGTAATCAGTCGTTGCCATTGTCACCGGCGCCTCTGCACTGCCGTCCGCTGTCAACGGGAGCAGCGATTCATACACACAAAGCACAGGTGGATGGTGCAGCCTTGTCGAGCGGCAAAAGATGCTACAGCAATGCCAGTAAGTAGACCCTGCTGTGACCCAGTTGATTACTCAACACTCAAAACACACACACATACACAATTTTAATAGAGGGACCACCGGCTGGCACAGAGACTGCGTCGCCATTGCTCTCAAAACTTTTTCCACAAACTTCGCCCGATGCGGACAGCAATGCCGAACAGGAACGCAAGAAGCGCGAAGAGGACGAGGCCAAGGAGAATGAACGCGCTTGGAAACGCATGAAACTGGGGTTAGCTGCCGCACAACCATTAGATCTGGTCAAATTGTTTTCATATTTATTACTTTTATGTTTATTTAGCTTTGCCATTTTTGGTGGCGGCGGCATTGCCACTGTGCTTTGGGGCATCTATAAGTTTGGACAACCCGAAAGGGATGCAGAGGGTCAGACCATAGAAGATGAGTTTACACACAAGCCGCTGGTACAACAATATTTGCAGCGCATGTGGAAATCGCTGCACTACTATCAAAAAATGATCCAGGAACCATCACGTGCGAAACTATTGCCTGATCCGCTTAAGCATCCATATGTGCAGCCGCGTTACACGCTTGTCCTAGAAATGAAGGATGTGCTGGTTCATCCGGATTGGACATATAAGACTGGGTGGCGCTTCAAGAAGCGCCCCGGCGTCGATCACTTTTTGCAGGAATGCGCCAAAGACTTTGAAATTGTTGTCTTTACTGCCGAACAGGGCATGACAGTATTTCCCATACTGGATGCCCTCGATCCCAATGGCTACATTATGTACCGCTTGGTTCGCGATGCCACCCATTTCGTTGATGGTCACCACGTCAAAAATCTGGACAATTTAAATCGCGACCTCAGACGCGTAAGTTTTCGTCTTAACCTTACGAACGTTTTAAGAAACTCATAAACCGAAAAAAAACAAGGTGTGAAGAACAATTTTAGTCCAAGATTAAATACCTTAACTCTCTAACTAAGAATATCAATATCATGGCCAAAAAATGTTGATACATTTATTATATTTGCAGGTAATTGTCATTGACTGGGATAGCAATGCCACTAAAATGCATCCGGACAACACATTTGGCATTGCGCGCTGGCATGGCAACGGCGATGATGCACAGCTCTATGATTTGATTGCGTTTTTGAAGAGTAAGCAAAGGACATCAAATTTAATCTGGTTAATACTCAAATATGTATGTTTGCATTCCAGTCATAGCGCAAAATGATGTGGATGATGTGCGTGAAGTGTTGCATTATTATCGTCAATTTGAGGATCCCATTAGCCAGTTTAGGGATAATCAACGCAAACTTGCCGAGCAAATGCAGGAAGCTGAACGCATCGAACAGTCGAAAGCCAAGCCGATGGTGAAGCAATGGTCTCGCAACATTCTGGGCCGCTAACTTCTGTACAACCGACGCTGCTGTTGCTGTCGCTCGTCGCACCATGCTAACCCACACAAAAGCCATAGTCGTTATATACACAGTAGTTGTATCCAGTTATAAACTACTTCTACATACACCCATCCCCATCCCAATCCCAATCCCTATGTTTTTAGTAAAAGGCGTGGCCAATGTAAGGAAAGGCATCTTCAAAAATCCCACACAGAGTGCTCCCCATACAAAGAAATATGTGAAAGTTCTTGCGAGTAAGCAAAATGCACGATTTTCTTTTGATACAAAAAAAAAGTATGCTGTTGTTTCATTCATTTTTTTTTTTTAATTCTTAATTCGCTAGTTCATTTTTCTTGGCAATGTAATTATCTTAAATTGCTAATATTAATAAAAAAAATATATATAATTCAAACTTATCCCTGCATTTAGTCAAGCATATACCAATTATCGGTAACAAATAAATGTGGCATATTTCTCTTTTGAGCAGAGCTTGCGATTAGGCATATTTCGTTGAATAGAGTCGTAGAGCAAGAAGCTTATGAATTATAATTACTTTAGTCTAATTAATATGCGTATGATACATATATCATCATTAGCATATTGAACAAATCTGATATCCTTTGGCTTTGCGTTCATTTGCATATTTCAAACTTTGCGCGCAATTCAATACATATATGTTAATATGTTGCGGGACATTATGTTAGCCTAGTTGAGATGCATTTCCTCCTATCGATAAATTTGTTCAACTGAATGAATGCGTTTAAATTTTTGCGCGTCCTTTGATTGGCGTTGTCAGAGCTGTTGCGAGTATGCATATGTGTGTATGCATGTGTGAGTTAACATTTAAATGTGTGTGGTCGCACTCCTGGAGTTGAGGAGCATGCGCTATGTGTGTTTTCCTATTTTAAATGTCAAAGTTGAACTCTATATCGGAGGCTACAATAGATTACAGGCCGCAGTGACAAGAGCAAACATCAGTATGCGTGTTTGTTTGTTTGTTTGTTGATTTTCCTGTTTCCGCTAAAACGACACAGCAGCAGCGCCTCGAACGTTTCGGTATGCTTGTGTTGATGGGGTTGCCGTTGCTGCTCGGCATATGAGCCCCAATACATATGTAAGTATTTACATAGATGGCAATCTAAATAATTCATTATCTAGTCTGTTTTTTTTTTTTTTTTTTTTTTGAAAGACTTATATGCACATTTATAAGTGGGATGCTTGGCAGCCCAGCGCGACCTTTACGTCAGTCAGTTGCCCCGAGCCATCAGCAACCCCCCTTTCCAAATAGACGCCAACGGCAACGAATCGCTTTTGCTCACTCTCTCTCACTCATTCTCTCTGTCTCTGTGCTACGCTGCACAAGGACGTCGACACCTGAGGTACGTAGCTGCAAACGTAAAAGACATACATATAATAGCGAAATCTGATTTGCAAACCCCTTTCGTAAATTTCCGCTGCCTACGGCTTAGACACAAGTGAGAGCGTTTCGCCTGTGCTTAGACGCTTTATCGCGCGGTTTTGCTACGTTGATCAAATCGAGTCGGGCGTTCTGCGAGACATTAGCCAACACTCCATTTCATTGAACATGACGTACAAAGATTTTAGCGTGTTACCAATTCAATATTAATATTAATTATGAATAGCGAAACTAAAAATGGTTTGTTTTAGAACTATTCGAAATTCACACGATTTCCTTATTTGTTACAAATAGCATCATCTGATTTAATACAAATGTTAACTGAACTTAAATGATTAGATGCAAAAAAGAGATCGAAACATAACTTAACTTTAACTAACCTTTTTAATTTATAGCAAATGCTAATTGTTATTGTAAATTATGGAACGAATTACTCGCTTCAATTGGCAAACGTGTTTACTGGAATGCCCCATACGCACACACTCTCTGTCTCTCTCTCTCTCTCTTCTCTATCACAGCAAGTTGGCGCTTCTGCTGCTGCTTTTCAGCTGGTTCGTTTTCGTTTTCAGTTCAAAAGCGAACGCGGACGTGTGTCGGTCGGTGCTGCCGTCGCTCGCAACGCCTACGCTTTCGTTCTCTGTGTGCGTTTTGTGATTGCAAAAAGCAGCAGCAACAGCAACAGCAAAAGGCAAGAAAATTAAACAAAAAATTTTCTTCTCGCGTGTGTGGATGTTTGCTAAGCAGCGCGTCAAAAACAGTTTTCATAAAAAGCGTCCAATCAGGGAACAATTTTCTGTTTTCTTTTCGTTGCTGTTGTTGTTTTTCATTTACAGTTTTGTTTTTAATCGGGCACAGCTGCTGGCAACACATACATAAGTGAGTTTTTTATAAGTGCAACATTAGTATGTTTTTGTTTTGTTTTTCCCTGTGCTGTGTTATTGTTGCAAAATTGTTGCAAGAAAATTGATAAATGCGCAAAACCATCAGGATAACAGTACTGTGTGCAGTGCGTCTGTGTGGCCAGGGGTGGGGTGGGTGGTCGTACGTTTAGTTGTGAGCGCGTAAACGTAAATGCGTAAGCTCAGACCCTGGACTAGAGCTTTGCTCTCTCCAGCTCCCAAGGTTTCTATCCCAGCAGCAGCAGCAGCAGCAAGAACAACAAGTACGAAACGCTGCACTCACACAATTAACATGCGTGTGTATGCATTACACATGCGTATGCATGCATGTGTAAGTGTGATGAGAATTTTCAACTGCAGTTTCGCATTTAAATTTGGAGCCCACCTTTTCCGTTTCCACATCGTGTTTCACGTTCTTTGCGTGTCTCGACGACCCCACACATTGTTGTGCGTGTGATTTGATTGAAGCTCCCAAAACGAGGCGCAGCTAAAATTAAATGGTTTGCGGTTCCCAGTTGTATCATTGAAATGTTCTCTTGTGCTAGTGATTTTTTTTCTTTTTTTTTTTTTTTGTTCTCTGTTGTGGTTGGCTGCTTTGAGCCTGGGGCTAAAATATGTATTTTAAGTGCGTGCGCTTGGATTAGCATTAGGCTGTTGTTGGCCACTGCTGCTGTATTAATACATAAATTATAAATAAACATAAAGCGCGCCACAGGTGTGCACAGAGAGCGAGTGCTCGACCCCTGCGAACAACACCCGTATACGTAATTGTATATGCGCGTCTCTGCCTCTGTCTCTGTCTAAGTGTGTGTGCCAAAAGTTTACCCACTTTTTCTGCTGCTGCTGCTGCTGCTCAACTCGTTAACCCTTGTACCTTGCACTGACTCTGCCACCTGCCGCGCATCTTGCTCGTGTGTTAATTCGGCTGCTCTTTCTCATGCACACACACACACACGAGCGCGCGCGCGCAAATTTTGGCGAAGCACCGAAGAAATGCAACAGAAAACCACTGTTAATGATCACCAATACAATCACAACTCTCATTGCTTCTTCTTTGCGCTGGCTAACGCACGCACTTCTCCTGCATTGTTGTTTTCGTCTCTCTGTCGCACTTCGCTTCCGGGGCTTTCACGTTCAATTATTTCTGCCTGAATGAATGGCCAGAAACAGCGGCAGCGCGTCATTTATTGTCGTTTGCGCTTTTGGGTTTTTTTTTTTATTTTTTTCTCTCCTCTTTTTTTTTTTTTTACATTTGCTTGTGTCCAATTACCGTGGCAATTTATTCATCAAGCAGCAAAGCGTACAAACAATAACACACTCAGCCCTTAAAAGTGTGTGGGCAAAGAAAGAGAGCGCAGCATCAGCTCTGCTACTCTTTCTGCTATTTGCTCTTGTTCTGTCTTGAAACGCATTACGTGCATTTACGTGTTGTGTTGGTTCTTGTTGCTCGCTTTACCGTTGCTATGCTAGCTTTGTGTCACACAGCTTATACAATTTTCAGTTATTTTGCTGCTGCGTCCCAAACTCCCCGCTGCGAACCCAGCCCAACCCCTTGACATACGCTTGATCGTTATAAAACAAACTGTAGATGACAGACAGGCCATAAACACGACCCGCGCTCATGTTACGTGCAAAGTGCACAGATTTATAAACGGATACATAACTAGTACAAGCATATGCATATGCATATGTATGTATGTATGTATGTATTTATTTACTCATTTTTGTTTTCTTTTTAACGGGCACAAACATACACACACATACACATCTGTACGTTTATTTACTATCACATACAGCTAAGATAAATCTGCAAAATGGGCTTTTTGGATTTTGTTTAGCACCGTTTTGTTTATTGTTTTTTACATTTTTCATTGCTTTTTTTTTTTTTTTTTTAACCTAAAATATAATTACCTATAGAGGATGGATGGCTTGCAATCTTTCTTTATTTTTAGTTCATGTTTCTTTCAACTTGATTGTAATCATATTTTTTTCTCTCTCAAACTTATGGGCGAAATCGTGTTGAAATTTGGGCGCTTTTGGCAGACTTTTACGATTTTCTAGATAAAACCCATTTTATTGTCTTGAGATTTATTGTGCGATAATATCTCGAAACGGTAATTTATATCAAAAATAGAGTTCATAAAACGCAGTCCAAAGGAAAAACGAAATACTTTCTTATAACCTGAACCCATTAAAAATGGGTAAAAAGGGTATAGAGTATATATTCTTGATCAGCATCAACTGTCGAGTCGATCTAGCCATGTCCGTCCGTCTGTCCGTGCGTATGAACGCAAGTATCTCAGAACCTATAAGAGCTAGAGATTTAAAATTTTAGATGTAGGTGCTCCTAGTTCCCGCGCAGATCGAGTTTGTTTCCGATAATCGATAACCGTTTGCCCCGTTTGCAAGTAATCGATACAAATCGATATCGACAATCTGTCTTATGAGCAATTTTGGTAAATAATAAGAGCTAGAGTCACGATAACATTAACTTTAAGTGAATCTCTAGATCTAGCTTGAAATGTGGTGTGTATGTTAATACGCACATAAGTATGTATCTATTTTCTGCCCATATTGTTTTCCCTCTCGCTCTCACACCGTTGTCCCCCATAATTATTGATTACTGTCCCTTGTGTCTCTTGTGTGCAGTATTGTTATTTAGTGGGCACATATCCAACACATAATGTGCATGGTGGGCGTGTGTGGGTGCTCAAAGGGCAAAGGGCACAGGGCACAGGGAAATGCAAAGCGTTGCGGGCGGGCTAAAATTGTCAATCATGAAATGCCATTAATTAAGTTCCAATTGCCAGAGAGACGGCCGCAAAGTGACCATCCAGGCAAGGCTGTGCCCATTAGGTGGATGGGCTCTATTCACAAGATGTTCAAGTACATACGTTTCTCATCTTCTTCTTCTTTCTTTTGTTATACCCAATGTAGACATATAGCTTACGGCCTTACAGATATGCGCAGGAAAATTCTGATATCCAGAAATACTGCTCGAGCGATATGATATAGTATTCCGATGTTAATAGGCTGTTGCTCACAGCAGGAACCTAACTCTTACACGATTATTACTATGATATAGTACAGTTGGTTCTTTGCAAAGCGACAGAGAAGTTAGAAGAAGTTATATACTTTATAGATTGGCGCATTTCGCGACAAAATTATAATATATTCTGCAAAAGTATATGAAGGGTTTCCGTTAAGCGGCATACGACATTTAGCATACGGCATAAACAATTTATCACACATAAAACGATAAGATTAAAATTATATTCGCAGTAGAGCAAGGTTTTTCAGGTAGGGCGAACACATGATGCCACTCCTCAGAGCTTAGACCGGACATGGCTGCGCATTTGTACGAGACTTATTCAATTAAAATTCATACTTTAAAACACCTGCTCAAGGTGATTCGTCATGAAATTTATTGAAGTTGACATCCGCACGGCAAATTAAATATATGAAGATACCTGATCGGGAAGTTCTGGCTGTTGTTTCTATGCAAACTTATCTCTTTCTAGATTAAGGCTATCATACAGCTGACACAGGAACTATAAGACGAAAACTGAGCTATTGTATATTACAACAACAAAAAATAAAAACCCTATATACATAAATCTTCTATAGTTATATCTATTTATAAATATACAAAAAGATCCCAACTCGTTTATCTGCGTTCCTTTGAAGATAACTATTCATTCATTGACGGACTGATAATTAATCAACTTCCAGCCCAAACTTTGCTAGTGTACTTTTTATTAATATTTACATGCCTAGTTGGGACATAGGAAAATATTGCTTTTAAAAAACATTTCGGTTTTGCATTTAATTGGCTTCAAACTCAATTTCACAGATAAATTCACTTGAGGCGTGTTTCATGCGTTTCGGAAATCCACTAATAAATAAAATAATCCAATTATGAAGACAAGCAACGCCGAAAAATTGGGCTAGCGTCGATTTCCAAGGCCAACTTGGAGTAAATATTTGCTAGCTTTTATGCAACTTATGAGAGATGTGTTAAGGAGAACCAGGGAGTATGTCGAATATGTGGGTCACAAATGGGAACTCGAACCGTGGCAAGATCAAGTCAAATTCGAGCTATAAGCTGTTTCTCAATTTTTTGTGCTTAGCGCAACGAGCAGCCGAACCTGACCTTAAAAATGAATGTACATATATGACATGGATTGAAACGGCTTAGTTGTCAAGCTCTATAGCTCTATGACCTTACGGTGCAAAGGTTAAGTTTGCAGTTTCTAGTCGAGCACTTATTTGACTGATATCTCAGGTATTTTAATTGTCTAGATGATCGTAAAAAGCCGAACGCAAAAAGCTGTACCATAAATCGCAAACATTGTTTACACTTTTATCTATACGGCGCTTGTCTGCGAATCCGCTTAAAAAGCTCTAATTAATTTGTTAAGTTGAGCATTTGGCTAAATATGCGAACAAGCGTGACGATCAGCACGTCATGTAATGGGATCGATTACATTCGAAAAACCATATAAACGAGGCTTCCCACTCTCTCTCTCTCTCTCTCTCGCTCTCTCGTTATACCCTGTGCCCATTGAATATGTCAAGTGTATCTGACAGGCGAAAGGGTCTGTTTGATGATACACTGTAGAGTAGGATATTCTTGGTCAGCATCAATAGACAAGTTAACTTGGCCTTGTCCGTCTTTGTGTTTGACCTTCAGTCAAAATAGAAGAGCTAGAGACTGCAAATCAGGTTTATAACAAAAAATCGATAGTTTTATGTTTTCATCATATCGATAAATATCGATTAGCAAATTCAATTTTGTTTTAGATTGTAAGAGCTGAATACAAAGTTGGAAAAGTTGATTGATTGATTGATTGGATTGAATATATAGGACCTTAACATTTTCTAAAGATCCAACTACAAACACTCAACTTATTTAATGTCCACATCTTCATAGTTAGGAACTGAGCTGGTTTTTGTTTGGTTTTTATGGAGGAAAATTGAAAAGAATGTTATTATGAAATGGGAGCAGGGTAGCTGCTAGTCGGTCACTCCCGACCCTCGTTTTCTTTTGTTTATCGCGTAGGTCAAGCGCTGACAAGAACAAAAACAAAATAGCCCTGTGTCAGCGAGGAATGGTCTCTTCTCTGTTCTTTGTGAGGGAAGGGGAGAGGGGGGGGGGCAGTTGTCGGTAGTCAACAATAAATCCAATTAGCAAAGCGGTTCAAGGTAACGGCAAAAAATATGCACGATAAACCAAATTCACTTGAAGTGTTCTTGTGATACCCTGTACTCATTAAAATGTCATAACGAACGTAACGTTCGTCTCTCATTTGAAGAAGTCTGAAGGGATTGAGATTTGAATCTTGGGAATTCGAATTGGTTATTGTTTCATTTCGATTTCTTTTTCGTTTGCGAATATTTAGGGATTAGTCTAATGGCCACTTGAAACTTGATGTAGGATATCTTGCAGTCGGTCAAATTGGGCGGGCAACTTCTTTTTGTGGTCGTTGCTGTGCTTGTTGCCTATTAAGAAATGCGAGCTGAGTCGACCTTATCGGACATTTTCATTCTCATTTTCATGCTGGCTCGTTGCCGCTAGTTGTTTAATTGACAGCTCGAGTGCTCCGCCTGACAGTCGGAATGTCGTCTCCCTGGGGCGAACCAATAAACGAGATGGTAATTCACATTTTAAAGCTCGCTCCATGCGGCGCTCATATTGCGGCACACAACATGGAAGCCATAGCAACTAGCTAAGGGAACGTTCCCGGCCACCAATCCCGCCCCTCCCCCACCCAACCTCAAGCTCAAGCAGCCCCAGGCCATAACTTAATCCAACCTTGCCACATTTGCAGGTCATAGACGCCAGCAACGCCTCCGCCATGCGCAGCACAAGCAGCAGCGGCAATAACAACAGCCAAACCAGCAGCAGCAGCAGCAGCAACAACAACAACAACAAAAACTTTAACAACAACCGATGATTGCCTGAGGCATAAGAATACTATCAGAAAGAGAGAGAGAGAGAGAGAGAGAGAGAGAGAGAGACAGCCAGTTGGAGCGAGTGGGCGAGAGACCGAGCACACTTGAAGGCAACACATCAAAACCCGCCGTATTACAACCAAAGACGCTGACCAAAATTATATAAAAATAACCAAAAATGTTGATCAAAGAGTACCGCATACCACTGCCCCTCACCGTCGAGGAGTACCGGATCGCCCAGCTGTATATGATAGCGGTAAGTTTCCCATAGAGCTAACTAACTAACTAACTAGACGTAGTTCGTCTCAGCTCCTGTCTAGAAACAGTCCATGCTCTGTCTGTCAACCTTTTCCGGAGCCACCGAATTTCTTTCGAATTCCCCAAAACCCAAAACCTGTACCTTATGTCATATAAGGCTAGGTAAATCTATTTGGACTAACCTCTCGCTAGTGCCTCACCTGTGTCCATAGTCTTCATCAGAGTTCTATGTCCAATCCTCCATCTTCTAAACATGCTAAATAAGGCCTAGTATATTTTACCTATGGAATGTAGCTGTTTCCTTAATCCTATGCTAAGCTATAAGCAAAATAAAAAACTTATTTTCGGACTAACTATTTAATTATTTATTTGCGGCGCACAGAAAAAGAGCCGCGAGGAAAGCCATGGTGAAGGCAGCGGCGTCGAGATCATGATCAATGAGCCCTATAAAGATGGACCCGGCGGCGATGGGCAGTACACGAAAAAGATCTATCACGTGGGCAGCCATTTGCCAGGCTGGATAAAAAGTAAGTGAGGTTTATTTCTCTAATTCCATTAGCTAGTATATATATATACATATATATTCTTAAACCGAGTCGAGATTTCAGGAGCTGAACACTTTCTATTTGGAACCTTCTATTAAATGCGCAGATCACGTTTAATTTATACATAATATATATAATAATAATTATTTACAGACGTCAAAAATAATTCACTTTTTGATTAGTTTCAAATTTTAACTGCTGTTTGTCATATTTAAGATCTGCAAATTTGTCAAAGATCGGACTAGAAGCACAAGAGTCATTCAAGAATAATAAATAATCTAAAGCGTGGGCTTGAGTTTCCCCGTCTGGGTACAGGGTATCTGCTAGTCAAACACTAGCGACTATCGACTCTTTAAAAACAATTTTTTCTTTTTCTAATAATCAAATGCATTCGACTGGATGTCTTTTAGGTCTGTTGCCAAAGAGTGCACTGACCGTCGAGGAGGAGGCATGGAATGCCTATCCATATACGCGAACACGCTACACCTGTCCCTTTGTGGAGAAATTCTCGCTGGACATTGAGACCTATTACCATCCGGACAATGGCTTTCAGGATAATGTGTTTCAGCTATCCGGCAGCGATCTGCGCAATCGCGTTGTGGGTAGGTCAAAGATATAATAAAAATAAATAAAACTGAGCCGAATAAATTGATTTCCTAATTTTGCTACAGATGTAATTGATATTGTCAAGGATCAGTTGTGGGGCGGCGATTATGTAAAGGAGGAGGATCCCAAGCATTTTGTATCGGATAAGACGGGACGCGGTCCGTTGGCCGACGATTGGCTGGAGGAGTATTGGCGCGAGGTGAAGGGCAAAAAGCAGCCAACGGCACGCAACATGTCCCTGATGACCGCCTACAAGATCTGTCGCGTCGAATTCCGCTATTGGGGCATGCAAACCAAGCTGGAGAAATTCATACATGATGTGGCGCTGCGCAAGACAATGCTCCGAGCCCATCGCCAGGCCTGGGCGTGGCAAGATGAGTGGCATGGCCTAACCATTGAGGATATACGCGAGCTGGAGCGCCAAACCCAGCTGGCCCTGGCCAAGAAAATGGGCGGTGGCGAGGAGTGCAGTGATGGTAAGCACACGTCCAGATCGGTCTAAATTCACATAATGACCATCTCTTTCGCACGACGAGCAGACAGCACCTCGGAGCCATATGTGAGCAGCGCAACAACGGCCCCATCTTTGGGCACCAGTGAGCGCAAGAAGTCTGCGCCGGCATTGCCGCCCATTGTCACACAACAACCACCGAGCGCCGAGGCCAGCTCCGACGAGGAGGAGGATGACGATGATGATGAGGACGAGAATGACGGGGTCGGCACTAATGTGGAGCTGGGCGCTGCTCAAAGCAGCAGCAATCAACGCTCGCGTTCCCAGAGCATTCAGTTGGCCAACAAGGCCAAGTTTGGCTCAAAAGGTGCCCTACATTCGCCAGTGGGATCTGCACACAGTTTTGATTTGCAGGTGAGAGACGCTACGGATCTTGCTGCTGCTGCGGTGGCTTTCATCCATTGTGCTGTGCTGTATCAATGTTGTTGTCTCTCTCTCCTTTACTCTGTCATTGTCCTGTGTTGCTTCACTTTCGTTCGCTACAAGTCGAGCAAAGGAGCTGCTAATTTTTGCAATTAACCATGATTTGTCTGCGCCATGCAAATGTCGTTGGCAACATATTTCATTGGCAACATTTCATTTGCCTATAAACACTGTTGCTTGCTGTGTGCAACATTTGGCAAGGTGGCAACGCCGCAATTCATATTTTCTGCTAGTCTGCTTAATAAATAATTCACAGAATCATTTAAATAACTGGCGATCAACCTTAACGGGCACATAAAAAACTGTGCTTTTTACTGTCGATGGCCAGTCATACATTTATCCAGGGCTTAAAATAATATACGGACTGGAAGTTGTACAAGAACTAAGTGCAATGTCTTACTCAGCATTAATCCTGAGAATCGTAAACATTAAAACCACACACAATTTATTTGCGATTCGAGCTTCAATGTTCCAGTATTTGTTGATCAAATTTACAAATTCGTTTATTTGGCTTTTGTGGCGCTTTCTTGAACTGGTAAAAAAGCAGGCGAAAATGTAATTTAATTATTTGTATTTATTTATTTTTAACGTATGTTTTCATTTTGCATATACAAATTATGTGTGCGCATCGAATTTCGTTAATGTTCGAATTGTTTTGTTTTTGTGTTCTGTCCTTTGAGCTGTGTTCTTACCAAAAAAAAAAAAAAAATAAAATAAATAAATAAAATAATCTTTGATTTGCTCTTGTCACACAAATTCAAATCCAACAACTACCACAAAAAAAAAAAAAACACACACACACACTCCGACATCGATCAGATTCCGTTCCATGAGCTGCCCAAAAAATCGCATGCAAAGCCAGCACCACGCAGACATGTAAGTTTTAATTTCAGTTGCAGCTCCCGCTTCTTCCATTTAGGATCCCCAAGTAGACCAACATATATCGATTGATAGCAGCCCAACAATATACAATTAACGTATGCATATTAATGAGTTTTCTTTGTGCCTGCATGCAGGTGGCCAACTGGCGAATGGAGCGTCTTGAGGTGGACTCCAAATCGAACTCAGACGAGGAGTTCTTTGATTGTTTGGGTAAGTGCGCTGTGGCATGTTCAATATGGATGTCCGACTAATTTATGCTTCTCTTGCAGACACAAACGAAACGAACTCGTTGGCGAAATGGAGCTCACTCGAGCTGCTGGGTGAGGGCGATGATAGTCCACCGCCGCATGGCGGCTGTTCCAGCGGCAGTGCTGGGGGCGTTGGCGGCATCGCTGGACGCCATAAACAAGATGACAGCATATTTAATCAGGACTTTTTAATGCGCGTCGCTTCGGAGCGCGGCAACAAGCGTCAGTTACGCTCCTCGGCCAGCATCGATCGTAGTCACGATTCATCACCGCCGGGCTCACCGAGCACCCCATCTTGCCCCACCACCATATTGATGCTGGTGGTGCACGCTGGCAGTGTGTTGGATGCAGCCAGCGAGCTAACCGCCAAAAAGTCGGATGTAACAACATTTCGAGGTTCATTTGAGGCCGTTATGCGTCAGCATTATCCCAGTCTCCTGACGCATATGACCATTAAGATGGTACCGTGCCCCTCGATTTGTACCGACGCACTTGGCATACTGTCCAGCCTCAGCCCGTATTCGTTTGATGCGTCACCCTCGGCAACGGATATACCAAATATAGCGGATGTGCCAATTGGAGCCATACCGCTATTGGCCGTGGCCTCTCCAGAATTCCAGGAGACAGTCAACAAGACCGTGGCCGCTGCCAACATTGTCTATCATGAGTTCCTCAAGTCGGAAGAGGGTCATGGCTTTTCCGGCCAAATAGTTATGTTGGGCGACTCAATGGGCTCCCTGCTGGCCTACGAAGCATTGTGTCGTTCCAATGGCAGCCAGTCAAATGCCGCCAATCAGACAGCGGGTCACGGCTCGATTAGCGCTGGCGGCGGCGATTGCAGCCGCATGTCCCGCATGGATGATGATGAGCGTTTCATTGACTCCGATTTGGATGCGAAACGCTTGCTGGTAGCACCATCGCCGCGACGTCGTCGCTCCAGTTCCTCAAGCGATTCACGTGCCACCAAATTGGACTTTGAGGTCAGCGATTTCTTTATGTTCGGCTCACCGTTGTCTGTTGTGCTTGCCGCACGAAAACTGCATGATGCCAAAGCGGCGCTGGCTCGTCCCAATTGCCATCAGGTATATAATCTGTTCCATCCAACCGATCCAATTGCCTCACGCCTCGAGCCGCTACTAAGTGCACGCTTCTCCATACTGTCGCCGGTCAATGTGCCACGCTATGCCAAATATCCGTTGGGCAACGGACAGCCGCTGCATTTATGTAAGTTAAGATTTAGATGCATAGATTGACATGCATTACAGTAACACATGATTAAATCCAACCCATTTTCTCTTTGTCTCGCTCTCTCGCCCTCTCGCTCTTTGTGATGCAGTGGAGGTAATACAATCGCATCCGCAGCATTTTAATGATGGCAACAATTTGCTGTCCAGCAGACGCCTTTCGGATGCATCGATGCAGAGCACCATTTCGGGTCTCATTGAGAATGTTTCGCTTAGTACTATACACTCCCGTAAGTGTGCATCTGAATCGAGCACAGATGACTTTACAAATGATTGCCAACACAAATTTCATATTGCAGTTCAGAACAAATGGTGGGGCACAAAGCGCTTAGATTATGCGCTTTATTGTCCAGAGGGCTTAAGCAATTTTCCGGCACACGCACTGCCGCATTTATTCCATGCCAGCTATTGGGAGAGTCCCGATGTGATTGCTTTTATATTGCGCCAAATTGGCAAATTCGAGGGCATACCGTTTGTGGGCTCGCACGATGACAAGGACAACACCACATCATTTCATCCGGGGCAGCCGCGCGAGAAGTGGATCAAGAAGCGTACATCCGTCAAGCTAAAGAATGTGGCGGCCAATCATCGGGCCAACGATGTCATTGTGCAGGAGGGGCGCGAACAGCGTTTAAATGCGCGCTTCATGTATGGACCGCTCGATATGATAACGTTGCATGGGGAGAAGGTGGACGTGCACATTATGAAGGATCCACCGGCTGGCGAATGGACATTCCTAACTACCGAAGTGACCGACAAAAATGGACGCATCTCGTACAGCATTCCCGACCAACTGTCTCTCGGCTATGGCATTTATCCGGTCAAGATGGTGGTGCGCGGCGATCACACATCTGTCGATTGCTATATGGCGGTGGTTCCCCCGCTGACCGAGTGCGTTGTATTCAGTATTGATGGCTCCTTTACGGCATCCATGTCGGTGACTGGGCGTGATCCAAAGGTGCGCGCCGGTGCAGTCGATGTCTGTCGCCATTGGCAAGAGTTGGGCTATTTGCTTATCTATATCACCGGACGGCCGGATATGCAACAGCAGCGTGTTGTCTCCTGGCTCAGCCAGCACAATTTTCCACATGGCCTAATTTCGTTCGCCGATGGACTCTCCACCGATCCGCTGGGCCACAAGACCGCCTATCTCAATAATCTCGTGCAAAATCATGGAATCTCAATTACCGCCGCTTACGGCAGCAGCAAGGATATTAGCGTCTACACCAATGTGGGCATGCGACCCGAGCAGATCTTTATTGTTGGCAAGGTACATCTTCGAATCCTCAAGAAACATGTTTGCCTTATCTATAACATATTGTTGGCTTTATGCGCTTATACGTTTTCAATGCACAACAATTATGAAACGTAAGAGACATACGCAAACATCTGTGACCCATTAATATATATATATACATAGCTATATTTATACTTGATCAGAGCTCAGTCTTCGATCAATTTATAGTATTTTTTTTTTGTAGTTTCTTATCTTGTACTAGCCATAGCCAGGTCACATTTATATCACATAATTGATAAGTGTTTTAACATATATTTATTTGTTTTCAGGTGGGCAAGAAACTGCAATCGAATGCAACTGTGCTCAGCGAGGGATATGCCGCCCATTTGGCTGGTCTACAGGTGGTCGGTGGCTCCCGCCCGGCCAAGGGTAATGCCCGTATGGTTATACCACGTGGCTGCTTCAATCTGCCTGGACAATCGGCAAATCCGCGACGCAGAAGGTAGGTCGCACCAATGAGAAAGCACATTTGTGGTTACCAGGCTAACAGGCTACCAGGCTCCCAGGCTGGAGCCGGCATGCGGCAGCTGTGGTGGAGTCTTCTTCTGTCTTGTCTGTGTAAATTGTATATATGTATGTGTATGTGTTAGTGTTAATTGGCAAATATTTGTATAATGTGTATTGTATTCTAAGTATTTGGTGTTTTGTGCCCATTTATTTATTTATTTTATTTTAATTTCTTGTTAACCTTTTGTTTATGCTTTATGTCTTTAATTGTTGGTTTGATTCGTATTGTGTTCGAGTGCTGCTGACACGGCGCATGCACAGAGTTCCGTGTCTGAAACGTTGTCCCACGTTAACAGCCATTGGCTAATATTGTAATTGAGCTAAAAAAAACCCCTCTCTCTCTCTCTGTGGAGCCACCTAATCATGCATCATGTCTCCTTCCAAATACCCCACAAACCAACACCAACACCCCATCCAAATATGGCCAAATATGATCAGCAATGCGTTTGAGGCCCAACCTTCCACGCCCAACAGCAACAGCCTCGCCCAACTGAACGAGGGCATTGTGTATGAGCATGAGCCTGCCGGCAAGGATGATGTCCCGGCCCAGTCCCCTCGCAGTCCCGCCTGAGTCAGCATCCCATTTGGCCCTGGCCTCTGTGTACATCCGCCCCTCCACAAGCAGCAGCAGACACAAAACTTTGCCTAGTCCACAAAAAATCAATATATAAATAATATTTTGTTATGATTTTCATGGTTTTAGCCCTAAGTTATCGAAAACTATTTAAATGCCGTATTATTAATATGCTAAGTTATAGTTTTATTTTGTTATATATAATTATATACACATGTATATTTATTAGTGCTTTTCATATTGTATTATTTGGTTTGATATTATTGTTATTGTATATAACGAGGACAAAACAAAAGCAACAGGAAACAAAATCTGGCCAAAAAGGCAACCAGCACACATACATACAAGTATGCATACATACATACACATATGTACATACATATCTGTGTGCATATACCAGCGATATACATATACATACATATGCAATAAAGAGCTTCAACTATTTATTTATTTAGAGTAACATAAACACAAATATATATATACATATATACATATATGTTTATATATTTGTATATATGTACTTCCTAGACGTACATACATATGATTTATAACGTTACGATTTCGTCATGTATCTTTTCTTTGTTTGTTTCTTGATTTTGATAAACAACGCTTTAACCCCTTACTGCAACACGTCACGCCCCCCGCCCCCTACCCCTCGCTCTATATTGATGCGATTCGCACACGCACACACACACACGTACACGTACACGTACACTTACACACACTGGCACATAAATGATCAAATGTATATCAAAATAGGCTGCATGAACAAGCAACAAATGATGTTTAAAACGTTTACCAACACTGTAGTTGATATGCAAACGCGTAACGCATTAGTTTAAAAACCGTTACAAAAGAGTTGAGAGTTTGAATAATTTCTTTAGTTGAGTTTGGTTTGTTTGATATGCTTTTCATGCATTTTAGCTGAGCATTTTATGTTAATTCTGTGTTGTGCAATAAACAAATTGCAAAAAATAAAAAAAAAAAAATCAATATATATATATAATAGAAAGTATATATATTGAATTGGAAAAGCGCTATCAACTAAAACCTTACACTCAACTTTACCTCTGTCTTTTTTCCAAAAAAAAAAAAAAAAAAAAATAACCTCCGCAAACTCTAAACTTTATTCTAATATGAAACATTTTGACATCAAATCAACACACCCAACACACACACACACACACACACATGCTACAAACCCAATACCTTGACATCGTATTGAATGTGCAGCAACGAGACGGGCCTTTCATCACCGATTCGCAGTGGCTATCTAAAGCGCAAGACCTATCTGAGCCATCACTAGGTCCCAGCAGGAGGGAGCTAAGCCAAAAGAGACAGAGACAGAGAGAGAGAAAGGAGTATCGTATTTTAGTTTATATAGCATATGCTGAACGATCGATAAGAAACGCAACCAGCAACTCTCGCAATTACCAGCCACATGCAATTTGCAATCAACTATATATATAGATATATATCTATTACGATATCAATGTGTAAACCTACCTAACAAGTGCTTCTCGAACGTGTTTAGATGACCTGCAGTAAATACCCAATTACCATCATAATTATATAATATTGGATCAGCAACAACAACAACAACAACAAAACATCTCAGCATCGATGCCACCATAAACCACATCTGTGTATAAAACATAAAACACTTATATTATGCGCAATATATAGCAAATTATATGGTGTATATACAAAATACAATAATCAAAAAAAAAAAAAAAAAAAAAAAAGAAACCTAAAAAAAAACTCAATTGTACATCATAAAACAAAAGTCAAATGTGTCACGCGGTGAGTAGACGACATCAATTGCAGTTAGCTGCAATAACTGTAATTTAAACAATATATATATAAATATAAACAATTAGCTTTATCTGTCATTATTGGGCATAAATTAAGAAAGCTATAGTTTCAGTGAGGCAAAAACTATTTTTAAACAAAAATTTCAATCAGAATGTAAATTGTTAAAAAGTAAATTATGTTTTGTTTTTTAGGAAAAGCTTAGCAGAGTCTAAAAAAGATAATAATGCCCCAAGCCAAGTTGTGATTAGATACTTTTGCAAAATAGTTATTCATATGCAACATTAAGCTTTAGTTTCAAGAAAAATGTCTGCTCTTGTTTTGTTTTGGTGCAAATACGTTTAATTAAAGCCTATTTTTGATCTATTTCTCAGGTACCTGGAAAGAAAGACTGTTTCCTCCTGTTGTTTGATGGTTTTTCAAACCACTTAAAGAAAATTACAAATCACACAAAAACAAAAACGAAAAAAAATCAATTGACAACATTTTCAAAAGCAGTCGACGTACTTTTAAGTACGCTTACTGCAAGCCTATGTGCTATATATTGTATAAGAAAATTGCTAAAAACAATACAAAAAAAAAAACGAAAAAGAAAAAGAGAACTCTATATATTTACTCTACGAAACCGTTTAACATATGCAAGCGAACAAAGTTCAATAATGTGGCATCAAATGTGAAAGGACAAAGAACAACTGGGAGATAAGTACAACTTGGAGATAAGATAAACGAGTATTACGAAAGATCTCTATATGAACTGCTTGACGGACGTCTAATGGCGAATTCCATGCATTTCCTTAACCAAGCAAAAACCAAAATAATAATCATATATATGTCATATAAACAATGAAAACCTGAACCAATTGCAGTCGAAATCCAACAAAAAAACCCACAATTCTACTTATGTGTGTGTGCGTGTGTGTGTGTGTGTGTGTGTGTGTGTGCGTAGGTGCGTGAAAAGCTGAAAAGAAAACAATCCGATTCTATATATTGTAAACCTTAAGCAAACACGTCAGAAATCTCTATAATTGTGATAGTTTTTCGCTACAACAACAACAACAACAACAGCAACAACAACAAAAGAAACAAATTTCTAAAATCTATTCAAAATGTTTGTATTGTTAAAAGTAAATATATATATATACACAGATATATACTCAAAAAAAAAAAAAATATTTAAAATTTCCTAAGCTTTGGAAAATATCAAGAAAATTAAAATTTTCATTAAATTCAAAACAATTTTCTTGTCTCCAAAAAAGAACGAAAAATGTTCATTTTATGGCTATACATTTTTCTTGTTTTTTTTTTCAAATTTTTAGCACACATTTTCTTTGAGTGTACATAAAAGAAAGAAAGAGAAAATCATATAAAATGTTAAAAATTCAACTTGTAATCAAATTTTGTAATGCGACATGCATACATATACATATACATAAATATATATATATATATACATAAATATATATATATATATATATATATATATATATATATATACATATACATAAATATATATATATACATAAATATATATATATATATATATATATATATATACATATACATAAATATATATATATATATATATATATATATATATATATATATATATATATATATATATATAGATTATATCTGTTCTGTTTATTCTGTTCAAGTTCAGAAGCATTTAGTTGTTCCTCTCGTAACCCATGAGTATGTATATAGCTAATGCGTATATGTGAATTATCTGCCCGTAAGCCGGATTTAACAATAATCAAAAAAACAGCGCTCATTTGTGATAAACAATAATTGAGTACATACATACATATATACATACAATATTGACAGAATCTGCAATCCTAAACTAAATGCGACCTGAAGAAGTAAGGACAAACTATATGCTTATCTAATTGCGTGTATTATAATACCTGTGTGCATCCATGTGTAATATAACATGTGTTTATTGTATATTGTATAATGTCCACACACGATTATTGAAACCGACAAACAGATATTTGAGAACACAACCAACACAAACGGTACAAAGTGGACCCAAAGTAAATTTATAAGCTCAGATTGGTTTACTTGCAAGTATTCAGCTGAGCTATAAAGTATATATATATATATAATTCCTATATTGCAAATTGAAGAGTTTAATATGATGTGAATATAACATTATAATATGCGTAAATGTAAATCTAGCAAAAACATGAGCATGCTTAGAAATAGAAATGATGCTATTTGATGTAAAACCAGGTGTTCCAACATATACAATTTAATGCGTTCCTCGATTTGAATTTGAATTCGAATAATATCTGATAAGTTAGTTCTCATTGATATTATCGATAGCTGTACTCGCGGCTAAAAAAAAGATGCATATATAGAGCAGAAATGTCTCAAATTGAAAACAAAAATAGTTCAATTCAATGACAGCCATTAATAAGTGTTGTGTAACGTTAAAATGATTCAAACAATTGTTGCCGCTTTCGTCAAGTCCGAACCAACACTTTTGCACTTCGTCAAAAATGCTTCGATGAAGACGAACGGCAAGGTGGAAAATGAAAAGCGTATAAATTATATTGATATTTTAACCCACCATTTAGCTGATAAGCCCCAGCTAAGTATGTTATCTATGAAATGGCAAAACAATTCATGAGCAAAACACAAAACAGTATAACAAATGACAACAAAGCAAATTCAAAAGAGAAGTAAACCAAGCGTTCAGCTCGTAATATTACTTATATACATATACATATATATGTATATTTATTTACGAAATGTACATGTGTATGTGCGACAATTGCTGCATACACAAACAAGTACACATCTATACACATACATACACACATACATGCATATATAAATGTATGCAATGCATCAAGTGCAAAAGTCCAACAGCATGCGTTAGTTATACATGCATGCATGCATACATACATGCATGCATTCATACATACATGCATGCATGCATACATACATGCATGCATGCATACATACATGCATGCATGCATACATACATACATATATATACATATGTGTCACATCACGGACAGGAAAAATTTAAATAAATGTATTTATTAGTCAAATGCTAAGAACAAAATAAATGTATATGAAAAGATAAGAGCAGAAAATAAGTGGAGCAATCCACAAGAAATCTATTTACAAAAAAAAAAATAAATAAAATAATTATAAACTGCATTCAAAATGTTGGCAAAGAGCGAGACGCAGCTTAATTTTTGCGAAACAGATGCATCTATATTTTCCAAAACAAACAACTTTTTAACGAAAAACTCTAAAGAGAATCAGATACAGAAAGTGAAAGTAGAAAGAAGTATAACTTAAGCGTGTATTCAAATTTCGCCAAGTGCTTCAAATTGCAGTCCACACAATATTTTTCGATCTATGTTAGCTGTTTCTTAAATGTCCTGCGCAAAATAGTGAGAGAGAGAGAGAGAGAGAGAGAGAGGGGAATAGAGAGAATGCAATAGGCAGAAAAAAGTTCATGGAAAAAACAAAAACCAAAATGTTCTATTTGATGTTATAAATGAAAAATAAGAAAAGAAAACTAATAAAAATCAACCAAAAAAAAAATATATATATATATATGTGAAAAAAAAAGAAACAACGATCTTTTGTATGCCACAATTTCAGCGGGGTGTTTGAACCACAAAGCAAATCAGAGCTCGAGTCTGGGGCAAGCAGCGAATCGTTTAATTGACTCATCGGTCCGTGACCGACTGATTGAGTACGGCGCTGCTTTAATGCCGATAAGCCCCACAGCGGATCACATGAGTGAGTGTCCGAAATGTGTGTGGGGAATGATGGGCAGATCTTCATGGATGACTATGCATCCAGCTGCAAATATATACTGGAGCAGGGGCGGCACTGATGCCGAGACCCTCTCATTGTTTACACATATTCAAAACTGCTAATGTAGCTAAAATATAACTCAGATCTAAAATTACATTTGGATGAGCATAAAGTAAACGTAAAAGAACAATTTGTGCGCAATTTGAGACGTTCATCTAAGGTAACTTAATGCCAACTTAATTGTTTAATTTATTATTATTTATTTACTAAGTCGTTGCTACTTGTTTACACATACGATATAACTGTATTGAAAACGTGTATTATCATTTAAAACGAATAGGCAAAATAGTAGGCAATTGGTTAACATTTGGAGCGCTCACAATTTGGGCAGACCCGCGGAAATGGCGCTTTCGATGCCGCAATGATCTTCGCCGCGCAATATGCGGAAGAAACCGTTATCACCCCAGTCGGTGTTCCACGAGTTGCCAATTAGCCAGTATGGCACCTTGTTGTCGCCCCAAACGCCCCAGCCGAGTATGCGTATGGCATGACCGCCCAATTGCCGGCCATGGACATGCTGATAGACGCCGGTCTTGTACAAAATCAAATCCTCGTATACTGTAAAGGCACCCTCCACTGGTCCATTGGTCATGATTTCGCGCTGAATATCAAGCGGATTACGATTGACCGAGTATGCCTTTGCACCAAAATGCTTGTCCTTGGCATAATCGACCGAGTAACCAGATTCGCACTTGTGCATGCAACGGGGTGTGCTGCCACTGTGACACGGTGGCCGTGTGCCGTTTACGTGATGCTCGCAGGGCTCAACTTCATAGGGCCTGCATCCCTGCAAAGATACAAAAAACCGATTAACAAATGTCGCTGACTGTGCATCTGGCGCTGTAGTCTACTGTGGCTTACCTCTTTAGAGCCATAAGAGCCGCCGCTAACAATACCCTTGTGGGTCCAGTAGCTCCACGCAGCGCCGGGAAAACCGCCGTTGCAGCCAAAGCCGCAGGTGTGGCAACAGGATACCAAGTCATCGGCCGAGAAATGGAAGTTAACCGTGGCATTCGAGTGTATGCAAACCTACAAAAAACAAAAAGCGAAAAACAAGTAAGCAAATTTTCAGCCTAAACAAAGAGCGAGCACACGCACACACACACGCACACACAGATACACAAATTGCAACGCAATTCTGTTGAATCGATAAGCAAACTTGCGATAAGCATCGGCCAGCTGCGTCATCTGCTTTGTTTGTGTGTGGTCCTCGCTACTTACACGATCGGACATGGCCTCAACAGCACCAAAGGCCCAGCACGAGCCGCAGGAGCCCTGATCACGGATCTCGCCAATCGTTGGACAGTCGGGCCAGGCAGTGCGCGCATCAAACTCTTCGGGCAGATCGCCGCCATCTGCCTCCATGAGATTGCCCAGCACTTGGCTCTTTTCGGGCAATGTAAACTTGTGCGCATCGGGATGTACGCCCATCAGGCCGCGTATATGGTGTTCCGATACGGATGCATCAAAATTGCGGCCAACCTGTTATTTAAAATGTCAATTATATTATATTATTATGTCACGTCAGCAGAAGGTTTAGTTGGCTTAATAAATAATAATATTGACACTTACCGTCCATGTCTTGGCCTTGCCTCGCACCAGCTCCATAAATTCTTCGCTAAGCATGTGCGGATCATCCTCTGTTGCGGCAGCTATGGCCACAAAGGCCAGCAGTAGAAAAAGTTTCATATTTCCAGCTGCCTAATTGTCAAAATGGCGCTGACAACGCAATTGAAAAATTGTCAGAGAAACAGTCAACTAATCGTTTGTATTGTAATCGTATGTATGTACATATGTCGTTGCGTATAGATGTTTTTGCTTGTAATTAGCTGCTCGTTGGCTTTACAATTGTTATTTACTTGACTGGCGATCCCCAGCCGCAATTTCAAACTGTTTTAGCATTTAGTTAGTTCATCACGATTTATATGCGTCGTACACTTTCAAGTGGCTGATAAGCGGCCATTGTAGTGATGGGCAAAGCGATGCGAATGCACTATCGATATATTTTGTGCTACTTGATACTATTCGATACTATCATTATAACTGCAATGAGCAAGGCCCACAAATTGCTAGACAAGTCTCGAAAGAATCTTTAAATTTGAGCCCCATAAAAAAAACGAGATCGAAATCTATACAACGCGTTTGCACCAACTATTTACGCTGGCAACTGTAATTTTCCGAAACGCTGTGCACCTACAGCAACAGTCTTTAGGTACTATAATCGAGTAAAATCGAAATATATTGAGGAAGAACAAGATCAATTGTGTTCTCTCACCAAATTCCAACAGTTGCAATCAACCGTTACCCAAATTGTCTTAATATTTAACTTTATTTACATATGTATCTTGCACTACTAGTATTATCACAAGGGCGTATTCTTTAGTTTAAACATACGGATTCCAATTGCTACCGTCCTCGGGCAACAAGTTGTTCGTTATGAGCAAAATCACATCTATGATCCACCAGACACCGACGCCGCCCATTGTCAAAAGTTTACCCACAGCGGTGCCGGTTTGTCCCAGGCAAAAGCGATCCATGCCCAAAAAGCCGAGCAACATGCTGTAGATCAACGTGGTCACAAAATAATGATCCGTGTAACGTACACACGGCACACCGTCCCGGAAGAATGTGCGTGCCCCGTAACAATCGATGTCCGTGTAGACCGTGCACTGGACTTTTGTGTGCTCGACATCCTCGTAGAAGGAGCCACCGAAATGAAGACAGCCATAGCCCTTTTCCTTTTTAGCCGTTTCGTTATTTCGATGATCGATGGGCTCCTTGCACTCCAAAAAGTCGCGCGGCAAGAACGAGCACATTACATTCGGTCCCAAAGGATTGAACGTTGAGCTGGACGCCGAAGCTCCTTGTGAACTGGAGCTGGAGCCAACTGGCGACTGTGCCTGCACGGGTACAACCGACTGCACAGCCGTTCCGGATACAACCGTTTGCGGTTGCTCCTTGTCACTGCGTGCCTGTATGGCATGAGTGACGGAATTTATGGTTAGAAACAAGATGACAACGCTTAAGAAAATTCCTTTTTGTTGCATTGTTGTTTTTACAAACTTGTACAATGCACCCACACTAGAGATGAGCGTCAGAAGTGTACCAGTATGCAAATAAGCAACGCGAGATTCGATAGTATCGATATTCCTTCAACACTGCTCATCGTACAAATGGCGTCTCTAAAATTTGATTGCTTGGATTTTATAAGCCGGTGTCTTTACCCGACCGCGATTTTCCCCAAGAGCGCGAAATAAACAAAAAAAAAAAGAAAGAAGAAGCATGTTGAAAATGGAGAACTACCAATAGAAACCTGTAGTACAAATTGTTTTCATAAAATATAAACGCCATCGGATTTGTCATGGACATATTTGAAAATATATGCCGCACTTGCGGCAACGACTGCCTGGACGCAATGAACATATTCGTGGACAGCGTTACGGTGCTGGAAAAGAGCGTTCCAATATCGGAACTATTATCCAGATGTATGCCCACGTCCGCAACGCTGCCAGCACTGAGCAAGAATGATGACTATCCCAAGCAGATATGCCGTGTTTGTATCAAAAAACTGATTATGATATACGAATTCAACAACAAATGGATAACGGCAAACAATGAGTTCAACGTGGCGCTAAAGTTTGAACAGCGCCGCAATCGCTCCCGGCTATCACAGCCAATGCCAACGACGGCACTGGACGACCGGATGCCAATTAAGTGTACCGTAAAGACTGTCGATGCAAACGTTCAATCCATTGCAGCAGACACGGCTGGCATTAAGGCGGAAAATATTGTGTTCAAGCATGAGCCACATGAAGGTATGTTTGCTTCACGTACACATAATACGAAACTGCAATTGAATATGTGCGCGCTATTTTCAGGTACGGAAATCGGGACACTGATCAATACAACTGATATGGACCACGATCTTGCCACAAAGAACAATGAGACAATTGCGCAGACAATCAATTACCAGTGCGCCTTGTGTGATGAGTGCTATCACACGCTTGCGGCCTACCAGAAACATCATAAAGTCAGTCACCGCAACTCTCAGTTCTTATACTATACGCCAGGACAATAGAGCTCACTTCTATACACTTGATTGTTTTGTTTTACTTAGCTATTTATATTGCGGCGCAAAAAAAAAAGATGGTTGAAAACAATCAGATCGCACAGTTTTCTTAGTCGTCCTCGTCCTTGCGCACCTTCTTGGCACGAGGATCATCGTCACGGAAGACCACATAGCCCGTTTTGTAGAGACGATTGTCGCCATCCTTGGCATAGTAGTTGGCCAGGCCAATGCCAGCCATGACGATGCCCGTTAGAGCCAATACCGAGCCGCCAACAATGTCGGGTATCTCGTTCCAGGCGCGCTTGAGCAGGGACGTTGAGCCTCGGGCGGCGCTTGCTGACATTGTGGGCGTCTGCAAGTACAAAAAGGGGCTGTATAGTTGTTCGAATAATTGTTGGTAATTTCGTTATACTTATTAAAAATACGCGTTTCAGTTACACAACAAGAACAGGCCCAGTTGCTTAGCGATGTGATATGACAGCTGCTGTATTTATCGTGCTATCGATAGTTGAAAACAGGCTGCCAGACTGAAAGCAAAATCAAATCAAAGTAGCACAGCAGTTCTCGTTAAGTTGGCAGCGCTGCACGAATTCGACATCAAACCTGTTAATCTGGCAAACTGTTTAGACTCTAATCAGTTGAAATATGGAAATGTACATGGATTTAGGTAATATTTGCTTTATTTGCCTTAGCACCACTAACGTACTTGTGGATCTGTGCGACGAGCGATTGCGACAGCCTGCAGGGGAACCCACCCTGGCGGACAGCTTACTTGCCTGGATAAACTGGGGCCGTATTGAAAATGACTCAAAGATTTGCTCCACTTGCATTTTGAAGGCACCTATAACGGATACATTTAAACGCATTTGTCACGACATTTTGCAAAGTAATCGTGAACTGCGAGCCCGTAATGCCGCCGCTGGTCAATAAACGCTAAGAGTCCGAAGCATTATGAACCATGTTCAAACATAAGCATTCAGTTCTTGGTGTACTCATGAGTCAATATTAATCGACCCTACTTTTAAATGGCGATAAACTAAAAACAAATGTTAAATTATGTTTAATCGTTAGTATTAAATGAGTTTTTTATCTTTCACAAGTATCCTTAACTAGAACAGACCTTGTTTCGCTGTTATTAACAGTATTAATAAGCAAATCATTTTTTTTAACGGTAAGAATGATCGTATAATTCGATTGATCTTTGGCGTTGCCAGACTGTTATTCCGTGCACGGTTAACAGTCCCACTCCTCACTTAACATAGTTATTAGCAAGACATTTTTGAGTAACAGGTGCGTAAATATCGCACACCTCTAATTCTGTTTATAAGCTTTTCAAAACATCCAAAATTTCTTGCAGCGGCAAAGCAATATGACGACTATACCGGGAAGAGCTCTACACTACGTTTTCAAGATTGGTGACCGTGCCAGGAATGCGTTCTTCTTTCGCAACATACTGGGAATGCAGGTAATATGAAGGACAGACTGGCGAGTTACGTCTTGGGGCTAACTTGCAAGCCCGGTTATAAGCGCAACGTCATATGTGTGTGTCTGTATTTACTGTACATATGTATATGGGGGCAATTACCCAGAATATCTAATTATCTGAGAAACATGACATGGCACTGTGTAAGTCAATACAATGCCAGCCAGAAGCGTATTAAACTAAAATAAGATAAGCACCGGCTGGCGTTTAAATGCTGATTGTTTTTTTTTTTGTTTATCCCATTCAATACTGGAATAGGTATTGCGGCATGAGGAGTTCAAGGAAGGCTGCGATGCGGAATGCAATGGGTAAGTTGTATTCAGAAATTGTGTACGGAAATCTATATTTGTACCCACTTTCCATGTGCGCAGGCCTTATGACAATCGCTGGAGCAAGACCATGGTTGGCTATGGCCCGGAGAATACGCATTTTGTCATCGAGCTGACCTACAACTATGGCGTCAAGAGCTACGAGATGGGTAACTGTTTCTAGCTAAACAAATTTCAAACTTCTCATACAAAATCTTGCAGGCAACGACTTTGGTGGCATTACGATTTATTCCAAGGATATATTAAAGCGTGCCGCTCAAAATTCCTATCCGGTTGCCAAGCAGGGCGATAGCAATGTGCTGACCTCGCCAGATGGCTATAATTTTTATATTGTTGAGTCATCGCCCACTGCCAGCTCGGATCCAGTGCAACAGGTTGAGCTGAATGTTACCAACTTGGCCGCAACGCGCAAATACTGGCACGAGCTGCTCAACATGAACCTGGTCAATGAGACGGATAATTCGATTTTGCTTGCTTATAATGCCAAGCAGACCTCTCTGCGCCTCACGCTTCTAAATAAGCCCCTGAACCGAGCCAAGGCCTATGGGCGCATTGCATTTGCGGTACCCGGCTCTGTGCAGAAACCATTATTCGATGCCGTAACAAAAGCGGGCGGCACCATACTGAAGCCACTGATTACACTGGATACGCCCGGCAAGGCAACGGTTACGGTTCTAATTTTGGCCGATCCTGATGGTCATGAGATATGCTTTGTTGACGAGGAGGGCTTCACAGAGCTTTCAGAGCTGGAGCCAAATGCTGGTGACCAATTGGACAAGTACATACGCAAGGATCCATTCCAGGAGAATAAGTAGACGCGAGCCGTTTATTATTATGAGAACTTGTTGAAAATCTTGCATTCAAATTAGAAAACATATTTTTTTGTTGTAATTTTTTACAAAGTTTCAATATATACAAATTTTTAGAAAGTGTATTAGATAATGATTTTGCTTAACCATAATAATGGTAATACGAAAGCGCATGGGCATTATCAGGTAGTCAAACTTTGCTGTGTTTTAACAGTTATTAGCCACTTACACTGAAATCGCAACTAGTAACGCAACAGTAACTGAACTCGAAAGAGGGGCGTTCCCTGCTGTGCGCAATACCAGGGCTATAAAAAGTAATCCGTAAGAGTGTGGCAGCCTTGCTGTTTATTTTTCGTTATTTTCTTTTTTGAAACGACAAACCAAAATCTGCTGGCTTTTCAAAGTGCAGCAGTTCAATTTTCTCAATGGCGACAAATGTCTTAAATTTGAATTTGAAACTTTGTAATCGTTGATGCAAGCTGCCAGCTCGTCAAATTTTGGCGTTGCCATAGTTTCGCACAGAAACATATTTTGCGAAACGTATATTCCTTCCAGCAATAACTCGATAATTGAGACAATTGAGTTTTCATAAAGACTTTTGAAAATTGAATTGGAACCGATTGGATGGAAAGCAAAAATGTTTGGTACAATCGTGCTCCCCAAATATTATGTACCTAGTTTCCTACGCTTGCCGTAGCATTCTGGAAATATTTGTCATTGACTTTTTATTTATTTATTTTTTTTTTTTAGATATTTCTGTGGTCTTTTAAATTATATTAAACTCGATTTTAGTTTCGTTGAAAGCTGTTTATTACATTTTTTTGTTATTTATTTTTTAGGTTTTTCAATTTTTGCTTTGAGCCCTTTGAGTGTTTTATTTTTAGATAATCCAATGAAGATCTCAATATCTGATCCGGTCGTGATGGCGCCTGTAGCCAGCTTGGTGCCACGTCTGCAACCATGGGAGGCGATGGGCTGGTCGGCTCAACAGCATCGCCGCATTTGGCGTAGTTGGGCCCAGACCTTCGCCCGGAACCGCAACAATATGGCCGCTATTCATTATTTTAAGAAGTGCATTGATGAGCATGACGACGGCCACTTTGTGACCCTTTGCATGCGAAGTAATTTCAATCGGCAGATAGCCCAGGCGGAGAAAGCATTGGACGATAGCAGAAAAGCAGCCAAAATAGCACCGTGGAGTGCGATTGTTAATCTTCAAATAGCCGATGCGTTATATGATCTAAATAAATTCGAAGAGAACAAAATGTCGCTGCATAACGATTCGCGTTTATATTCGGGCACCAAGAAATTGCCATTCAATTACCGTCTGTTAGTTGTCAACAGTAACTTTGAAGATAATTTGGGCGATAGCTTGAGACCGTTTTTTCTGAGGAACTTGGCGAGTATGCGCACCATATATGAGGAAATACTCAAGCCAGAAAAGCCAGCGGAAGCATCTACGCGCTGGAAGACGCTCAAGGATTTAAATGAATGCGACGTTAACAGTTTGATCGAAAAGAAAGAGATAAGGATATCCCCATTGGAGGCAGCCCGGCGCAAGCGCAAGACAAAAATCTATTATCAAAGTTATTTGAATGATTCCTGGATCGATATTGCCTTTCTGAAAACTCTGCGTCATAATCCCATAGTGCTGCTGGACAAATATTACAATTCTGCACACGAGCGCGAAAAATATTTAAATAATTCCTATGAGTGCATCAAAAAGTTCACAAAAATGTTGCATGCCCGTAGCCCCATGTATAATCAGAACTATCAACGGATGGCCAATCCAGATATGTTGGAACAAATGCATCAAGACAATAAGAACCGCATACAGTATCAAACACGGAGAAACATGCTATCGATTCTACGAACTATTCGAGCTTTACGTGAGCAGAAGGACATTACGGTGAGTAGTGGACTCCACAAAAAAAATACAGACCGACAAAAAATAAAAAAAATGGACAGAGTACCAAACAAAATTTGCCATCATATTAGTTTTACTTATGGCCGCGTCAAAAATAGAATGATATACCAGTAGCTTTTAAAAAATATTTTGCTAAGCAAATTAAAATTATAAAAATATATAATATTATTATCAATAATAGTAACTTTTATATATAAATGATTATATGCTTGAAAACGTTTTTTCCGACTTACCATACTCAACCGCGCAGCTTCAAGTGATATCCAGCTTCGATGGGCAGCCTTATTTATGCGCAGGCGTTTCCGCTTATAGCCCAAATTCATGATTTGCCCATATTTCTATATAAGCACATATCACACCATTTGCATCGGATGACAGCGCAGCTTCAACTAAAAGCAATCTCCAATGGGCAGCCTTATTTATACTGCCGGCTCTTCTTCTTTCGAAATGATCTGCGCTTCATATTTTTATACAAACACCCGCACACACACACAATTACACCATCTGCATCGGACGACAGCGCAGCTTCAACTGACGGCCAGCCGCAATGGGCAGCCTTATTTATACTGCCGGCTCTTCTTCTTTCGAAATGATCTGCGCTTCATATTTTTATACAATACATTCGCGCGCGCACACACACACACAATTATACCATCTACATCGGACGACATCGCAGCTTTAACTGACGGCCAGCCGCAACGGGCAGCCTTATTTATACTGCCGGCTCTTCTTCTTTCGAAATGATCTGCGCTTCATATTTTTATACAAACACCCGCACACACACACAATTACACCATCTACATCGGACGACATCGCAGCTTTAACTGACGGCCAGCCGCAACGGGCAGCCTTATTTATACTGCCGGCTCTTCTTCTTTCGAAATGATCTGCGCTTCATATTTTTATACAAACACACCCACACACACACACACAATTACACCGTCTGCATCGGACGGCAGCGCAGCTTCAACTGACGGCCAGCCGCAATGGGCAGCCTTATTTATACTGCCGGCTCTTCTTCTTACAAAATGATCTGCGCTTCATATTTTTATAAAAGCACATCCGCACACACACACACAATTACACCGTCTGCATCGGACGGCAGCGCAGCTTTAACTGATGGCCAGCCGCAATGGGCAGCCTTATTTATACTGCCGGCTCTTCTTCTTACAAAATGATCTGCGCTTCATATTTTTATAAAAGCACACTTGCACACACACACACAATTATGCCACCTGCATCGGACGACAGTGCAGCTTCAACTGACGGCCAGCCGCAACGGGCAGCCTTATTTATACTGCCGGCTCTTCTTACAAAATGATCTGCGCTTCATATTTTTATAAAAGCACGTCCGCACACACACACACACACAATTACACCATCTGCATCGGACAACAGCGCAGCTTCAACTGACGGCCAGCCGCAACGGGCGGCCTTATTTATACTGCCGGCTCTTCTTCTTTCGAAATGATCTGCGCTTCATATTTTTATAGAAACACCCGCACACACACACAATTACAACATCTGCATCGGACGACAGCGCAGCTTCAACTAAAAGCAAGCTCCAATGGGCAGCCTTATTTATACTGCCGGCTCTTCTTCTTACAAAATGATCTGCGCTTCATATTTTTATACAAGCACACCCGCACACACACACACAATTACACCGTCGGCATTGGACGGCAGCGCAGCTTTAACTGACGGCCAGCCGCAATGGGCAGCCTTATTTATACTGCCGGCTCTTCTTCTTACAAAATGATCTGCGCTTCATATTTTTATACAAACACACCCGCGCACACACACACACAATTATTCCATCTGCATCGGACGACAGCGCAGCTTTAACTGACGGCCAGCCGCAACGGGCGGCCTTATTTATACTGCCGGCTCTTCTTCTTTCGAAATGATCTGCGCTTCATATTTTTATACAAACACACCCACGCACATACACACACAATTATACCATCTGCATCGGACGACAGTGCAGCTTCAACTAAAAGCAAGCTCCAATGGGCAGCCTTATTTATACTGCCGGCTCTTCTTCTTTCGAAATGATCTGCGCTTCATATTTTTATACAAACACACCCACGCACACACACACACAATTACACCATCTGCATCGGACGACAGCGCAGCTTCAACTGACGGCCAGCCGCAATGGGCAGCCTTATTTATACTGCCGGCTCTTCTTCTTACAAAATGATCTGCGCTTTATATTTTTATACAAACACACCCGCACACACACACACAATTACACCGTCTGCATCGGACGGCAGCGCAGCTTTAACTAAAAGCAAGCTCCAATGGGCAGCCTTATTTATACTGCCGGCTCTTCTTCTTACAAAATGATCTGCGCTTCATATTGTTATACAAGCACACCCGCACACACACACACAATTACACCGTCGGCATTGGACGGCAGCGCAGCTTTAACTGACGGCCAGCCGCAATGGGCAGCCTTATTTATACTGCCGGCTCTTCTTCTTACAAAATGATCTGCGCTTCATATTTTTATAAAAGCACACTTGCACACACACACACAATTATGCCACCTGCATCGGACGACAGTGCAGCTTCAACTGACGGCCAGCCGCAACGGGCAGCCTTATTTATACTGCCGGCTCTTCTTACAAAATGATCTGCGCTTCATATTTTTATAAAAGCACGTCCGCACACACACACACACACAATTACACCATCTGCATCGGACAACAGCGCAGCTTCAACTGACGGCCAGCCGCAACGGGCGGCCTTATTTATACTGCCGGCTCTTCTTCTTTCTAAATGATCTGCGCTTCATATTTTTATAGAAACACCCGCACACACACACAATTACAACATCTGCATCGGACGACAGCGCAGCTTCAACTAAAAGCAAGCTCCAATGGGCAGCCTTATTTATACTGCCGGCTCTTCTTCTTACAAAATGATCTGCGCTTCATATTGTTATACAAGCACACCCGCACACACACACACAATTACACCGTCGGCATTGGACGGCAGCGCAGCTTTAACTGACGGCCAGCCGCAATGGGCAGCCTTATTTATACTGCCGGCTCTTCTTCTTACAAAATGATCTGCGCTTCATATTTTTATACAAACACACCCGCGCACACACACACACAATTATTCCATCTGCATCGGACGACAGCGCA